CCCCAGTTGTGGTGAGCCCAGCCAGCTCCCTTTCATTCGCCGAGAACACCCGTCCGCATACCATACCCACGTGTTATCTCCCAAGGATGGCGCTTTCCAGCGGGAGTGTCAGGAACGATCCAAGCAATCAAGCAACCCTTAGTCGGTGGTTTGGATTGGTGGTTTGAGGATTTGAACCCCTGGTTCTGGTAGAAGGTACCCACTCATCTCTAAATTGATCTTTTATAAAAATAGAGGCTGAAGGAAAGGTAGTAAGTCATTTTTTGTAGAACCCAGCGGAGCTGGGCCTCCTTTTGCCTCCCATCGGCATGGCAAGTAAAGGTTTCTGTTGTTGGCGGTTTGGGGAAAGAGCGTGTTTCGGCGCACTGAACTTGGAGGAACTCGGATCTTATGCCGGTGATGCTGGGGAAGATCCAAAGAGACCCTGGGAACCACCAACCAGCGAAATGCAAATGCGAATGGCCGTCAATGTGTGTTGCCTGCCTGTGGCAAGAAATCCAGGGAACAGATCTTGTCAGTCTCGCATATTTTTCTTGTCTTGGTTGGTTTACTTGTTCGTTGCATGAGCTGTCAGTGCCCGTGGCAAGCACCTTGCAATGGAAACGAGCGCTGAGCATGCCCCTCCACCTCTTTGCCCAATCGCTCGAGGCTGCATGAACCAGAGGGGTGCGCGGAGGAGGCTGGGTGATATTTTTCTACATTTTGCATCCTCAAACGATGTTGCTTGAGGGCCCACCACTCAGATGGATGGATTGATATCTTAGGCGGTGGTTCCCTATGCTTTAATAGCAGAACAACCAAAGTTGCAAACTGATGCAAGCTGCACATTGCTGGTTGAGTGGAAGATTGAAGACCGTCGAGACATTTAGCATGCACACTTGACTGGGCGTACTTCTGTGATAGGTGTTTGGACTCAGCAAAACAGACAGTTGTCTTGCTGGTTTGGTTGGGTGTTCGGTTTGGTTTTGTTTGGTTTGGTTTGGCAGGCTGGTTGGTTGGTTGGTCGGTTGGTTGGTTTGGTTTGGTTTGGTTTGGTTTGGTCTGGTTTGGTTTGGTTTGGCTGGCTGGCTGGCCGGCTGGATGGTTGGTTGGTTGTTTGGTTGCCGGATCGTATGGTTGAGATGCACGTACATTTACAGAAAGTGTTTTTTCCCCATGGTATTTATTGACCACTCAACCAGAGGCCGATTCCTCCAGGATTATTCGTAGAAGACCACATCGCAAGTCGACGCCCGAAAAACCCTGGGCCAGGCGGAGGATTGCAGCGACGCGTCGGATGACGAGGCATTTTCGGAGTACGCCCTGGGCCAAGTGGACAAATGGATCCAGGGCACCGTTCGCCAAGTAGCCAGGCGACTCTCAGAGCCCCCCTAGGGCCCCTAGTGCTGCTCCAGCCAAGTTGAAGCAGCCGTTTCCATGTGAGCAGCGATGGCTTCGCATCTGTTCGGAGCGGAGAAGCTTGACCGCATTGATGCAAGCTGCTCATCCGACCCTTGGCCAGGGTCTTAATCTTTACGGCTGCCCGAAGGGTGGCTTTAATGTAGGACACCAAGGTTTTTTTGACTTGGCATTTGCGGCCCAAGTTACGGATAAATATCCCACATGTATGCGTGAAAACCGCTGCAGCTGCACAGGCACTATTTCCGTCTCACCGGGTGTTTTGTGGCGCCCGCTAACCTTCCGCACGCTTCTCGCCAGGGTAGAAAGCAAAGTGCGCAGACTTGGATGACTGCAAGCGAAAAAGAGTGACTTGCGCAAGCGCTCAGGTGTTCGAGGATCTCCAAGGATTCTGCTGGATGTATCATGATTGAAACCTGGGGTAATGATTGCAGTTGCTGATGACATCAACCGAGAACACAGAAAGGTGTGCGAAGAGATGGGGAAAAGAATGGCGTGAATTCACTTCACTTCTGGATGAGATGACAAAGGGCGATGACAACACGGCGAGCGGTGGAACTCTTGGGATTTCGTTCCCAAAGCTAATTCCAGTTGACCGTGACCAGAGACTCACTCACTCGACTGTGATTCATTCTTTTTGTTTAGCGCTTTTCCAGTATGCAAATATAATTTGCGTGTCTTTTTTTTGGGGACCCTGCATAATGGTGGTTTTCCTTTTGGTTTCCCTTGAAAGCACCACAACAGGAGTACCCTCAAAAAAGGCACCCCCCCTTCCTCTTGGTCTCGACTGAGGGGCCACGACCAGCCTTCAAGACTCCCTCGAAGAGAGATGACCGTGAGCCGTCGCAACTAGCTTAGGACACACATATGCTCCCAAACAAGCATTAGGCTGTTTGATCCCCCCCTCTTCCAAGTACAGCCACCTTGTCCATCTGACGTCATGGAGGTTACTTGCCGCGTCATCTTCCTGGGAATCACGCGGGGAGGATGGAAGGTGTGGGAGACATGTTTGAAAACCGGGAATCAAACTTTCTGCAGGATGTTTCCACGTGGCATGGGCTTTGGGTGACATGGACGAGATCCAATGGTATGGGCTGTCAACGGCTCGTCAATCAGTCAGAAAGCCTTCAGGTAGCCACCAGCGCAACCACCACAACAGACACAAATACAAATGAACCACAAACACACATACACAGCGCAAACACAATCTCGACCACAAACACAGCCACAAACCCAAATTTCACAGCCACAAGCACAAGCACAACCACCGCCACAGTCAAGACCACGCACACAACTATATATATATATATATACATCACAAACACAAGCACAGCACTCAACGAATCTACACACGCAGAAGAAGAAAAAGAGGAAGAGGAAGAGGAAGAGGAAGAAGAAGAAGAAGAAGCAGAAGAAGAAGAACAAGAAGAAGCAGCAGAATCGCATGCACAGCCGCACACACGTAGTACAACCGCAGACACAAGCCACACAATATTCGCACTTCACGAAAGAGAGGAGATGTGTTCGATTCCTTTTCACCCGCAGAAACATCCGGAGATCTCATCGCAGGGCCAGCGAGTGGTGCAGCGCTCCGAGGGCGAGGCCTTGGCGGAGGAGCTGAAGATGAGCTTCTTCGAGGCGCGGCGCTTGGCGAGCGTGGCGCTAGCGAAGCTCGAGGGGGACTTGGGAGCCAAAGCCGTTGGGTGGAAAGGTTGAATACGAGGTGACGAGGTGGGCTGCATTGTGTACGGGAACTCAAGGGGTGGGACATTGCAGCCGGTGTCCTCTACATTTATAGTAGCTCAAATAGGTCCTCTACAACACTTGATGTGTGCCTGCCCTCTGCACTGGCAGTGGATCTTGGAAGTCCTGGAGGCTTGCAAGGCATGTTAGGCACGGGCGTCTATGAAGCACAGAGCCTTTCATGCTCTCTTGAACCCAAGAACAGCCAATGCACACCCAGCACAAAAGACAGCAGGATCTCGTGGCCTTTGATCCGAATATTCCGGAGAACTGCTTGAGGTTCAAGGAAGAATCCAGCGAGCATTCGGTGAACCTCTTCGCTCCAAATTGTGAGCGCTTGGGATGTCAACGCCAATGTTCCAGGCGAGCGCCAGCAGTGCAGAGCTGGTGGATGCCGTATTTCACGGCCTGGCGCGAGGCGAGCGGAGATGCTGATCAGTGCAGAGTTTTGTTCGGGGTTTGAAGTTGGTCGGTGGCAACCCTTGGTTGATGGATTGCTCAATGTGCGTGCTTGTGCTTTCATGTGCATGTGAATGTGTGAGTGTGTGTGCAAGCGGAAGGGTGCCACCAGGAGGAGTATTAGGAGCAATAGCAAGATAAAGAGGAGGAATAGGACGACTCACCGTGAAATGATAGACCAAACCTTTGGGATATTTGCTGTGAGTTTTGAGGCTGCTTTGAGCCATAACACGTGCCTGACAGCTGTTATCATTGGTTGCCTTGGAGTTTGAACTTGATCACTCAAGGCACGACACGTCTTTGTTTGTTCTTTTAACATGGTACCAGTACTTAATTTTTCTGCCGAAACAGAATCCATGAAGAGCTGACCCAACATCACTGTAGCCAAGACTGTCGGACATTTGCTGGCAAAGGCACAGCCCTCCTTTTTTGCCAAGGACCGGATGCTAATGTATTATTTGTGCCTCAAGATTGTGTTTAGGGTGTATATATTATCATATATATATATATTATCATATATACCCTTACACACAATACATACACATGCATACCAACTTGAATACACCAGGATTCCAGGTGGTGGACCTTACCAGGACTCACGAGTGCAAGGTTTGGCTCTCAGGTTTGTCCTGCGAGCCCAAAGCGGAGTCGGACGAAGAGATCGTGCTGATGGCGCCCAGGAATCGGGAGGCAAGGAATTGGAGCGATTGGAGCCTAGTGCCACATGGGTTTGTCTCCAAATGAGAAAAAGGTAACTGCCACATGTGTTGTCCCTTTGGTTCCCTTTACTGAAAGGTAACGCAGCCCCAGAAAGGGTAGCTTCACAAATTGACCACGAGCCAGTACAGCGGGCTCCGAATAGGGACTGGGGACGTGACCGGTTTCTTCCGAGCCGCAGGCCCCACACCGGAAGAAGAAGTGCTGCTGAAGCGAAGCGGCTCCAGAAGGCTGTGAAATGGGCCTATGGGCTCAACTCGGAAAGTCGTTTGAGTGTTCCAAATGAGTTTGGCTTGAAACCTGGAGTCAGATTCGGGACTCTTTCAATGCCTTACATCTGCAAAGAACATTGCAATGACAATTTGGAACACGGCTCATGGGCTTGGTGTACATAGAGAAGCACTTTGAGAAGCAAGAGAAGCAAAACAAAGAGAGCAAGACCTTCACCACACGGAAGTCTTCCTGCTTGCAACTTTAGGGCAGTCGGTGAGCTTGAGTGTTTGTCGTTGGCGCCTCAAGCTAAGGCTCGGACTCATCTTTGAGTGATGTTAAATTTGCCAGAGCTTCAGTGGCAAAGGCAACGAACAGACTTGAAAAGCGGCAGACTACTGCAGGGATCAAGGCATGCCTCATCTGAAGCTTCGGCACAATATGGGACAAGCATGGGACCACTCGAGATTTGCAGCAAAGGCAGACGCCGGTACATAGGCCGTAGGTAGCATCCAGCGAATGTTGTGACTGCAATGACCAGTTCGGCACTGAGTTGTGGACGTGCAGCGTGGTGGTTTTCGGAGAGTGAAGTTTGCCTTTAGCGGCATCACCTCCCGATTTGCCGAAGCTGGTTTTCTTGATTGAGGTTCGGAGTCTCAGCCCGTTGCTCAGCCATGCATCAACCAGAGCCGTGTGGGGGGAGGCTTCAATCCACAGAAGCACCGCAATGAACAAATCGCAGTGAAGGGGAAGCATGCTTGTCACCTTCAGTTGAGCGATGTCCATGGGCACATGTGGGTGCAAGACCCGGGCCACTGTTATGGTCGTTGGAAGACGGCAAGTGGGGGACTTACCGAACGAATGTCAGAGGGATTGACGAACTTTGCCACTGCCCGCGCAGATAGTTTTGGCACTAGTGTTTCGTACTTTGAACGTCTGTGACACTGGCTCTTCCCATGCGCGTTGTTGGGGCTCTATTTGAGTTTGGTCTCACTGTGAACCACCAACAAGATTCAGAGCGCGCGGGTGTCACTGCCGTTTTTGAGGCGTCCTCGTGCAAACAGCGCGGGAAGCGATGACAGCTTCAGCATTCCCACAGAGGTGCGACCGCTGGCCGGTGGCATAGGAGGTGAATGAAAGGTGGCTCTGAGTTGAAATATGGAACTTCAGAAGAATGGTTGGTGGACAAACCCCCATATAGCGATGCTGAAAGAACGTCGGAGACCGTCTCACAATAAGTCAGAGACGCTCCCTTGCACAAGTCTGTTGAAGAATCAAATCATGCCGAGTTCAATCAAGCCCGGCAAAGATCTGAATATCGCTTCGATTGTCATTTTTCCGAAGCGGCGGACAGCTCGGTGGAAACGTTTGAGGGCCATTTGGGTTGGGCTGACAATTGTTTTGTCCACGGCAAAGACGCGCAGCAGTTGGGCTTCGGGAGTTCGCCTTCCGCAATGATGCAATTCCGACTGCAGCTGTCCTGACAACACACTAGAACCACTTTGGGAATCAATCAAGTTGCAACATCTTCTCCCCGTCTCTCCCTCTCTCTCTCTGTGGTCACATAGGCTTCCACTCCTCAAATGTCTGAAGAACGCAAGGCGCCTTTGCTCAGCTGAACGCTCGATCCGCTTTGTTGGCCCATAGCCCTTTGTCGTCAGGCCCAGCTTTTTGGACTGGACATTCCCAACGAGTCGATCCAGGCCCTGCGCACTGGTGGCTGACGAAAGCCCACATTCGTTTGTCTGAGGGCGCAACTTGGGATTGGGCTGTGAAAGAAGAGTACAACACAACTCGAACGTCCCGTTGCTTCTACTGCAAATATCATGGAGATCCTTTCTTCAACGCTTGATTTCCTTGTCCATTACAGACGAGAGCTGGATCTGTGTGTTTGCATTGCAGGAGACCTGGAGACCTTTGATCTACAGTCACCTATGATCTATACTTTATAGTCTGTAGTTCACAGAGTGTAATCCCTACACTTTCCTGTCAGAAGTTCTTTTGCAGAGGTATTTTTCGAGAAGTTATGGCCCCAAAGCATGGTCTTACGAGAGCCTTGGCGAAATGCAAGCAATGCTGAGAATCCGTTCGTTCTACGTGCGCACTGGTCTTGGCAAACGAACATGTTTGGTATCGCAAATATCTAACATTTAGCATGCACAGTCAGCCAAATACCGAAGGGTTCCCAATTGGACCTGTGAAGCGGACAACCAAGCGCAACCTGCCAAGGTACCCGAGCCGGGGTCTTTGCACATGGCCCGGCCCAGCGGGTCGTGCCTTGGCGTGAGCGGGGCTTCCTGTTTCCCTAGTGGTTTGAAGCATCGCCAATTCGGGGCCAATGTAAAGACAGAGTTTCCTTTTTGTGGGATGTATAGGGAACTTTGTTTTGAAGGAAACCGATGGGACAACTACATTTCTTGTGTTTTTGTTGTTGTTTTGCTTTTGTTTGTTTTTTGGGGTCCTCATTTGATGCACCATGGGGCTGTGTTTAAAGACACCCAAGGGCCCTTTAGGGAGAGTTTCCTTTGGGGTGATGTTCAAAGAGGACATTTTGGGAACGTAAACTTCGGGAACCTTGCCTCTGAGTCGGATCTGTTGCAGAGCTCTTCCAACTCAGTCGTGAGCTCTTCGGGGCATGTCACTGGCAGCCGTTGTGGGCCAGTGAGTAGATCTGTAATGTAAGCTTGTTTACCCGCCTATTGTTTCTTAACGTGGTAGACCCCCCGAATGGTTGGTTTCCTGTGGTTTTCCTTGGACACCTCAATAAGGGTATCCTGAAAACGACAAGTATATTTGTGCAACATGGTTGTAAAGCGAAACCAACCTGACACGACCAGCTGCTACCACTGCAGGTTAAATCCCAGTTGAGCCAGTTACAACTGTAGTTTACCTTTTATTTTTCCTGCCTCCCCACTAAATCCCCCCAGAGGACACTTAGGGGTTTTCTGTTGACGCATACCCACCAGTGCTTGTCTCAGGACAGCCCGGCGTGCCGCGGTGCCCGTGCTGCTGGCGGACGCCGGAACGGGGCGAACTGATCCAAATCCTGCGGCCTTTGGTCGACTGTTCCAAGTGATTCAACGTTGTCCATTGTTTTCTATCATTGGAAGTCATGACTTGTCCTCTGGTCATTGGAGCACGTGGGAACAGGATTTGGGTTGAGAATTTGAAGAGTTCAATCATTGCCAGTTTCGGTCTCAAGGGCCACTCACTTGCCTCGTGCCTGGCACGTTGCCGAAAAAGCCTCCAGGGCCGGGATGACGCCCTGGCGAGGCAGCCCAGGACTGCTTGGCTTACCGGGGCACAGATCGTCTTGAGGGAGGCTTCCGCTGCGCACGGTTTTTCGTGAGTCAGGGCTGTGCCCAGCAAGGCGCAGTTTCACAAAACATGGACAAGGGGGGCTGAACCCAAGTTCTGCGAGCCGTTTTTTTCAAGTGGGTTTGAAGCCGTGCAAGCCTTTGTCAATTCGCTAGATTCACGCTAGCATTGCAAGGCTGCAATTCTAGCTGCAGTCCTAGCTTTGGAACGTCACTGCACAAATCCGCGCTAGCTGGCCCCAAGCAAGACTGACTGTCCATCTTCAACAGTCTCGGGTTGTTTCCTCTTGCATTCCATAGCTTTCAGCCTTCATGGCAAAGTACTTGTGAATGTGAGCAGCGCATCATTGGAACATAGGCGTGCTAGAAACGTCACACATACTTTGAGAACGTGGCAATAGCCGAGAAGGAATGAAGAGACGAGTTTATTGTTGTAGTGGGTCAAATTTGAGGTGAGATCAAAAGAAATACGGCCCGTTTCGGGCGTAGACGTTTTGGTTTTGTTCATCCTCCAAGTGGTTGAGTCGTGGCTTGAACTACTCTCAGCGGCCATGAGTGTATTCAACGCATCATACCCATGCTCAAAGTGGATGCTTTGGCAATGCGGGATCAGTTTCTGATGGTAAGCACAAAAGGGGATAAATGGATCATGGGCTTTTTCTATGTCCCTGTCACCAGGGTTCAACACGCATTTGGCTGCTGATTTGGCTCTGCGTTTCAGGTGCTTGGAGGCCTTGTTGACAGTTTCAGCGAGCGAACGATCCGATCGACTCAGCTTCTTGATAGGAGCCACGACGCCTTCGGTGCCTCACGCGGAGTGGCCCGGGACCTGAAGGAAATTGAGCCGAGGGCTTGCCACTTTGAAACCCTGTCAAGGCAGGGTCTGTCTTTTTTTGGGGACCCCAAAACGGTTAGTTTCCTTTTGGTTTACCTTCAAAACCACCGAAAAGGGGTACCTTCGCCCATTTTCACCTCGGGTAGACTCCCTCGTGGTTCTGAAAGATGACTCGTTGCATGCGGGGTACCTGACCAAAACACCAACTGGGGCAGGGGTGTGGGGTGGGGGGGGTGGGGGAACGCGGGCTGTTGGGTGGTCCCGACTCTCTGACCGATCCAAAGAGGCCCTTTGCGTGGGTCGTGAACCCAACTTTGGGGCTTCCGACTTCCCACAGCGCGTGGTTCTCACCGCTTCGGCGAGGTGAACCTCCCGCGGCGCTCAGAGGTGCAGCGCCGGCCCCCAAGGCCGGGCTCGGTCCCACGATGGCCCGGGAGAGTGCACCCCGGGCGGTCGAGGGGCCAAGACACAGCTACGTTTTCGGTTCTATCTGTGAAATGGGGATTTGGACCCAAGAAATGGTGCTTTTCCTGTTGGTTTCCCTTCGAACCACCGTTTAGGTGGAGTTTGAGGATGTCACTGTGGTTCCTTCGGGACAGTTCTTCTTTTGGTTGGTTTGAGATGAGACAACACCCATTTCCTCAAATGAGGCACGCCTGTATGGGAAAAGCCGCGGATGGAGTTTGTCCAGCGTGTTTCGTTTTATCATCACTGTGCTGAACTTCTCGTTGTTTGCGTTTGGCATCATCCTTTCTTTCCGTTCGCGGAACTTGTTTCGAGCAGCATGGAATCGAAGTGCGCCGATTGGGGAAAACAGGACACATGGCGCCACACTCAAACCAGGGAGCATAGGTTGTTTTGGTAGAAGGAGCCCTGGTTGACCTGGTTGTTTCGGAATCTACCACGGCCATCCATTTTCCCAAAGAGGATGTGCCATTGGAACCTCAAACGTATGCCTTTGCGATGTCTCGTTTCGGGCGCGGACCAAACGCGAAGGGTTGCAGCCAGATCAAGCTCCTGGGACAGTAGTTCTGCGATGAGGGTCCTCGCGAGAGGGCATATGTTGGTGAGTGCTCTCGAAAACGGGTGGCTGTGTGGCTTAGTTGCAGGGACTTTGCCCTCACGGGCTAATTGCAAAATGTGGCAATGGGTTCTTTTGGGCGTAGTTTCCGGTCGATATGCATCCAATTTCAGTGCTCCTTGTTTTGGCACCGCGCGTGTTCTTGTTCTTTGTTGCATTGAAGGGAGATGTTCCTTTGGTTCAATATTATCCCGGCTCATGCATAAAATCAAGTTGCACGGACTGTCCGGGCTTCACCGGCCTGGTGTCCTGGTTTCTAACCCCAAGCAGCTGTTTGCTCAAATCGGTTGCATGCCCGCGTATTGTTGCTTCACCTTTTGTCCCCCTTGCAGGAAACATAGGGGTAATTCCACAACCGGGACATGGCAGAGGCCCTATGGTTTGTCGCGCAAAGGATTGATTGGTCTTTGAGAATCACTTTAAGGTCCGCTGCTCCCAGAACCTACCAGTACCCCTCAGGCTTTGAGAAAAGTGCTACCCTCTTGACTAATGAGCCTAACTGATCCCCTGACTCTTGGCAAGTGCTACCCTCTTGAATGAGCCATGTCTAAGCTCCAGAAAGACGGGCAATTTTCGCGGCTTCGAGCGGTGAGGATGCAGCCGCCGGCGCTACAAGAGTGAGGGACCAATTCTTTAGCTGGCAGCCGGGTCTGTGTCAAACGGGGCGGGGAACCTCCAAAATGGCGGCCTTCTTTTTGGTTTCCCTTCTAGCCAACCTTAGAAGGGTACCCTCAAACATACACCTACAGCTGAAACCCGCTGGACATTCAAAGAAACCCAACGCTCCCCAGAAAAGTGACAGGCTCTGGAGATTTGGAGCAATAGACACACTCACAGATTGGGTCAAAATATCATTTGGGAACGTGGGACTCACTTTCCCAGGGGACATGATTGTACACCGATGGCGTTGGATGCTGGCCGGCTGCGTCTGACTTGAACCGGGGTCATGAATATGTACCCAGTGATGCCTCCCGCATGTTGTTGGGAGTTTCTGCTGTGCAGCAGATCGGATCGAGTCGGCTTTCCGGAACAGGATCGCCGAATAGGCAAATTGTCATACTCAATAGTTTCTGTTGCATCACAAAGGAGCTGGACCAAGTCACCCGTACATACACACTACCAACCCCGACACCAAGACCAACACCAACGTAGCAACACTCACCTCCAGCTTCCAGCTACGGCATTCTATTTCACAACAAGCCGCAAGAACCCTGACCATTGCTACGCCTGCATGGTGGCCACAATGCAGCGTCGACGGCGGACAAAACACATGTGCAAAAGGCCCTTTACTTGGGGGTTAACAGGGATTGTCATCCACCTGTAGTAAGGATCCTTAATATGGTAGGACTTTGTGGACAAGCAGCACGGGAGGGCCAGGCCACTCTAGCATGGAACAAGGTGCAGGTGGTTTCAGCTCATTGACGAAGTCGCAGCTGGACTTCGTTTGGTGCCTTTTTGGTTTTGGTGCAGGACTGCCGAGCAGTCGATGGCCGGGTCAGGTGAGGTGGAAGCATCTCGGGAGCAATGCGTGAGATGCTCGAGTGCTGTGCTGGTCTCCGAGCTTCGAGGTTTTGGCGTGAGTGGAAGCGGGATGGACCATCCTCATCCTACCTGAGGTTAGCTTCAAAAAGCTGAGCGGAATAGTTGATCCTGGCCACCTGCAGCGGGCAGCGACTATCACTTGGATTAGTAAAATTATGTCTCGGCAGGGCCTGTGTCAAGGCAGGGCCTGACCTTGCTCAGGTTCCATGTACAAGCAATTGCTATGTCGAGGACCAATTGGTGGGTGGTGCCAATCTTGATAGGAGTTCTCCCTGGAAACAGTTGCGCGAGCTACAATGCGCCCAGGTGCTCGCAAACAACTGCATTCGCGCAATGGCGCTGGAACACTTACACCCAAATGTTTAGAATTTGGATGTGGTCTCTGACGATTTGTGTCAAGGTTTGGCGTGCAGACTGTGTTCCATCCTATATGAGGGTCAGCGCTTCAGAGAGTTGGGTGGAATGCGACGGTGATGCCCATTATGCTTTGAGTGTGCCTGTCAAAGAGTTGCGCTTTTGTTACGCAGTGCCCAGGTGCTTCTAAAGCGTGTGATGTAGCATGGACAGCTTGATGTGGCTTCTACTCCGGCATCGCCCAGTTTGTCGCAGGTGGCTGTGCTGGGAAACCGGGCAGACCCCGTGGATAAGAAGCGTGGTGATCTGGCTCCGCCAAAGTTTCCCAGTCGCCCGTTGTGCCGGGCGCTGACCCAAGTCGCTCCAGTCTTTGTCAGCCTCGCGCACGACTTTCCCAAGACCCTGTCCCCACGCGCCAGTGCGTGCGCACGTGCCCAGGAACTCCTCCACTCTTTCATGGGCCTGCGCGCAGTCAACCTTGGAGCAGCTCAGTGCTATCTCGACTGGATGAGCCTTCTCCACAAGGAGGGTTGTCAAACACCTCTTTATTTGCCAAGCCCGTCGCTGCTTCGCCGTGCTTCGAGGAGGATGGTCCTGTAGACTTCAGCAGCCCAGAGCCTGACACCATTGCGCAGGTAGGCCGTCGTGAGGTTCATGTGCGCGAGCCAGGCTATTCCTGCGTAGGGCTATACGCGTGCGTGGCGGGGCTGCGGCGTCAATTGTTAATTGTCAGGCGGCTGAGACCCTGACGACCTGGAGCGCTCCATTGCAGAAGCATGCAGGTTGGTTTTGTCCCCATCTCAGAGCGTGGTCAGCCAGATCAGTTGCTTCCAGCCCAGCGCCTGCCAGTCCTGACCTGTGAGTCCAGATCGCCTCAAGAAATCGCGGGGCGAGACAACGAAGGGCCCACGCTGACACAGCAGCGATGCATTGGAATGCCAGACGGCAAGCCGACGAAGGTGCTGTGGAAAAAAACTACGCGGCGCACAGGTGCATTGGCCCGACAGACACTGATGGCTTGACAGCCCTATGTTGCTCTTGGCCTTTGCAGCCCAGTTCCAGCCTGAGGACCTCGGCATGATCTTTGGGAGCAAGGGTTTCAACTTTGGCGCACAAGGGTGTCTGATGCTGCAGGATTTGCCGGCACAATCGTGGATGCGTGGGCCCAGCTGAATGTAGCCAGGTTTTTGCCATTCTTCTTTGCAGCTTTGCCGCTCCTTTCGCTTTCATACTGACTATGGCTGGTTGGGCGTGACGCAGAGACCTCCACGCATGCTTCAATCCACTCAAGCCAGAGCACGAAGTGAGGCCACGCCTTTTCTGCATGTTGGTCGGGGACACCAACTGTGGCAAGTCGCCGTTCTTCCGTCAGTGTGTAAATGCTGCGTTCGTTACACACGGCGCCCGCAAGTGCATGCTGGACAGGCGAAAGTCATCCACAGGGGCAATCCTTTTTCCTTTTGCGGGCATGGGCTGGGAGTTCCGCCCCACTTTTTTGTGGCCAAGCAATCAGCGGAATGAACCAGATGCCCCGCAAGTCACCTTCACTGCTTAGGTGCCCTTTACTGGCTGCAATGTCAGCTGTAAGCCTGTAAGCCCTCGGCAGTAATTGACCGTCGCCCAGCAAAAGGAGTTTTGACTAGAGTGCCATTGTGCCACAAGGGAACCTGGGTAGAAGGCTTGAAGGCCCAACAGCAAATGGATGCATGTAGTTATTTCCACATGTATCTATGGGCTATGTAGATTTATTTTATGGTTTTGTGTGGTCTTCCTTCGATCCACAAATGCCTCCATTCACCCAGCTTTTGCACCTTGTCGCCAAGGCGGTGCCCGCCCTTTGCGGTGTCCCCCTACCCAGTAGGGCAGCCAGCTCCTCCGCAGGCGGGTTTCTGCGGAGCGGAGCCGTTTCTAGCATCCATTTCAGACTGGCACCAAGTCACGCTCAATGTCAGCCAGTCATCTTCATGAGCACCAACAATTCACCATAGTAAAGGGCATGCGCAACCAAATAAATCGGAAACGCTAAATTGAGCATGCCAAGGACTGAGGTCCGGGAACGCCAAACCTCTAATATGAGCCATGGTCGATGTTCATCGTCTCCCAAAAGACGGGCATTTTCCCATTTTTAGTGCTGATCCAAGGCATTGCTGATCTTAGAAAGATGGTACCTCAATAAACCTCTGTGGCAGCAAATGACCAGACGTGCAAGGACAAACCGGACAGAACAGTGCAAAAACAATGATGGACAGGTGGACATGTCCCCGAAGCAAGCACGCATTCAGCGGGCATCCCAAAGCAGTGTTGAGCTTGCTCGGCGCAGGCTAACATACTCTGAATCACACTATTTTCACTTTGCTGTGAAGGCAATCTGCCGTAAACGCAATCGGAACCGCCAAGCTGTGTCGCTATGTAGTTTGATAATCAACCAAAAGCGGACTGCCGATCATGGCGCAAATGGAGCATGTGCCTACAATGAAAACCGGAAACCCGAGATTGCATTCGATGCCTATTAGCCGAGTAAAATGCTCGTTGTGGAAGCTGTTAAAAGCGACCCGAAGGAGATGTGAGCGTATTGGGATGCTGACCATCTTTTCCTTGATGGGTCTTGTGCATGACTGCAATTCGCAAGGAATGCTCCGAGTGTTCACACCATGCCACCCGGCCCTGGGCTTCCGAAAGGGAGATGGCGCCTGCGGGTCCAGCGAGGGAAGCTGCAGCCCGAGCAGCTTGCAGAATCATAGGGGACGAGGGGACGGGGGCCAGGGTGAGAGTGAGGTTGGGGCGGTTTGTCTTAAGAGTCTTCTCACGAGACGCAATGGATCAATGATGATGCTAAGGTCACGGATTAGCATTGCAAACTGGTGGAGTGTTGTGTGTGTGTCAGTATGTGATCCGGACTGGGGTTGACATGTTCGGTGGCTTAGCAATTTCATGCGATCTCACCTTAGCCGTTTATCCCAGGCGACGGACACCGGGTATAATTGGGGTCATCAACGGCTTCCTACAAGGGCTCACACTTCGAGAAGTTGGGTGTTTGACGGGTTTGCTTTTGGCTTGTGGTGAACATGTCGCACGCAGAGACCAACACACTGTTCGCACTTGCTGCCGAATCTCCGCCTCACATCCCCTTTCGAGATCACTCCGGAGATTTGTCTGGCGCACCTTTGAGGGTATGTTTTCAGGGTGCCCTCCTGATGTGACAAACCCGTTTTTGGCGTTTGCGGGCCATTTCTTGCTTCCAGGCAACCGGAGTGAGGAGGGCGTGCCGCACTCGGATGCCGCGGATGCCTGAGGATGGGGGTGCTGGGTTTTGTTCATCCCCTTTGTGGAGGCCCGTCTTTAGGTACCATGTAAATTGTCCATGGAGACACTAATGTTGATCATGGAAGTGGACGATCGGAGGGTTTTGGAGTACATCATTTCAAAAGGGCCTTTCCAGTTGGGTTTGTCTCAAAGTAGGGGTACCTCCAAAAGGGGTTTTCCTTTAAGCACCGCCCAAAAAACGGTTCCTGTAAAAAAGAGACACCCGGTTCCATGATGGTTGGGAAAAGGGTGCCCTTTCTGCGAACATTTTTCACCGAGGCTTTCAGCCGAACTCGGCCCAGAGAGGGTGCATTGCCACCTGTGCCGCGGGAGACGGTGCCTTGGCAGTCCGAACTTGAGTCTTGATGTCGCTGTTCATTTGGTGTGCACTTGGTGCGGTCTTTTCTTGGAGTCTTCGTCCAACTTACCCCAAAAGGCTCAGGGTGTTGATTGGAAATGCGCACATAAGCCTTGCGATTACCCACAACCTGCACCGAGAACAACTTTAACTTAATGCCTCCGAGTTTGAGCTGAAATGTCATGCCGTGTTGGCATGTGATGAAAGCAACAAAGGGGTAAGATCCAGTTCTTCACTTCATTGGTTGGATTCGATGCATGGTGGCTTATCAGCAACGCCAAACTGCTGCGTCCACTTTTTTGTTCGCAGCAAGTTTCTCTTCGCCCTTTGAGTACTGAAGGCGTGAAAGGAAGGGGGGGGGTGGATTCCCGCTTCTGCTGTCCTCAGTGCAACTTGGTTGACACAATATGCGACGGTGAGACTTGCGATTGCTGTGGAGTCCATGGTCTTGAGATTGTTTGATTTCTGAGCACAAAGCTTGAAGGGGTCATCCCCTATGCAAACAGTGCAGTCACTTGTCGGCATGGGCTTGGCCGCCAGCTTCTCAGCGGAGCACGCACCGCGAAAACCCAGATATGTTCGCCTCCCCAAAGGTGCCGGATCGCGCGCGCTCTGTGCCGGCCCGGGAGCGAGATCACCGCGCACTTCGGCAGGCGTTTTAACACACGCCCCACCTTAAAATTGGGTGGGTATGTGTGGCCTTTGAAAGGGAAACCAAGGAGAAACCGTTTCAAACTCAGATGGAGTTGGGGGAATTTCGACCTCTGGGATCCCTTTCCGGTTTCACTCCTCCCTTTGGAAGACAAGATAAATGAACCTGGATACCGCTGGATACCCCACAACGAATTTCATTGCTTGGTTGGTGGATGGTTCCTGAGGCTTCCGTCTACCGGCAAATGCACACGAGCTGCACCTCCGGGGGTGCTGGGTCTCTCTCTCAAAAGGTCGCAGTGCTTATTCGGGGTAACCGAATGTGCAGCCAGGGCCATACATCAGTTGACTTGCAACGGTTCACATGCCCGGTCCCTTGCTGCTACTCCTCTTTCTTTGATCAACCTGCTCAAGCACCAGCAAACAAAACCGTTTGCTGACTGTTGAGAGGTGTCAGCATCGCCAGTTTCGGATGTCGGACTCGCTCTTTCCTTCTCACATTAGCACTGCCTGCAACCCCTCTCATACGGCAGCCGGCATGTGGAGTTTAGCTAGAAGTTTCTTGGAAGGGGTTCTTTGAAGGGTTCTGAGAGCAATTCTGGTTGGTATGGGGGCCTAATGATTAGCCCTGTTTTTAACCTGAAATGGGCACCTTCGGCAGAAAACAGTTTTGGCTGTTTTGAAGAGAAGCATCACTTAGGCACACCAAAGAACTCCTGATGCATTGGGTCATCCTTTGAACGGTCCAATTGTGCTTATTTAACAGAGGGATTCACAACCGTTGTGCTGCCATTTTCATCCAAGGCAAGAATTATCTACGACCAGGTGGCGTCTCACCACACCTCATCGTCTCAAGAGTCTTGGCTTGACTCAACTTCCGGACAATCCACATCACTTCTGCATCCAGTCCTGGCTGGCTCCATTTGCAGCATGCGCAGGCCCTTGGAGTAGTGGTTCGCCTAAATGCCTGCTCGCAGAGAGATCAGTTTGCCAAGGGCTTCGAAGCTTTCTCTGCGATTCGGTTTTTGCCTGTTCAGCGTAAAACCAGCCGAAATTCCGGCTGGCAATTGGCCTCAGGTTTCAAGAAGGGGCTTACATCAAACAGCAGTTTGTATGATTGTTGCACCTCCACAGCGTCAGGCCGCCGCAATTGATCATCTTCAGGCAGTTTGTGCTCATTGATGCTATGGCATGCTTTTCAATATGAGCCCTTGTCAACTTTGCAGTATGCAATTCTGCTTGCCATCCTTCCTTCCACGGCTTCTAGACGTTAAGAGGCATCTGCAACTATTTGGGGCTTGACACAAGTCCTCCTGTGGCATTTGTACCAAGTTCAGCTTTGCTTTTGGTTTTGTGCTTCCGTCCAAGGCGAGCGATGACCCAGATGCCGCTGCCCCTTGGCAGTGAAGGTAGTCCCTGTCAAAATCGACGGGCTGTCGGGTTGATTTTCTAAGGGAAAACCTAAAAATGAGAACATGATTTCGGTTAGATTTCGGTTTCCTTTCAACATCCCAAAGACGGGACACCACCATGTAAGACACCCGCTACCGGGAGGCGCTTCGGCGCGCCTCAGCGCAACGATTGCTGTTGGGGGCTGTCGGTTTGGCCAAGCTATTGTCCTCGCCTTGACTTCCCAAGCTCGCTTCGGGATGGATCGTTTGTTTTTCAACCAAAAGCAAACCGCCAAAAGCTGAAATCATGGATCTCATCAGGCGTGCTAGATAAACTTTCCATGGTTTTTGAGGGCACCGCTCACCGCAGTCTTGAATCCTGACCCTTTGAGCTTCACTGAAACACAGTCGAGGAGTATCCGGAACGCCACCTGGCCCACCACTTGTCCGCACCAGAGCTGCTCGACTGCAAGTAGAGATGATTTGCCCGGCGAATGCAGGTGGCAAAACCTGAGCTTTAAACTTGACCTTTTCTCAGAAACGTTTTCAGTTGCTGCCAATATGGTACGCGTCAAGGGAATCCTCGAGATGTGTGTTTTCTATTTGTTTCTCTTTAAGCCGACCCCCAAAGAGGACCCTTGGGCGGCAGATCAACGTAAAACCCGAAAAAGCGTCATTCCCAGAGCAGAGGAAACTGCTTCCCCCGGAGTCAGGTACCCCTGAATTGGTAGTTGGATTTGGTGGTTTGGGGATTTGAACCCCTAATTCCTGTAGAGGATAAATGGGAAACGAGTTCCTAACACCCAAACCAGCAAACCTCCAGACAAGGGAAAGCAGATCAATCTGTTGATGCTTGTTTTCCATTGTGATTGCCTTGAGGCTACCGCCTCCGTGGCAGGTTGCAGAGGCGTGGATGCAGAAGGGGAATGCCTCAAGCCCCCCCCCCCCCGCAGAAGAACTTTTGCACGGCTGTGCAGTTGGGGCATTTCTGTTTTTCTCTCCAGAAGGTTGGCAGCTTTTTTCAGGTCTGGTAGAACCCCCCGTAGTAGATATTTATTGGGGATGGTTTTAATATCAGGGATAGTTCCCGGCCAGACCAACAGTCCTTGCTTTTGTTAGGTATCTTCCATGTTATCCGTGTTGTCGTCCGTGCTATCTTCCGTGTTGCCATCCGTGTTATCTTCCTTTAGCAGACCTCGCATCACAGAAGCACTTTTCAAAAGGTGGATGTGAGTTGAAGAGATTCAAGAGTTTGTGCGTCGGCTTGTTTACCACAGTCAATTTTAGGACTTGTAGTTTGCAAGTTGAGAACAACTTTCTCTCGCGCTTTGTGCACTCATGTTCTCAAGTCATGTTGCAGCATCTGGGACAAATGTCGCTGCCCTGGAAATAGTATGTGTGTGAAATCCGACCTTTGCCATTTCAGACAAAGCGGATGCTTTTGTTTTCTGAGTGTGGAGTTGTTTAGGGGCCCTCCCGTTTGGTTTCCGTTTAACTTTAACCCCCCTAAAAAAAAGAAAAGACAAGAAAAGAACAAAAAACAAGCCGCCCAGAAGAAGAGACACCCTCTCAGGGCTGCCAGGAATGGTTGCAGTGTGCCAATCGGCAGGAATTGGGGCAATCTGGCATGGCGGCTCCGAGATATTTATTGGTGAGATTGGGCGCTTCAGCAGCAATCTGAGGAGGAGGACACACCAAGGGCATTATTCAAATTATGGGTGTGTCTTTTTTGAGGGCAGCATTTTTTGTGCTTTTTTTTGAGGACACCGTAATTTGTTGTGGGTCCGGGTGGGTTTGCTTTGCAAGTTTGTTGTTTAGGTGCACATTGTTCTCCTTCGTGTATAGAGGCCACTGTCTTTTTCTTGCTCAGTTCGGGTTCGAGTTTGGGTTGGTTGATAGCTATCATTGAGCAGGAAGCATCCATCCTTAAGTTGCCAACCATGCTTTTTACGGAAAGCATGGCTCCAGGGTGTTGCAGAGAGCACACAAGCACACAACTTGTACTCTTGGAGGGGCAAGTAGCTGACTGGGTTTTGAAAGGGTGAGAGATATGCTGCCTTACAAGAACACCTAATGTCATGGCGGCGGACAGATGTTTGTCCGCTCTGTCCTCCATAAATACAGAACCACTAAGCAGGGGCAGTGGTTTCCTATCGGTTTCTGACCACTGTCAAAACAAGTGTACTTATGTCCAATGTTTGGACGCTGCCTCAATCCAAGGCGAGTGCATCCCAGCAGAGACTGGTGCCGCTCCCGTGCATCGCTCCAGGCGGGCAACTTTTCGCGAGTTGCTCGCTCGCGTTCCCATGCCCGCGCGCCGTGCAGAACGAAGCGATCGCAACTGAATCCGTGACGGCAAGTTCGAATTTTGGTTCTTGTTTCTGCTGCTTGAGTGTGTGAGGTTAGGCACGAACATATGCATGACACCTTACACAGAAATGCCTACTTTATGATAATCAACATTATCCGTATGAGGAAGTCACCATTTGATGGCTTCTCATTAAAGATGAAGCCCCGCAAACTTGTACTGTTTGTTGACATCAAGTCCCTCTTGCCGATTCGATCTCCAGGCATTCTGCCCGTTGATTTGATCGGCTAATTTGGAAAGGTGCTGTTCGGTGAGGGCGGAATTTGAGCCGTGAGCATTTCTTGGATCCTCGAGTCCAAGAAGGTCGAAACGTGTCACGGTCGGAATGGGACCAGTGTCTCAAAAGATGGGTGTGCGCGATCACGCCAATCGCGAGAGGTTGGACTGTGGGCCGCAGTGGAAAGACTTCCTAAACTACGGGGAGTACAACAACCCCGAGGGAGTGTCCCTGGAGGCACGCACACGTGGGAAAGGAGCAATGCATTTCACAGACATTCACCAAATGGTGGTTGCTAGGTGAATTCATGAATTGTCCAGTGCGTGTTTGATACGGATGTTGACAAAATTGGCTGGTTGTCAGTCAGCTTGACCATGCCTTCATATATACACATATTCATTTTCTTTTTGTATGCATGTATATGCATGTGTATATGTATATGCATATGTGTATATGTGCATATTTAAGGAGCTTCTTATTTATGTGGGCATGTATATATGTACATATGCATGTATACACATATATATATATATATATATGTATATCTATGTATCTATGCATTCATGTATATATGTATAAATGTGTATGTGTATATGTGTATGTGTATATGTTTATGTGCATATGTGTATGTGTGTATGTGTATGTATGTGTATATGCATATTTGTATTTGTGTGTATATGTACATATGTGTTTTGGCATGCATGAGTGTATGTGTATATATACATATATGTATACAGGAGTATATATATATATATATAGATGTGTATATATGTAGATATGCATGTGTATATATATGTATACACATGTAAATAAATCTGTGCTTGTGTCTGTATATATGAATACATAAATGTGAATATGTTTATGTATATATATATATGTATGTATATTTGTCTCTATGTATCTACATACATAGGTCCATGCACTATGTATATGAATATATGTATGTTTGTACCTGCGTATCTACGTATGTGTGTGCGTGTGTGTGTGTGTCTACGTACATGTGTATGAATGTCTAAATGTATATATGTGTATGCATAACTATATATATACATATTTATATATATGTACTTATGTGCATATGTGCAAATGAATAACTGTGCACCTGTGTGTATATTTCTGTACGTATATGTGTAATTTTGTATTTATGTACTGATTCTTAGAATGTATATACGTTTATATGCATTTATGCATTTATGTGCATATATATGTATGCATTTATGTATGTATGTGCATATATATATTTATATTTACATACATACACATGTATTTGTATGTACACATGTTCTTATAGGTATGTGTACTCATATGTGTTTTTCCCCAAGGCATTGCAAGTCTCGCTAGCAAGTCCAAGTAGACGTAGCTCTAGCAAGTAGCAGTACAGTAGCAAGTAGAACTAGCACGTAGCACAAGCAAGTTGCAATAGCAAGTTGCACCAGGGAGTTGCATTAGCAAGATGCAGCAGCAAGCAGCACTAGCGAGTTGCACTAGCAAGTAGCACTGGCAAGATAGCGCTAGCAAAGATGCGCTAGCCAGTAGCACTAGCAAGATAGCACGGGCAAGCTAGCGAGTTGCAGTGGCGAGTTGCACCAGCAAGTAGCACTAGGAAGTTGCATTGTCAAGTTGCAGCAGAGGTTGCCAGAGCCAAGTTGCACAAGGAAGATGCAGGAGCGGTGTGTAAAGCGAGCTGCACAGTCAAGTTGCATAACAGGTTGCATTAGCAAGCTACAACAGCAAGTTACATAAGAGATTGGCACGAGAGGTTTTCAGTGTCTCACACTAGATAAATATGATTGCTAATATTGTTATGAATTCAAGCGTGAAGGTGAAGGGAAGAGAGCGAAGCTCAACAAGTATAAATTACTCTTTGAAGGCGGCGGGCCTGGAGTTGGGCAGGTCGAGGCTCAAAGGCTCGAGGTTTTTGCTACTTTCTGCAGCCGCAGATCAGCCCTCTGCGGGGATCGTCGTGGTTTGAGGACTTTTTTCGACGTTTCAACAAGCGCGCCCCCCCCTCTGTAAAGATCCGCGTGGTTGGTGTCAAAAGGAACTGAGCACTTTGCACGATTTCTGCGGCGCCCGCGCAACCTTCCAGGGATGCGGGAGTTCACGCACGACTCTCTGGAGATTGGGGTGGTCGATGTGCAAGAACTGGCACCTTTTCCCCTTGTGGTCGATCGCACGAAACGCAAGTCAAAGGCCACTTTTTCTAGTCAGCGCGTGGGCTTGAGGCAAAACAGAAGAATATGCCGGGCAAGGTTGGTGCGTATGTATTGGTAGGAATAGAGGCAACACTGGCGAAGTCCGCATGAATGTATATGTGTATAATGTTTATGTGTACGATTTCGTATGATATGGTATGCTTTGAGTGTACGCACATGCTTACTCACATGTAGTATATGTGACAAATTGTAGACGCTTTGCGCTGATCGCCTCGGCCTGGGCCATTTAACTTAAAGGCTTCCTTTGATCTCCGTTCTTACTCCAGGGCCGGGCGTTGGGAAGCTGGGCAGCTGGCAAGAAACGCGGTTCATGCCTCCCATGCGTGAAAGACCGACCTTGGACAAGGGCTGGGGCCAGGTGAAGCCCAAGAAAAGAGAGTAGAGGAGAGGCCTTTGCGCTTGGCCAGTTTAAGAGTAAGGGCCGGGGCTAGGGAAGATCCCTATGATCTCGAGAGGGATTTGGCCGCTTCCAGCCGCTGGGCGACGAGGCGAGGATCTCACACACACACACAATATACTCTATACACTCGTAGATACATACTTATGGTTACATCCATCCACACATACATCTACATCTATATATATATATATATATATATTTCTTTATTTCTTTATTTACACACACACACGCGCACATGAGTGTGGTTTCTGACCACCCCATACACGCCCTGACACCAAGCAAGCGCCAAGAACGACTGCACAGTTCGATCCTTCACAGATCCTTCAATCAGCTCCTTCTAGCAGAGCCCCGAACGAATGAGTGGAGGAAGTGCTGACCTGCCCCTGCTGCTTGAGCATCTTCCGGCAGCCCATTGCGCTGCCCTGCGGCCACAGCCTTTGCCGCCAGCGCCCCAGCATTTTGGTCGCACGTCGCAGGACGTACGCGTGCACCTTGCCGAGGTGAGTCTAGCCTCAGTACTTAGTCTTCGGAGAGTCACTGACGAGAGTGTAGAAAGGGGGAATCTCTGCAGCATATTTTGCTCAAACCCTTTTGCTTCTGAGGAGTATTTGCGGTGAACAGGCAATACATGAAGGTACGCCTGCCGAGGCGGCTGCTACGTGCGTGTGTTCTCACAGAGTACGAGCGCGCGCAGATGTCCGCTCTGCCGAACGGAGCCGGGGGCTGTCTTAGCATGTTGTCCCACTTGCTGCGTCAAATGAAGCAAACCTTCCCACTGGCGCAAGGGTTTCCTTGAGGTTTGCTTGCAGTTCCTTTTTCATGAGGGTGAACCTTGACAGCACCTTCCAAGCGGCTCTCACGATTCACGAAGCACTGGGCAGCTTGATGGGCCAGATTTGGATCGTATGCGCTTTGCCGTAAACGAGACGTAGTTTGAGAGCAAAGTCTGGGCTGTGCGTGGGCTTACTTTGTGTCCCCCTTTGGACAAATGGAGGGTGCTGCAAATTATGTAGAACACTCGGGGCCTGACATCAACAGGCTTTACTCAGACTTGATGAGTTTCTTGCAAACACGTCACCGCAGTTCATGCGACCAAGGCGGACTAGAGGAGCCAAACCTTGTGTTGCATCTGTTTCCTTCATTGACCAGAGGGTTGACTGTCCTGCAAACTACCCAAAACGGGAGGGGGTCCCGCAAAGAAGCAGATTCTTCAAAGGTCTTGGGGGCTCCATCATGCAGAGAGACGCTTAATCTTGACGAGGACTTCGCTGCTGATTCGTCTGACTCGGATTCGACCAGGACCTACCGCGCTTCGACATGAAAGTGAACGTGGCCTTGACCGCCGTCTCAGACGCCCTGCGGTCCTTTTTGGCTGTCCAGAGGCAGGACAGTTTTGCGGGTGATCTGCAGTCAAAATTGGAGGGACGCGAGGGAGTCAGACTAACCGCTCAAGCAACGGCACATTTTGATCGCGGCTCGTGTGTCCCAGAAGAGGGGAACTGCAAAATGGCGTTCCGCTGGTGTTCCTTGTTCAAACCACCCAAAAAAACAAGACCCACCCATTTCAAGTGGAAGCTTCCATGATCTGTTTGGCTGATCCCTTATCTTGAAAAGAGCCGCATGGAGAGCTGACCAGTGTTGCTTTGCAACAACCCTTACCTCGCTTCTTTGACAATTGTCCAGCACGAGCCTTTCACGTGTCCTCTTTGGGGTATGCCACCCCAGACACCAGTCACGTGGCCGAATCGCCGAATATGCCAGGCCGAATCCTCGTCCTGGTCAGGGTTGAATGATCGGAATGCTGTTCAGCTAAGGCTGGCACGTTTGAGACAATGCCAAGGTTTTCACTCCATTTATAGCTCTTGGCTAAGTTGGCAAGCTCTCAATGCTTTGTAGTGTGGCTCATATCGCAGCCATGGCCGAACGTATGGCTCGGGCATTTTTTTCCCGCCCGCGCGCGCGAAAGCCGAGTGTTTAGGTGTGACCCCTTGCAAATGCCGTCCACCAAGAGGGCCCCAAGCAAGAGTCACACCCAAATACCTTCACTGCAGCAGCCATTGATACTTTTTCTGCTTGCAGAACCCCTATACATCTGAACCAGACGCCTGGGAGCTGCACTTGCAAGACCAAGTGGCTCCATGAAGCTGCCATCGGAGCATGCTGCAACTTTGCTTTTGAATTGAGGAATCTCTCATCGCGGCAAAATTGGTCATTGCCCGACACGTTTCGCATTGGAGCACTGTGGCAGTAGTGGGCGCAGGAAAAGATGTGCAAATCAGGGCAACCTTCAACGAGTTGCAGTGACACTTCGGACATGCCAATCACGTTCATTGAAATGATCTCCACTTGAGGTTCAATAGTCAGCTTGGAACTTGCTTGGACATGGCTGCGTGGCATTTCCAGCTTCAAAGGGAGCATATCTGCTCAGCTACGGGATATTGTTGACACCGCAAGAGCCTAGAGTCGTGGTGTGAAATCACTGGTACCAAGCTTTTTCGTGAGCTTCGAGCATCACCGGCTTGGAGGGGAGCATTGCTCATGCTGCACTATTCAGGGAAAAACACTCAGAGCCTTGACACGTCAAGAAGAAACATAAATCAAGCTGGGCTTTCTCTGCCGCGGAGCCTGCGGGGAAATGCCTGGATTTGCGTCGCGTAGGCGGATGACTTCTTGCTGTGCGCTGAGGGTTGGTATTGATTTGGCATTGTTTCACGGGGATGACCAGAAGGCACCCATAAGAGGCTGCCCATCAACGTTGATGTTAATGTTCTCCCGGCTGTGCTTCTTCCTGCTTTCAACACAAACTGGGAGCTATCTCTTGATTTTTTAAAGAAGGAATGACACAGCCTTTACTGTTCAAGTTGTAGCGCAGGACAAGTATGGATTTGATCGCCTCTTTCACCTGAGTTGTTCCATCCTGAGGTGGGACGGAACCAAACATCCTAGCGTGTATGGCATGAGCCATGGTCATGTTTCAGCCGGTTTTCAGGTGATAGCATTTGATGAAAGGGATGGATCACGAGGCTTGGCAAAGCGCCCGCCAGTAGTAAGTCGGTTGATTCTGTAGGAAGAACGCACCTTCGTGCGGTAAGAAGAACCATCCCCGACTTTGTAAAACGCCGGCGAAGCAGAACCCTTCAGTTGGGGTCACCTGTCTTCATGCAAGGATTCATGGGTGATGCTTTTTTACTCGGGCTCTTACATAGCCTTCCCTTTTGTGAACTTGCGAACCTTTTGGTATCATGCCCTATGCGAAGCATCTTGCATGGAACAAATAATAGCCCTGGCGGTCAAAACAACCAGCTTCGACTGGGTCTAGTTGCTGTTCCAGGTCTTGCTGGAAGTTGTTTGAGGCCTCGAGCAATGTCCCCCTGTGATGCGATGGTCTCTGAAACGATCGCACGCGAGACGCCGAGAAACCACAAGCAATATCCCACCTCGACTTTACAGGTGGGAAAACCACGTTTTGCCCCTAACCCTGTGCATTGCATATGGTGTGTCAGCAGCAGAGACCCCAAAATCTGACTGGGGAATGGTAATAGGATCTCCTGTGCATTGAACATGGTGTGTCAAACACCAATCTCTTTGACTTGATTCATCTTGAAAGGACATGAACTCGTAAGGATCAACACTTGTCTCTCCCCATTGGTCCTTGTGACGCAGGCGTGCCTGGTCCAGCCGGGGCCGAAGGGTCTTGATGGGCGCGAATCTCCAAGCAAATGATGTTAAAATCTAGCCGGCCTGGCCCCCCCTGGCAAGGGTCTATCCAGATATTGGCAGGAGTCTATCCGGTCCTCTGGCAGCAGTCTATCCGGTCTTCAGGGTGCCCCATTCAGGTTTGAGCAGAAGAGAATGCTGGCAGCAAAAGTTGGGAAGCCGTTTTTTTTGACAATGGAAGGTCTTCATATCTTTTACTCACCCTCTTCAGGTAGAACATAATTAGGAAATCGATTGCTTTGCCTGGTGGAGGATTTTTCGTCATGATCCCGCCAGCGTCTAGGGCACATTGCGTGGCTTTGGTGCGAAATTGCTCACCAAAGTTTCAAGCATTACTGGAGTCGGCCAGACGTGCCTTGCGCTTTCCTCCCTGGCTTTGAAACCACACAATGCCATCGCTTTTCCTTCAGTTTCCCTTTAAAGCAACCTCGACAAGCAGCTTCTCAGGAGAGTATCACAGATTGGACTCTGTCTCCATCCGCCAGCCCTTTTTCTGGACCATTTTAGTGTCTTGTCCAGACATTAATCCGTGGGATGATCTGGACTCGGGTCCAACTCATGCCTCTTTTACCGACCAGCAAAGATGGAAGTGTGCAGACGTCTTTCAGCGCAGTTCGCATCAAGTCCGTACTCAGGCTTTGCATTGCCAGTGCTGCTAGCCACAGGCGGTCTAATTTCGTGCGTTTGGGAGGGGTCGTCACATAAGGGGATCGCCAATTTATGGTGTCCGCTCCAGGCTAGGTTTGCTTCTGGTCAGGTGATTAAGGGGGGCATACCAAGAACCCTGCTTTGGAGCATGGGGTCTCTGTTTTCATTGCGGCCTGCGAGCCTGCAGGGGCAAGCCGCTTAGCAACCGTGCACAGGACAGGTATGCTGGGAAGTTTTGTGGCCAGGCTTTTCTTGCCACCTTCCATGGCAAACCTGGACACGGGTGTGTTTTTGCTTCTCCCTTTTTGCGAGGATACCCTTTGTTGGATTGTTTCAAGGTATTTCAAAGGGACACCACATTGAAACCGAACGGCCATCGTTCCCCTGCCTGGGACTTGGCAGGTAGCGGAGTCGAGAAGGCCAGGAGCGTGATATTTGACTCGAGCCACAAGATACGAACCCGAAGTGAAGGTTCGTACAACATCCACTTGGCACGAGTTGGAGGGGTTTAATCGGATACCAGGTTCTCATTATGACTCACCTGACCTTTGCCTGTTCAAAGGCTACGCCCTGTTCTACTGGAGGTCTGTGCAACAAATCCAAAAAGATGCCCAAACAACGCCTTGAGCCACTGAAAGGTGTCCTCATTCCGTTTGTGTCATCATCCCACGGCTTAAATCCAGTGCTTGATTTGACTCAAGGGACACACGTGGATAGGCGTCCTATTCCTGCTTTAGGTTTGATACTACAAAGGACTTGGGAGGTACCCTATTCACGAAAACTTGCTCGCTGGAGTCTCTCTTGCTTTAGCCACAACTCTGTGACATATCATCTTTTGCGCGCTCACTGCGGTCCAATAAATTTGGCTCCAGAAGATGGGCTTTCCTTTTTACGGACAAGGCTCCCTGCCAACTCTTTGCGCCTCGCTCTTCTCGCCGCACCTCTCCCCACTCTTCGATCCGCTTTGCGCTCTTCTCCCCGCTCTTCTTTCCAATTGGGTCTATCTTTCTTTGTGGGTACCTGCTTTGGGGTTGGTTTGGGAAAACAAAAGGAACACCACCAATTTGGGGGGCTAATAAAAGACACACCCGCCCTTCGCTTTCTCATTTCAGTTCTCCGCTCTGAAAACTCATGCGCTTTGCTTGCACTCTGACCGGGTGATTTTTGCATTGTTTCCCGAAATCGCTTTTGCGCCCGGAAGACGCAGAGCTATTCAAGCTCTTTGGTTGTGGTTGTTCCTTCTCGCGAAGTTCCTGTGTCATCTGCGTGCCAGCGTCGCCCTTGCGCGGATGAGGCATGCTGCCAATCCTGCTGCACAGATGATGCCCTGGCTTCTGGAGGCACACCAGGCACGCCAGTGGGAACGCCAGGGGAATATCCTCATCGCCAACCCAACCAACGCACGCACACCCACAACCACACCCACACCCACACCCAAGCCCACAACCACACCCACACCCACACCCAAACCCACACCCACAGCCACACCCACATCCGCACCCACACGCGCAGGCGCACGTTCGCGCACACGCCTACGAGCACGCCCACGCCCGCTCCCACCCCCACGCCCATGCCCACGCGCACATGCGCACACGCGCGTGCGCGCACACGCGCACAGGCGCACACGCGAATACGCCCACAGGCGCACACGCGCAGGCACACGTTCACGCAAACGCCTACGAGCACGCCCACGCCCGCTCCCACCCCCATGCCCATGCCCATGCCCACGCGCACATGCGCACACGCGCACACGCGCGCACGCGCACATGGTGCGTATGGCGCACACGCGAACAGGTGCATACATGTGCGCGCACGCTCTTCACACGCGCTAGCACAAGCGCACGCACAGACACGGGCACACGTGCACGCACACGCACACACACACACATACACATTATTTTTCTTGGTTTTTAATGGCACCCTTTGCAGGAAAGGATCTAGTTTTTTACGTGAGCAGCTGGCTGGATTTTTGAACTGGGCACCAGGCCGCAAGGCTTTGTGCGCATGGCAAGTCGATCCGGTCTGAGTCTGAGGCCCCAGCCAGCTTGAGCAGCCTGAGCGGCAGCTTACTGGGCGACGTGGCCAACCAATTGGAAACTGCCATTAGTGGGGACACACTGAATCTAGAACGGTTCGTGGATGTAAACCCCACGTCTTCCTGATGCTCGCCAAAGAGTCTATTAAGCATCATACCCTAAACTTGGCCTTGTAGTCCAGGAAGTTACGAACTTAGATGTCAAGACTCCAGGTGACAAGCTGCCGGTGTCAAGATTGACCCGGCAACTTGGGAGATCGCTGCTCAACGTGATCCGTTTCTTTTGGCCCTTGTGCGGACGGCGGGGTTCAATCGCACTGTAGCTGATTGAGAAGCAAGGAGACGGGGAGAAGAAGAAGCAGACGGGGAAGGGAGGCAGAGAAGAAAGAAGGCGAAGCAAGGAGAAGGAGCCAAACGACTGACTTGGGTCCCGTGGTCTTCCGGCTTCTTTCCGTCGTCTTCCGATTCCTTCCCGTCTTTCGGCTTCCGTCTTCTCAAAAGACGCTTCCTGGTCCATAAAGCCAACCACTTGGTCCGAAAAACCTGTTCTTGGTGCATAAAACCCTCTTCTTGCAGTAGCTTCAACAGTTCGGGCTTTGATTGGCAAGGGGATCTAGTTTGCGCAAATCTGAACCGACAAAACGGTGCGCTGGTGTAGCGTCCACATGGACAACTGCTGCGTGCTGTTCTCATCACGCAACAGTGCACTGGCCAGCTTGTCCCCAACGAAGAGAACACCTTCGTCACGTGCTACAATTTCTGACGGATCTTACTTCCAGCTTTGCCAGTATTCAAGTGACCGACAAACCAGTTGTTCTGAGTTTTGCATGGACTTCGGCACCACTTTGATCACGTTGGCCCTAATTGGTGATTTGAATTGGTGGTTTGGGGATTTGAACCAGCAGTTCCTCTTCACACCACTTGGAAGCTACCCCCTAACCTCCAAACCAGCAAACCACCGGCTTGGGGTCAGCTGATTTGAGGCTTTACTACGACAGGGACTTTCAGCATGTTTGGAGGACCTGCAAGCGAGTCAATCCTTTTCCTACGGAGATCATGTTCTCCCTGCCGAGAGTTTCCATGCCTCTTGATCTGTGCTGAATTCACAACTGGAGTTATTAACAGTCCCTCACACTTTTGTGGGCTCTCGAGATTGTTTGCAGTTGGCGGTGAATGCCCCAGGACGAACGGGGAGCAGCTGGAGTACCTTGAGGCAATCTGATTCTTGGAAGCATCGCCCAGAAAATTTGAGGATGCACGACTATCTATGGGATATATGTATATATATATATATTATCTATAACATGCATACAAGTTCGCCTGAATGGTGGCGGCGGGTGGTGGCAGTGATGCGGTGAGTGTTGCACTTCATTTATTTGTTGTAATATCATGAAGTTGAATCTTCAAGCGTCGGAAAGTTCACTTCTTGCACCTTGTTCTCATCGCTGCCTGTTGCCCTGGCACAAGAACAAGAGGGGTAGAGCTGGACGCTTAGATGGGTAAGCCCACACCTCCATTTGGTGTCTCCAAATTGAACCCCCCAAAATGGTTTCGCTTTCAAACAGCCGTACGTGGTTTCCAAAGGGGCCAAATTCATTTCCTCCAAAAAGACGAGGCAGCTGACCAACTGAGCATATCCAAAATAGGGGCCGAAGTGGAATGTTGCCCAAAGGTTTCCCTTTTCGTACCAAAACCAGACCAATTTCTAGTTGCCAGGTCCACCTTACCTCGGTACCCAACCCCGCAGGCGGAGTACCACTTCGGCCTGGTGGCGGACCTGGACTTGAACTCCCGGGACCCGCAGGAGTTCATTTGGCGCCTTGGCAGACCGCTTGGTTGTGGCAGGGTCCCCGGCATCACCAGAAACTTTGTTGTAGACTGAATTTAGGGTGGGTTCAAGGATTGTTCAGGGTGGGTTTGGGCGGCGAGCGGAGCGTGTGTTTGTTTCGGGTGGGTGTAGGGTTGCTGTAGGGTTGCGCAGGGTTTGTTTAGAATTGGTTTAGGGGTGTGTTTCGGGTGGGCTTAGTTGTGGTTTGGCTTAGGGTGGTTGGGGCCGGTTTGGGGTGGGTGCAACGGGCAGGTTTAGGCTGGTTTGTGGATGCTTTAGTGCTGGTTTACAGCAGGTCTAGGGTTAGTTCAAGGTTGGTTTCGGCTGGGTTTAGGGTTGGTATAGGGTTTGTTTGGGTTTTGCCTATTGCGTATAGGGCTTGGTGTTGGTTTAGGGCATTAGTACAGGTTTGGCTTGGGGTGGGTTTAGGTTTGGTTCAGGGTTGGTTTAGGGTGGCTTGAAGGTTCGGTAAGTGCGGGTTGCTTATGCTAGATTTAGTGGGGGCTTAGGCATAGTGTAGTTTTGGTTTAGTGTGGGTTTAGGCTGGGTCTAGGGAAAGGGCTTGCTTAGTGTTTGTTTAGGGTTGAGTTGTTGTGGTTTAGCGCTGGTTCGGGGTGCGATACAAACACCCACCAGGCAGTGATGCTACTGAGCGTTGCTGGTGATGCTGAGGATGTGGAAAGCCAAAGCTGCAAAAGCCAAAGCCAAAAAAACTCCCACCGGGGGTGTTGACCACGATGCTGGGGATGTTGAGGGTGCTGGTGTAAAACAGGTGCATTTCGTTGGCAAAGGCTGTAAAATGAGTTATTCTAGCGCCTGCCGAACCTAGGCAAAAAACGGCCTGCCGAACCCGCCAAGGGGCAATTTATTGGGAAGTGGTGAAACCATTTGGTATGATGTGGGGTTGTCTCAAAATGTTGGGTTGTCTCAAAATGGCGGACCCCCCAAAATGCGGTGTTTCCTTTGGTGTTCCGATCAAACAACCTGCAAAACGGAAACAACTCCAAAACGACTTTCGCTCCCCATTTGCTTTGGGTGGGGCATATGCTAGCTGTTTGTTGCAGGCAATATCGGTTTATTGTTTGTTCTGCACCCGAGTCGCATGCAGCTTTTTGGCAGGTGAGCAGCACGTGATTGGTCAAATGCGGAATGGACCTGGGCCTTGGGTAGATGGGAAACGGTCGAGTTGAGAAAGGGGAGCTGATAGATTTCGGCCGCCATGTCATTTGATGTCTTGTGTGAATGATCGTGAACTGCTGGTCACAAAGAAGCTAGTGGCACAGCTCACAAAGTTTGTCTCTGCTGGCAGGTGTGCAGGCTCCTTCCTTCATGACAAACACGGATGAGCTGCGCTCAAACCCCCATTGGCCATTTTGGGAGGTGGTTCTACTACCTTGTTTAGTTGGAGTTACAACAAGGCCCGCATAAACCTTTACAACTATATTTGTAGAACCAAAAGTCAGTGGGTTTTGGTTGCTGCTCAGATGCATTGTGATTTGGTGTGGTTACAGTACCACCACATCTGAGGCGATCCTACCTGAAGAACCTCGTCGGCATTGTTCGCGACCTTCTTTGGTTTGCGTGCTTGGGGTACATAACTTTTGGCTTGGAAACAGGGAACCGCGGTCCAGGATGGGTGGGGCTGCACCCAACTTCATTTCTTGCCAGCAAGCAAGGGGTGTGGCAACCTCCAGACTTTCTTCTCATCAGAGTGACAGCTGATCAGAGACAGCATCCCTCCGGAGCCACTGCATTCTGCCCATGTGACAAAGGCTGGATCAGATACCAATATGTCTGGGAAGCACTAGCGATGTCATATCAAGTGCCCAGCTTAGCTTGTTTTGTCACGCAAGATGCTGATGCTAATGCCTACTTGATCAATCAATCGTGCATTGTAGATGCGGCAGGCGTCAAGAGGCACAAGGCAATGAATGACGATACCAAGACCTGCCAGTGGGGGTGGGAAGGGAGCCCGTCCTCTTCTGAAGCCCTGTAGGTCTTCGGGGCTGGTAGCCTTGGATCATCTTGGTTCCTAGGCTCAAGAAATACATTCCGAATCACCCAACTCAAACTAGGAATTTGCCGTTGACCATGTGCCCCCGGTGGTTTCAAAGGGAAATCAAAAGGACATCGCCCATTTGTTTGGGGTCCAACCTTAAACAAGACAAATCCATGTGACCGTCGTTTCAACAGTTGCACCCCTAAAAGTCGCGATGCCTTGATCGACCTCCTGCGGTTTGGCTTCTTGGCGACCCCACGTGATCGCCTTGCCGAGCGGTCTGCTTCCAAGCATCCCTCTAAAAAGTGCACTGCCAAAATTAGGGATGACATGGGACGACCTAAATTCCCCGCAGAAAGCTAGGTGGCCTGCCCCAATTTCCAAGTAGTTTTTTTTCAAAACAAGTAGTTTTGTCCGGGGCTCATATGAGCTTGTCCTTCAAGGATGCTCATCGCGTCGAGCTCTCCCGCAAGGGAATCATCACGTGTTTCCGTGGTACCCGCTTCAAATATATCTTTCTTCACTATCTAAAAGGCTTAAGTGACGTCCCAATGGACGCAACTCTCGCCTCCGGTTTATGGCCCACCGGCTTCCGGCGAGCCTCGAGCGTGTCTCGAGGAAGGGCCGCGTGGTGAAGCTCAGCAGCCGCCAGCAGCGGGATCGCTTCACCGCAGGGGGCCCCTGGCGGGTTGGAAGCTCCCGGGTTTCCAGGAGGTCAATGGGGATGGTTCCGACATGGCAGGGCTCCGACATGCTGTTCTTTTTAGGACCCCCAAAATGGCTTCGGCTTCCTGTTGGTTTCTCTTTCGAAACCACGAAACAGGGGTACCATCAGAAAGGACAGCCCCACATTTGATCAAACTATCAGTTCATTTAAGAAGGGCGAGTTGAAGAAAAATAAGGGTTCTGAAGAAGGAGGGGCCTTCGATTAGTTAAGTTGCACCCCCCCTCAACCTTTTTGCACGACATTCCCTACCTGAGTTGAGAGAAAGATGCCTCATGTCCTCTTTGGCCGCAGCCATGTTGGCGACCAAGTGATTGGCGCACCTGTTTTAGTTGGAGGAAGTGGACATGGACTTGGTAAGTACATTGGTCATCGCAGCACATATCGATCCATCAGCCTTGGGTGCTTTGGTTGACCGAGACAGACCTTTTAAGCTGTTGGACAATTAGAGTTTCCTCACTTAGCACAACTTTTTCCAGGTCGCAAACAAACCGGTAACTACCTGCAAACTGGTTGACCAGGGCGATTGCAATGCAGCATCGCTTTCAACAATGCTTGACATTGCATTGAGGAGAGAAGCTAGAAATCCTTAATAAGCGAAACAAGACCACTCTCCAGTTGAAGCCCCATTTGAACGCACTCTTTACAGGCACTTGAGGGTATCCAAATCATTTAGAAAGATAGATGAATGATTTCCATTCCATTTTACTTCGATCTGTTTAGAATTTTGTCAGACACTTTTGCGCCAGTGTGGCAGCTCCAATAGACAGGGTCGACCTTTGCCGCCCTGAGCACGACATATGCCGCCTACCCCAGGAACCGAAAGGGACGGAAGGCGGTCTTGTTGACTTAGGTGGTGTGGGACGAGGACGGCACGAGAGGCTCTGGGCACCACCTTGTTTTGAGGAAGCCGAAGGAACACCGCTCAGCTCAGCGGGGTTTCGGTTCACCTGGCACGGAAGCTTCAGGAGCTCGAGCTGCGGTCCTCCACTGCTACCCGAAACCGATCCATGGAGCTCTCGGCGCCTTAGCCGACTTGCGCAGATTGAACCCCAGAAACAAAAAAAGCAAAAAAAAACAAGCGCATCACGTGTGTGGATCCATGTCTGTTCTTTCAATACAAGAAACACCAAATCCAATTTCACGGCTTCTTTTTGTATTGAACGAAATGGGTGAATCTATTTATTGGCTTCCCCCAGCTTAAAATCAAATGGCGCCTCGGTTAAAAACCGGGGTACTCGCCGCACCAAGGAGCTGGTTCATTTCAAGCGCCGGCCTTAGCTCCCTTGCTGTAGCTGTCGTGCAAGCGCGAGGGTCCTGTCCCCCAAAACCCCAAAACCCCCAAACTCCAAAACCCCCAAACTCCAAAACCCCCATTCCAGGCCCGCTGGCGTTTTTGAGCCGAGGAGGCTCCTCCTGGCGTTCTGTGACTACTCGGGGATTGCCTACAAGATCGATGCTGGGGCCCTATTTCACATGGAGTACTTTAGGCTTTCCCCCCCCCCCCCCGCCCCCCCCCGGAGTGGTTTCGGGTGGATCCTAGTGCGCTCCTGTGAGACGTCTGGCTGCCAAATCAAGGCCTTGACTGGCAAGGTCTTCCAGAGGCATCCGGGTGGGGGGAGATGGGTTGCGAAGTTGGCCTTTTCCGGCCCAAGCTTTTAACGTCAGCTATTGGTTTGTCTAGCCCTGTACGTCCAGTTAAAACCTGGTAACCAGGGATCCTTACCCCTAGGCTTTTCATGATAGTTTCCCTGTTACCTACTGTGGTGACTGGGAGTGCCGGGCAATGTTACGTACGGTGCTTCTGATTCCAGGTGGGTCATCGCTGACGGGGACGGCAACGAGCCTAAGCCATTCAAGGCTGAATGGGCCACCATCAAGGCGGCCCGGCACTGGGGTTTGGCCCGGGCGATCCCCGTAGCAACACCTTTTGTTGAGGGTACCCCTGCTTTGTACGAAAGGGACATGAAGCGGAACACCACCATTTCGTGGGGTTCCAAAAAAAGACACCCAGTTTGGCCAGGTAGTTGATGCACAATCACTATACCAGCTCCATGATGGCTGTGTGGATGACTTGCATTGGGTCCAAAGCCTTGACCGAGTTCGAAACTAGCGATCCACTGACATGGCCTCATTTTGTCGCCCGACTGTTACACTATTCTGCGTGTTGCGGCGCAGGGTACCGATTCTTGTGAGTTATCTTTGACAGTACTAGCGAGGCCTGCCTTTGTTGAGGATCAGTGTGTGCGCGAAGGCGTGTTCACGGGCGCGGGCGTGTTGTGTGTGTGTGCGGGAGTGTGTGCTGAAGTCTATACAACTGAACTCGGAAATGGCAGAACAAATGAATCGACATGTCTCAGTGTCAGTGCCTACATTTTGTGTTGGTAAGACCATCAACATTTTTTCTTGCGGCAACTTGGCTCTGAATCAATGGCCTTCCTTCGCTTTCGGGTGCCTGAGCTCGCAGGGAGACTTCATCTGGGTGGGGTCCATCGGCTTTGAGTGGTATGGCACGAGCGGGGAGATCCTGCGCCTCGGCCAGTGTGGGCGGTATTTGAGTCCCAAAAGACGTGACCGGTTCAATGAAGGGGGTGGGTGAAGCTCAGGGAGCAGTTCCAACCAGAAAGGTGGTCAATGAGGCTCGCAGCAGCGCCATGCTGTTTGAGTGCAGAAAGTAGCAAGGCTTGACGTGACAGCGCCGAACGGGTGCGGAGGGATCTTTTTGAACTCTATCCTCACGTATTTTGGCGGGTCAGTCGCTTTGTCTTACACTTCAGGGCGAGCGCCACAGCCAAACCTTGCTCAAAGTTCGGTTACCATTGATATGGGCTTGTCCTCTTGAGCATGATATTAAGCGCATGGACCCGCGATCTTGGACACTTGTTCGTCCTTCTGGGAAGGGCCCTTGCGCGCTGCTTGGCCAACTGAGGCACCGTAATGCTGAGTGGGCCTGGGCGCCCCAGCCATTGAAACCAAAAATTCTGACCGTTTTGCAGAGATTCGTTGCCACCAACTTCAGAAATACAAATAACCACCTTCTGTTGCGGCTCGTCCCTTTGTCCTCGCCAAGGCTTGGGGTGCGGTTCGAACCACGTTGTATTTGCACGGCCATTTTCAGCATGCACTGTCCGCAGAATCTCACCATGGGAGCAGTACCTCACTTTGCCAGTATGGATCAAGCGATGAATAGCTTCTGAGGCTCACATATCCAGCAGTCTATGGTCCATTTGGCAGGACATGATGCCCAACACCTGGCGAGACACACATTTTCCGTGGCGGCATTCGCGAATTCAAGCCCATGTCCTTTGGGAAACATGTGGGTCTGTCTCTATTTGAGGCTACCTTTCTCGGGGTTGCTTTAGAAGGCAACCAAGGAGAGGCCACAGCTTTCACATTTTAGGTCGCTTTTTTGAAGGCGCCCCGCATGAACCCTGCCTGAGGTCAAAGTCATTGACAGCAACGGCTGGATCCGGAACCTGGACTGGCATCCGGTGTACCAGGCGCGGGCTGGAGGTTTAGAAGGATCGGACCCTGATCAGGGTTTGTGTCAAAGCCCCAAGACGCAAAAAACATTCGTTTCGTGCTAGCGCTCTGAGGCGATCCGCACAGCGACAAACACCACCCTCCCAGGCCTGGTTGCAGGTTGGCATGACCCCCAAGGGCTTGACTGGGAGATTCACACCATAGCCCCAAATCAGGGTCTGAGTTTGTTTGACTTGCGTCTACCCCTGGACAACCATACCTACGTACCAGCACATGGGTTGTATATTTTGAAGCCCGTAGCGAAACACAATTATGTTTACCAAAGGGTCACCAAGTGACATGCATACCCATACTTGTGTTTTGGGGTGTTTCCGAAAAGCACCACACATGCACTTGGTTTTGAGCCCCGCTCCGTTGGTCATCCAGGGATGCTCAGTTTCGACGCGACTGCGCCGTCAGGATTTTTGTGGCATGAGGCCGTGGAGTGGGAGCCCGTGCGGAGGCCGAGGGAGTTGGGACGGAAGTTTGGGCAGAGTTGGAGAAATGAATTATTCAGACTCGTAGACCAACAAACCTTTTCGTGTGACTCGGCACTTTTCACCCATCGCTGCCGCGCCTCGCCTCGCCGCGCCTCGCCTCGGTGCGTTCGCAGGCTGTGGCTGATGCTGCCGCGCTTCGCCTCCAATAGCTCCAAGTACACGCCCGGCCTGGAGCACCAGGACCGAACCACCCACCTAGAAAAGACATATGTTCTTGTCTTTTTTTGGGGGCCGGGATTTCTCGAAGAACCCAAGAAACGCCGCAGAAAGGCTACCCTCAACAAAAGAAGACCCACCCACAGTATGTGCCCAGATGCGAGGGTTTAGGAAGCTCCGGCATCCGCGCAGAATTGCCCGCCGCAACAAGAGATTTGGCTTAGACTGTCGTTGGCCAGACTTATGCCACGCTTCCCTCGCAGCGATGAATTTCTTTGCCAATGCGGAGGATACCACGAACATGCTGATCATCGCAGATGAGAGCTTCGTGAATATCGAGGCAGGCAGTCGCTAGAACCATAAGCGGAAACACCCTCAAATGTTGGTGGAGACAAACACATGATGTAAATCATGCCCACATCTTTTCAATTAAGCTGAGTGGAACATGAGTACGCTTGTAGCTAAGACATTTCCATGGCCAAGATTCCATATGAGCAACGCGCGATATTAGCAGTCTTGGTTTGGATAGTGCCTTCTTGGTTTTGGAGATGGATATCGCTTTGGGTCCCCCATTGCTTTCTGGTAATATGGGTTATTGTAAATGACGCCTGCATGCCAGGTGAAGCGGTTGGACCATCACGAGCCAGGCTACGGCTTCACATCCATCAGAAGGCCGGAACATAGGTGTCTCCTTTTGGGGATACCCCTTTTTCGGGTTGGTTTGAAGGAAGCCAAGAAGAAGCCGCCATTTTCCCTACCGACCAGCTCCCATAAAGTTTTTATAGGCCCCACAAAACCCATGAAGGCAGTGGCAATCTGAAGCAGGGTTTGGGGGCATATCCAATTTAGGGACACACCTCAGTTCTGGCTCAAGACTGAGACTACATAGCCGCTGTTCGCCCCAGGCACATTCGCTTGCCTCGGCTCAGATCATCTCAGAGAAGTCAGCGAGCTCACAACAGAAGAACGTGATTTATGCAGAAGTTCTCAAAGATTTGAAAGAGTAAAAGGACCACCCAAATGTTTGAGCGTGAGATTCACACTCCCAAGATTGCCAAAGACTTTCTTGAGAAGATTGCCAAGCTTCAAGAGGAAGATGCATCTTCGGATGAAGCTAAGAAATTCTCGAAGCTTGAGGAGCAGCTGAAAGCTGCTCCACCTATTCCACGCAATGTGCCTAAGATTATTTGGCTACGAAGTGCCGTTGCCCCGCATGCTTTGAGCATGCTACCAGCCAAGGCAAACCGTTCGGTTGCCTTCCTTCGACAGGGAGTCCCACCCAGCTAGATGAGTCTAAGATCTTTTCACACTGTGGGCGCTCGCCTTTCAACCTGTTGAGCCAGTGTGTCATTTTTGACAAGCTTGGCTACAAAGGCCACATTTTTTTGCATCAGCGGGATTTTACACGCGTAATGTCGACTCCCGGCAAATCTATCTTGAGGACTCACAGTGCTATCCCCCCCCCCCCAAGTGAAGGCTCTTCCCTAAAGTTTTTCTAACGTATTAGAGGGAAACAAAAGGCAGGGCGTCCCGCTTGTGAGTCAACCAAGGGTTTATTCATCCTGCGTTCCCATTCTGTGGACGTTCGGGTAACCGTTTTGTTTTTTTTTGTGCCAGGCTGCCAGGCAGCCGTCACCTCTTTATGGTTTTGCGCGTCAAGGAGGCGGGGATGTGCGAAGCAACGCCGCAGCTTTGGATCGCCCGAGCTTTTCCCCAACTTTGGACACCAGATCCTCATGTGGCAGTGTCTTGTTTAGGGGACCCCCCAAAATGGTTGTTGTTTTCCTCTGGATTTCCCTTTAAAGCCAACCCCCAAGGTTCGCTCGACGGTCATGAAGAGACGAAGAGGAATGTGAAAGTTGAACACAAGTTTTACACATGGTCATGACAAAGACCATGGGTCCAATACATTCCTTCCTGCCGACTGGACGTAGCATGCAGCCTGGACTTACTCTTGTGCCCGAAGCCCAGCTAATGAATGCACCCTGAGACATGGCAAATGAGTGTCTGAAGCCGGCATCTGGGATGGCAGTTTTGGAATTGGAATTCGGCTTCAGCCACCAACTCAACCGACAACGAGCTCGAAGCCATCAATCCTCCCCCTCGCTTGGCAGACGGCGGAGTCGCAGCACACGCAAGCCGCCATCGTCGACTTGGAGGGGAACTTCTACACAGACCCTCCCTACATCCAGGCGTCTTCACTGGAGGGGTGGGGTGGTTGCAGATTGCATGTTGCTGGGTTGCCATGCTGAGCGCAGAAGGCTTGCCCGAGGGAGAGATGCCGATTTCTTTGCCCTTTGTGGCTGAGTTTGATGCCTCCCAAGGGAAGTCGGGAAAGCGACACGGCACAGGTGGGATCCCGCAAGTACGAGGGGCTGGCCTTCCTGTAAGAAGCACTCGACACCCCGCGTGTGGCAAATGCGGCCCTCTGGGCTGCAGTGCATCAAAACAAAACAAGACATGGCCTCATTCATATTGTGAGCGTAGTTGCCTTTCTAGCAACTTTTCACAGCCATCATTAACACGTTTCTGAATGCTACGCCTGGCGTCAGTGGATGGGTGTTCACTGTATTCGCTGAATCTTGGGAGGAGGATTGGGTGTATGATATTTGCCTATGTCCGGGATGTTTGTCCATGATGCAGTCGTGCTACGGCCCTTTCTGCAATGCATTCCTCCTTTGGCCACGATGCCAATGTTAACCCCGAGGGTGTGACTCTGGGCATGTGTACAGGAGAGATCGGTTGCGGCAGTTGTTCGGTAACTTGGACGGTTTGTTTTTTCATCTCGAAGTCTCCGGCGTTCAACCGATGTCTTGCCCTGCCCGAAGTTAAGGCGTATTCGAGGGCTTCAGCCGGACGGTTTTGTGACTGCAGAGTAGAGCTGTGCCGTGCACAGTCGTTGATTGACAAGTCCCTGGGATCTCAGCGAACTGGTTCATCCTGGGTAGTCCTCCTGAGAGTGCCTTACACCCGCCAAAAAACAAAGAAGGTCGGTTCCTCTTGGAGTTTTGCCAAACATAGCCAGCGGCTTCTATTCAGGCTCATTCATTGAACAAAATGCGACCATCGCAACATTCATGGCCTTGCCATCTGCTTTGTATCTTTTGTGTCCGAGGGAATTGGCAGTCAACGCCTCTTGTGCACCCACCCCGCCCGAGCCGCTCTTTGGCCTGCGGTGCGGCAGCTCCTCTCGGCCTCCCTGCCGGCACGTTTCGCGGACGATAAAGGGTAGCGAGAAGTCGTTTGGATCGTTTGGTGAAATGCTTGAAAGGTTCAGACATCGGGAGTCTATCACCAATTGTTTTGAACCTACCCGGGCTTTATTCAAAGGCAACCCGGAATCCTTTCCTTGGTACGAAAGGAGAAAGGACCCCGTGCCGCGGTTTCCCTCTAGGCAGGAGAGCTCGGATTAGCAACGGGGTGGGGGAGTTGTGACTATGTTGGTGTCAGGGTTGCCTGAAATCGGGCGAGGGGCCGAATCTATTGAAGCAAGGGGATCCCAACTCCGACTGGAAGGGGTCCCAAATTTGCACACAGCGGGCCGTGGCGAAATGTGTAGTTTTGCTGTCCATGGACGGTCACCTCCACGGACGGTCACCTTCCTCTTGAAAGGACATTGCAACCACTTAGTGCATCTAAAGGCTCATATGCAGCGCCCCTGCCTTTGGAAAGCCAGAACAAGAGTCTATACCACCGGTGGCTGTCCCGGAGCTTGGTTCAGCCCTCGGGGCTGAGAGATTGCATGTGCCATACAAGCCTGCGCGGACTGCATTTGGCCCATGGGCAGTGTGCGGTAGGAGAGGTCATGAAGCAAGCGAAGCCTCCGAGCAGGTGCAACCAACGACTGCCAAGATGAATAGACGCCTCTCTGCCGTAAGTGCATAAAAAGTGGAGTCAATAGGTCAGAGCCTCCATTTCACTACTGGTCCTTTGCCTTCATTTTTTGCTCTTGCCACCTACAAACCTCACCAGCCGTCTTAGCTCTCCACCTGCACCCATCTATTCCCACCTTGCCCGCCCACCAAACACCACCAAATCAAAAGAGGGCTTTGAGCCATTCCTCGCAGCAACCAAGCAAACTCAAACAACACTGGAATCTCCCGTGTGCTGCGCACTTGGGGGCCCCCTTTTGCGGGTCCTGCGGCAAACCTTCGGCACGCGCCTGGGTCCCTGCCCGGTTCGATGTCGCGGTTCTCGAGCATCGACGGGCAGCACACGGCGCTGCGGGATTTGGAGCGCCAGCGCCTCGAGAAGCTCATGGGCCAGTTGCGGCGAGAGGCGGGCGGAGGGGGAGCTGAGCTGAAGGGGTTTGTGTGGGGAGCCAGAAGAAGAGAATCGGAAGGATGGTGGAAACAAAAGCAGGGGTTGGGGTAGGGAGGGGCGGGAAAGAGGGATGGTAGAGGAAACCGTTGCTTAGGCTGCAAGCATGGCATCCGTTGATTTCACCCGGCTGCCGAATCGATTCATCCCATCATGGATTCATCCCATCATGTCATGCATGATGGGATGGACCTTGAACTTGAGTTCCTTAGGGATCACTCGAGCGCTTCGAGATTCGGCCCAACCATCGCCTCATTGAGCGCATGCTATCTACCGAGCGCGAGTCGGCCTGGAGCCATGAGAACAAACTCGTCCGCGTTTGGATGGGTTCTTGATAATTCCAAGGAGGTTGGAACAAACTTGCAGGGAAACCAATGCAATGAACCCTCAAAACGAGCCAACCAGAAAGTAACCTCCTAAGCCCCAGTCCTAGTCCGTGGGAAGTAGCACTAAACAAAACCTAACAAAGTTCCCACCCCGAACCCAACCCTAGATCACCCACCAAACTGTCCCAAGTCCTGGCCAGCCTCCAGCCTCATCCATCCACAGCAAAAGAAAGGACCCAAACCAATCCTGAAACCCAGAGAGTGGCAAAACCCCTGACCCATTCGGGGGCTTTCTAGGGACCTCAACACCTTGGTACCGTTTCGCGGCGGGGGGGCACCGCGCGTCGTCCGGGACTCGAGAGGTGGAGCCCAGCGCCAAAGCGGGCCGCTTCCAGCCCCCCAAGCGCCCAGAAAGAGAACGGCCCAAGCGGGTGGTGGTGGCCAAGCCGGAGGAGCGGTCGGTTGCCGTGGGATCTGTTTTTATCGGCTTTTTTTGGGTGTCTTTATCGGTTAGCTGGATCATGGTGGGATTGAGGGTTCGTGGAATCGTTGGGTTGGGGTCGGCTGGGGTGCTGGGATGGCAGGTCGCAACTCTATGCGGTGGAAGGGGCTCGTAGCACTTCGGAGACTGGTGTAATGGCTTGGCTGGGGCGTTGGGCCTTTCAACGAGCATGTGGTGCGGCAAAGCCGTTTGCAAAGGGTTCCACACACAACACACACGCACACACGCACTCTCTGTTTTTTTTTGTTTCTCTCTCTCTCTCTCCATCCCCCACACCTGTGGGTGCAGAAGCCCGTTTGGAATCACAGCCCTTCGGCAAGAAGCCAAACAACACTTTGCATGGAGACCCTTTGTACACCCGGCTGTTGATTGACCAGGGTACCCCATACTGTTTGTTGGAAACCAATATCTAGAGGTCTCAGATCCATTTGAGGATTTGAGGAGGGACATGGGGGGACCAGCTCCAATTTCCCCATGTTCCTTTGCAAGTCTGACCGTGGCGCATTTTTGTTTCCCCAAGAGAACATGGCACAATTAGTTGCCCTCCCTGTTTCTTTGTTTTGAGAAATCGCGTGGGCCACCTCTCTCGCCTTCCCGAACGAACAGCATAGACTACCTTGTTTGGTTTCCTCTTTCGTCACTGAGCTGCACAGTGCCTGGAATTGCGTGACACCGGCAGATAGTCCGCACTCGAAGGCAAAAGAAGCCTGGCAACTGAAGATGCATGTGCATCGCAAGCTGTACACCTCCTGAAGCAATGGCCAAAAAGTGCAATGACCATCTAGCATGACAAGGGCACTCTGCGGATCCTGTGCTGCAATGCCTATGCAAAGAGAAGGCCAACAGCTATCCCACCATGTGGCGCGACAGCCAATTACATGTATTTGCCAAACGACTGGTGGCTGAGCACTGCCGACTCTTGCACCTAACAATCGCCACGGTGGCTGCATACCCGAAATCACTGGCACAGAACGGAGTGCGATGCACAGTACCCGCGCAATCGCACTGGCATGTCATGCAGAGCATCCAAATCGTATCACACCTGGGGCCGAGCCAGTGCACATTGCACAGAATTGTGTAACCACTTGCGTCAAGGCACCTGAGCACCACAAACTTCAGCACCATGATCAGCACCACGTAGACATTCATGTCATGACAAACGTCTTGGCAGTGAACGGATGCACGGCCAAATGCACACTGGCTTGGCATAAAGAGCTTGGCCTCGTATTCCACAGCACCAACAGATAACAAACAGCCTGTCTCCACACCTCGATGTTATTTCCGAAAACCACACCTCCATGAACGGACTGCGAAGGTGCCACCACATACTTGTAGCTTGCACTGATGTCACGGTCCTTACCAGCCGACTTGTGCCGAAGAATGCCAAAAAGTTACCAGGCTGCACTGCACCCCACTTTCTGTACCTTTGTGTCAGGCTGACAAGAACATTGACAAATCCATAGCCAACATACAAACCGCCAAGCTGAGGCCCATATAAAATTGAGGCGTGCAGACCTCCAGGACCTGCCGAACCATCACCTCCCACTGCGTAACGTCCATCACAGAAGAAGCAGTTCCACATCTCATCATCTAGACATAGTCGCTCATGGCTCGCCCGAAATCGGTCGGAACAGCACTACCATCTGGAAGGTTCACGGGCCACAGGTGCCAGTAAGTTTTTCGGTTGCTCATGTGGGTCTGTGTGTTTTTGCGAGGATAATCTTTTTAACTTGGATTCAAGGGAAACTAAACGAACACCATTTGTTGGAGTCCGAGTCCCAATTTTGACACATGCCTATGTGGCCGTGTCTTCTTTTCTGGAGCCCCTGCTTTTTGTTCTTTTATTGGGAAGCCACAAGGAAACCCAGACCAGTTGGAGGTCCTCTGATCTTCCATTTGCTTAAGACATGTTCTTTTTGTTTCCTCCTTGGTTTTAAAGGGATCCATGACTACTGGACATATGTTTTTCATTTTTGCAGGGTGACGTGTTCATCGCGCATGGTGATTTTCTGAGACACATACCCATGGGTCACCCATAAGGAGAAGCCCAACGCGGAGATGGCCTGGCTGCTGCGTGCCAGCGAACGCTTCGAGGCTGAAGCTGCAGAGGCGGGAGACGGCATGGCCACACCGCCCGAGGTTTGGTTCAGGGTTTCCATGCACGTCCTTGGTCTTTTTGTTTTTCTCAAAGTCAACAGATTTCTTTGAAGTCTTTTGGTGGCTTTCAATCTGCGAAATTTTGATAGAAGGCTTAACTGTTGGGTTTGAAGCAATGACTTGATGCACAGGCTACGGCTTCGGATGAAACAATGCGCCGTAGCTGTAGGGAAATGCTGCGGATGAATCCCAAGACGTGGCCAGGGTCCTCAAGCCCTGAGCCAGGATATTGACAAGTGAGGCTTCCCGTGACTGGAACCGGACCATGTGCTTGTGTGAGTGGATTTGAGGGTACCCTTTGACAAGGTGGAATCCAAAGGACACGTTGTTTTTTTGCTACCCTTGCTTGAGTGTGTCTTTTTTTTGAGGGTACCCCTTGTTTGGTGGTTTTAATAGGAATCCAAGAGGAACAACCAATTTGAGGGGCCATTTTGGGGTGCTTTTGGAGCTCCAAATCGAATGGCCGAGGTGCGGTCCTTCCTTGTGGAGCACGGCTTGGAGCAATATGCCCGGATCTCGGACAGCGCGTGCGGCGGGTGTTTGAGAACCCTTGGTCTTTGAATTGGCCCTCCTCCCGCTATGTAAGGTGGTGTTTGTGAAAGGAGCAGGTTGAAAATCATTTTCGAGTTGAAGGGTCTCTTAGGCGCCAGGTTTGCCGGAGTGAGCGAGAGAGAGAGAGAGAGAGAGTCGGACTCACTTCGATTGTTTGCCGCCTTTTCCGTTGCGCAAACATGCGAGTTGTTCGCTGCAAAGTCAAGTCGACCGTGGCAGAACATTTTTTGAGACTTGTCGTTTACATGTTTTCTGCGATTCCTCCCTCCCGTCGCGCCTGAAATTGGTTTGGTAGGCATCTTCCCACAAAGGGCCTTCGGCCAGGAATTTCAGTCGGGAATCCCCTTAGAAACGGTGGGAGGACAAAAATCCCCTTGTAGATGATGTCCACCGGTCCCCAGTTGCGATTCATCCTTGACGTCATACTAAGCTGCATGGTTGCAACGCATTTCCTAGAACCCATGTTGATTCCCCAATTAGAAATAGCCTCTCATCGACCACCATGGAACCTATGGGGGAGTACCTGGAAGATCAATGGACACTGAGTGGGTTATGGAACCTTGCTGCGGGTCCCAGAAGAATTGTCAGCTTGGGGCAGGGCAAGAGGGAAAGTTTCAGGGGTTGTATTTCCCTCGAGGGTGTGGTGCTTTCTTGTTCCCTGCCTGTGGATTCTGTAGTTCTTTGTCAGGTTGGGCTGAGTCCAGTCTTTCAACCCAGCTGTGGTTGAGTTTCTCAAAATGCACAAAAACACGCCAAGCCTTTTGGTTGGAAACCAAATGGCTGTGGGTCAAAACCCTGTACCCCTGATGCACATCAAAATAGGTGGTACATGGGTGATCCGCCCCAAAATGGAGGCACAGGTTGTGACCCATGGCCAAATGGACACTGGGCAACTGGACGGATCCGCAGCCTTTCGCTGAGGCTCCGCTGCTGGAGGATTGCGGGGTTTCGGGCAGCTCTATGGAGGCCCAAGATCGCATCGGAGGGTGCAGGTTCTACGTTCTTTTTCCTCCCCCGTTGTTTTATTTTTGACGGAAGAGATGTATTTGATCCGTCCTAGGGCTGTTTTAGTCCCTGGTTGGTTGGTTGGTTGGTTAGTTGGTTGGTTGGTTGGTTGGTTGGTTGGTTGGTTGGTTGGTTGGTTGGTTGGTTGGTTGGTTGGTTGGTTGGCCGCATCCCCGGCATCACCAGCCTCACTAGCCCTGGGGCCGCCTATTGGCCCTGATTGGGTGGCAGTTTGGAGTTGCTGGGGGTCTGGGTTAAGTTAGGGGGGTTTTGGCTGGCTTAGATCTCATGAGGGCGGGTCTTGCGGTAGTTTGGGGTTGATTTAGGCGAAGCGAAGGGCTGACATCCGGGCTGCTGTTGGGCGGTTTAGGGTTGACTTTGAGTGGGTTTGGAGCTGATTTGTGTTAGGTGTGCTGCTGGTTTAGCAGCGGCTTTAGGGTTGCTTTAGGGTGTGGTTAAGTGAGTTTTGGTCTCGTTTCGGATCGGTTTTGGGGCGTTGCCCCAAACCACCAAAGCTCGCCCATAACTCACTTTTCCACACCCTAAAGCAACCCTAAAGCCGCTGCTAAACCAGCAGCACACCTAACACAAATCAGCTCCAAACCCACTCAAAGTCAACCCTAAACCGCCCAACAGCAGCCCGGATGTCAGCCCTTCGCTTCGCCAAAATCAACCCCAAACTACTGCAAGACCCGCCCTCATGAAGATCTCAGCCAGCCAAAACCCCCCCTAACTTAAAACCAGCCCCCCAGCAAGTCCCAACTGCCACCCAATCAGAGCCAATAGGCGGCCCCAGCGCCAAGTGATGCTGGTGATGCTGGGGATGTTGCCAGCCCTAGGAAAAAAACCAGCCCTAGAGTTTTTTTTTTTTTTTTTTTTTTCACCGTTACCAGATGTAATGATGTGCACATAAATGGAGAAGCACAATAGCAAACAATCAATACATAGACAACTAGACAAGAGATGTATAAAAATATATATACAACACGTCGCTTGATAGGCAAATGTGTTATTGATAAATTAATGAACAACTACATAGATAGGTAAATATGTAAATTATAAATTAGTGAACAACTACATAGCTACATCCATCAATAAGTTGACAAGCAACACATAAGTCAATAAGGAACACACACGTGGATGGATGGAGGATGATGAGGATGCGGAGGGATGGCTGGGTGGGTGGATGGATGGCTGGTTGGGTGGATGGATGGCTGGTTGGATGGGTGGGTGGATGGATGAATCGATGAGTGGGTTGGTTGGATGGCTGGATGAGGGGATGGTACCCCCTCCCCCAGCCTACCAGCATAGCTGGCTTTTCCTTTTTTTATTCCTGTTTGCACTCCTGTTCTGCCTTTTTTTTTTTTTTCTCGAATGCGTCTTTGGGCCTTGAACAACATGTGCATGTGCTGCCCTTTGCCATGGAATTGTCATCCAACATCTAAATAGGAAAACATGCACACAAACTAACACAATGATCCATGATGTATATATGTGCAGTGGATACACACAAATAGGCATAGCGAGTTGTGCAAGTGCAATTCAAGTGTCAATGAAATCGAGCAGTCTGAGTCTATCTTGGCGATTCTGCTCAACCAGGCAATTCGGCATATTATGTTTGCATTCACAATGCACTCATACATGCCACTGAGACATGCTCAAGTGATTGCATTGTACCCATGCTGCAGTTTGCAGTTTGTAACATGAAGCACCCTGCGTGGTGATCAAGCATAAGAAGCATGGACAATGTAACCCATTGTTGGAATCCATCACATGAATAGCCCACAAATGAGCAAATGCAAGTAGGCAGATCAAATGCTACGCTCAAAACTACATATTATAACTCTGAGAAAGCTTTGACATGAGCCCTCATTTTGCTACTCAAATACTGGATGGGTTTAATGCTTCAGTGCCATTGGTATGTCGGAGTGAGATGTTGCAGCACACGTGATGCCTTATAGCACTGGCATGAGCCTGCCTACGTCGTTCCATGCCGTGCGCGTAACATCTTGTGTGTGCGCCCAGGAAGCCAAGGGTCACATTTATAATATTCAAAGCAAATTGATCATGCCCTGCAATTTGGCCAGTACAGTAGTGACATGTTTGCATGTTTGAGGGCATTAAGTCAAAAGCTTCTAAATGATATCTTATGATATTGTCATGGCACCTTTTCCAATTGGAGTGACTTTTGGCCAGCACGTGTTGCTTGGGATGCTTGATACGTGATCCAACACGTTTGAGATGGTCCAACACTACCTACCTAATAAACCGTTGGCAACCGCTGCTCAACACTCAGCGAATGAGTATGCGTATATGGCCACGCGCACGCGCACGCGCACACACATGTGTACTCATCAAAGCTTTCGGTAGCGTTGCAAATTTCTCGCTTTTTTGGAGGCTCTCCGCAGCGCCACACCTGAGTTTCTGGAGCAGGCGAGGGTCCGACACATTTGAAACCAGCGCTGGAAGTCTCTGGATGTAAATGTTTGACCTTTAAACTTGTTGTTGGTCATCCTCATCTAGTGAAACGTCAACCGAGGACCGGGTTCGCTGTTCCTACTCGTTGTTTGGCCAGTTTGGTTTTGTTGTTAGGCGAGACATGCAGAAAGGGAGGCAGATTTACACCAAGAAGCTGCAGGAAGACATAGGCGCTTGTCCTTTACCTCAGATCCTGATCTCCCACTAACAGTCCTGTGGCGCAGGCTCGTGGCCAATTGGAGGCTTGGCAGTGCTTTGATACAATTGCGTAAGCTCTGCGCCTTTGCACAGGCATTTTCAATAGGCCTTTTCCGCAGCTTGGCAACAGCCTGGTGGCATCCCACACCATGGGGATGTGCTGGCCGAAGCACCAGCCGATGCTTGCGCTCAGTTGAATTGGCGCGTTCGTGGCCACACAGGATGCAGCACAGCTGCCTGCGGCCCCATCCCTTTGTAGGGCGGTGGGCGTGAGTACCCCTACAAGTATTCTACCAGCCACATGCTTCCCTTGAATTCGAATGGGGATTAGTGCGAGGACAGGCTTCGAATGTGTTTCCAGCCGCCTCTCAGATGCATCGGTGCTGATTTTGTGCCTCTTTCGCCTGGCCGTTTTTTCCCACTGGCTAGAGCCACTACTCAGGAAACCCTTCGTTGGGGAGTTGGTTTGGGGATTCGACCCCTTCATGTAGAGGGTAAATCGGAGGAGCCACCTTTTCACCCCCAAAGCCCCAAAAGAAGCCACGCCACCAACGCACCCTGGGCTTCGCAGCCCCTTCGGCGCGAGTTAAAAAAGTGCTCTCGAGGCGGGCCTGCCGGACTCGCCCCGACGGCGTCTGCAGCTGGCTCTACAGGTTGGGTGGGGGGGGGGGGGGGGCGAGGATAGGGCTTGCCCTCGTGGTTCAGTTGGTTTTTACAGGGAACCAATTCGTCCCTGGACATATTGTTATTTTTGCTGGGGGACTGAGCAAATGGAAGCACCTCAAGAGGAAGCTCAATGGTGATATAAGGGGTTCTTGTGCCGACCCAACCTTTTGGTTTCCCTCTTCGGTTTTCAGAGGTCCCAAAACGTTTGACCTAAAACACACCAGGTCACTTAGAGTGAAGGTTGGTTTCCACTGTACGAGCCTTTCTCAAGCAACGGCCATGGGTGTGGCCGATTTGGAGAGAATGGTCCAGCTCCTTGAGGCGAAGAAACATTTGGCCGCAGCAACCCCGGCCTTCTCTGCGCCTGGGTTTTGGCCCCCACCTGTTGCACCCCCTGGGTGTCTTTCATGGCATCGGCGTCCAACGAGGGTTCGATCTTGACTGTTTTTTGTTTTACATTCACCTGGAGAAATTGGGTTCATCAATATTCCTGGTCCGCAAACTTTTCCCATGATCTTTTGTGGTGGTTTCCCCGATGGTCATCCCATGTAAAGTTCCTTTTGATGAACCCCCCAATGAAAGAAGTCGACCTGTTTATAGATCAAGCCCTGGTCCCGCAGCAAAACAGCACATGAATCAAGCTGTCGGTGTTCTTAGCCTTCATTCGGAATGAGAAACGGCGCAAAGGGACCCTTTGAACGGCACAGACACATATATATATATATAGACACATATAGAGATACACACTTAATTCACACTTTGTTCATCGATGGGCAGCCAACGGCTTCCTCGACAAAACCTGACCATTCCTCCATGCTCCCTCAAGCGGAAGCAGGCCCCAGAGCTGGAAGAAAGCAGGCGGTTGACAGCTCAAAGTGGAAAGTTTGCGATGATCAGAAGACACATCGGCAAGGAAAAATCTTCTCTGCGGAATATGATGCGCGTGATGTATGTAAACCCAGAAGAAACTGTCCGTATAAGAGTGGGGCATTTACCACTAATGGCGTTTGAATTGACTGGGAAAGAATTGCTGACTTGCTGCCCTTGTTCCTTGCATGGAATGAGTGGCGTGAGTGATGGCTGCATAGCATGGTTCCACCAAGCCACAAATTCATGAAAATTGGGTTGGCATCAGTGGTAGGAATTTAGCCTTTCCCTTGTCTTGAACCAATTGAGCATGTACCCAGCCTCATCCTGACAGCCCACATCCAGCGCAGGGGGACTCTGACTCTGAGGAGCGGCCAATGTCGGAAGAAGGCTGGATTTTTTGGTTGAGGGGGGCTGCAAGCCATATCAAGCCAATCAGCAGCTTGCAATTTGTTTTTCAGAGGACTTCCGGGACCCCGAGAAACTCCGCACAACCTGAGGGCAACAACTGCTGCTTTGAGAGTTGAGAGTCGGACCTTTCTTTGGGTTGTTGCCTGTGGGAAGAGGACTTTCCTTGGGGCACCTGGCGATTTTCTCAGGCGAAGGTCCCCGAAGTGCCCAATGGGGCCGCCTCGGGCGGCGGGCTGAATGCGCGAGCCGTGCATGTGGGTCCCATCAGCAAGGGTTTCCTTCTCAGGTACTCATTAAATTTCAATCCTCAAAACAAAATGAGACTGCAGACTCTCAGACAAAGCCTTTTTTAAGATGGTCTTCTAGTTTGAATGTCCCAAGTTCCATGCCTGCCCCAAGAGCGTCTGCACAAGATTCATTTTACCTCTTGCCTTGCTTTTTGGCCACCAAAGGCAGGGTTCGCCAACGCCACAGGCGGTTCATGAGACCAGCGTCGCCTTTAAGTGGCGATCCGGTCACTTCGCATCCATTTCAGGCAAGACATGAGGTGCTGAGGAGACATTTCGCTGTTGCCATGCTTGCCATTACTTGATCGGCAAGCTTCAACTATGTTCCCCTGCCAGGTTCTTTACTTGATCGATATGTAAGTGGCTCACTCTTTTGTTGTGTTCAAAGCGGCCTTGGTATCGGTTGATCCTCTCCGTGGATATCGGCTGGCCCTGTTTGCCTCTAGGCGACTGCCAGCTGGCTGGCACCGGTGTGGAGGCTGGAACTTGGCCTGTCGATCAGCTCTGCTTGCCGGGCGAACTGCATGGCTTGACAAATGGATGTGTCTTTTTGTAGGGTATCCCCCCTTTTTGGGGGTTTCAAAGGGAAACCGTAAGGACAACCACCATTTTTGGGGATCCCCTAAACAAGACACACCCAAATGGCAAGCAACAGCCCAAGAAAAGCACTCTGTTTGAGATATGTGCCTGCTTGGCTAAATTTTGTTGGGTACCTTGTGCGGTTTAAACACCAAGTCCTTGTTATTCACCAATCAGATTGAGGAGCCCTTTTCGCAGTGCCGAGGGGTTCCTCCAGCCCGATCGATGAACGCCGCAATGGGCGTGTGTTTTTGAGGGTACCTTTCAGGTGGGTTTAAAGGGAAGCCCAAAGAAAGGCCGCCATTTCTGATGGCTTTTGGGCCCGCTTCATATTGACATATATAAATATATAAACCTTCATCGCCGTGGGATTTGAACCAAAGGGTGGGTCGAGTTGCAAGGCCTTGCACCCAGCTAACAGAGCCAGGCGAGCGCCCACGCGTGGCGACTCGCCACTCGCCGGAAACACGGAAACACGGAAACACGGGGGCTGCCAAAAGCGAGCGGCATGACGCAAGGTTTTGCTACCTATTTATTTGCATTATCAACCTGAAAACTTTTGGGAACACGACAAACAGTCGAAGAGCATGCAGGGGGCAAGAATCACACAGTTATGCCCACCTTCCTTAAGAACAGATTACAAAAGAACACACTTAAAAGCAGATTGACGCCTGGAAATGTATTGTTCCAGTTTTTCCTTTGCGGGAAGACAAGTTAGATGGAACTGGAACACTCTCAAGGCTCTTCACACGGGGATGCGTGTCACAACCTGATGTTCACAATGGCTTGCCAAAATCAAACATCCCTTTGAGGCCCAGGTGGATGTTATGTGCTGGCTAGCAGTTTCATCATGGGGTAGCATCTTGTCGGCACTCACAGAGTTCTTGCCGAGATGTTGATCAACCATGCTGATGGGTGATTTGGGTGTGTCTAGGTTTGAGGGTACCCTTTTTTGGTGGTTTTAGAGGGAAACGAAAACGACCACCACCACGGTATTTGTTTTTGGTGGGGGGGTCCCCTAAAAAGACACACATACACGCACATTTTGAGATTGACATAGTTGCCAATTGTGACCGATATTCTCCGGGCTGAAGGCGGAAGGACGCACGGCAGGGTTATATGGCAGTGTCTCATTTAATTTGTGTTTGCATTTGGCTAGATGCACACGGAGCCCCGTTTTGAAGAGCCTTAGGTATGATTCCTGACATTCAGCTGGACCCATCAAACATTGCTATGTATCTGCTCCCACGAAAGATTCCAGGAGCAGTCGTCAGTTGATCGGACAGACCTATGAAGCCCAGGTCAAACATAGCTTGCTACATCCTGCTGGTTTTCCCCCAGAAAGCTACTGTATGGCTAGACTGTCAAACTCTGAATTCTGGGTTCGGGGGCTTCCGTGCCAGAGGCTTCCGGCACGTTTTCGAAAGGTTCGGGTTGCGGAGAATTGGAATTCTGGTTCTAGTTCCATAGAGATGGCGTGGTGGCTTGGGCTCCGGTGAGTTTTCAAGTTTTTTTTTTTTTTTTTTTTAAACTAGACACCCGGTAAGCAACCTCACTCAACATGCTTTGCCACTGAGGCTCCGTACCCGTGTCGCATTCCGATGCGGCCGTGGGCGACGACAGCCCAGTCGCAGCCAGTCCCGTCAAGAAGATGGCTGAGGCTGGGGCCGGTTGAGGTGGTCTTTGATTCTTGAAGCGTCATAAATGCTTGGACACCCTGGTTGTAGCCAATTTTTTCCAGGCGCTGTGAGTTAAATTGAGTTGAAGCACATGAGGAGAGGATTACCAAGTGGGATGAACATCTCAGGCGAGTGCCTGTCGTTTTTGCTCTTCGAAACCCCCTCTTGCGTGCTGCAAGAACACCCGCGCATCGTTTTGCGGAGAGGGTTTTGGAGCCGAGATCGTGTCTTTACACGTGCGAGCCTGTATAAGCGAAAGTGTCTACCCGAGTCATTCATCCGAGCCTCGCCCGGCAAATGGACCTGTGCGAATGAATTATCATCAGAATAGGATAGCATTGCAGAGGTTGAATTTGAGTTTCTAAAGCTGGCAGAACACCAAAGCTCTGACAACTCAAAGGTTGGCTGGATCCATCCACTTTTCCTTTTTTGGCCTTTTCTTTTGTTACCCAGACAGCTGAAAGCCAAAATGCCATTGATCTTGATCTTGACGTCCCCCCCCTCCCAACGAATTCCCCAGCATCCCCCACACACCCAATTTCCTCTTGGAATGTCATGAATGAGAGTCCAAAGAATGGGTCATGCTTCAGAGCCAAACTTGAAATGGGTCTTTACTTTGGTTGATTTCCCCGCAAAGGGAAACCCTGGGACAGGTCATTCCTGGCCCCAAAACTGAACCCTGTCTAAGATAGCCATCATTCCGCAACAAAAGTCAGCACTTGATGGTGCCTTTGTCGGGGGGTGGCTTTGAAGCAGATTACATCGGGTGGATCAGATTCGCATTAGAAGCGGCCTCGCCCCCCAACACCTGTGAATCATCCTGCACTTTGCACCCTGCACCGCCCCCCTCCCCAGTTGAAATCGCATTGCAGTACCCAAACAGCATCGCCCCTGGCACTCCGAACCCTTACTGACAGTGGCTTGGATTCTTTGGGGAGCCAATGGGCGGCAAAATTCTAGGTGGCGGCGGGCGCGGAAGCGCCAGCGCCAGCTTCCGTCTCAAAGATCGGGAGCCAGGCATCACCGGTCCGGGCCACAGTCTGAGGGGTGTGAGCGCCTCTTGGAGCTTTGCGGAACTTGGGTGCGTCGGGTGTCTCGCAGAACAGGGATTACCCTCCAACAACATCCTGGTCTTCCATTTTGATTCCCTTTAGATCCCCGCAAAACAACATGTTGTTTGGATTGCTAACTCAGCTTGGCTTGGAAGAGGCGACAGCAAACCTCACGTTTATCTCTTTTGGCTTCAGGGGAAGCACTGCATGACCGGCCCTGGCGAGCAGCATTACCTTCGTCTTGAGATGCCCAAAACGCCATGACTCGGTGCTTCATGCGGCTTCATTGAAGCAAGACCCACAACCCTTGCACAGTTCAGGGGGTTCCACTACCTGCAATGGAGATGGCCTAACCATAAAACATCGAGTCATCATCCTGATAACGGAGAGGGTGAAACCGGTTCGCGAATTGCACAGGGGTTCCCGGAAGACCCGTTGCCTTCAGGGGATGCAGGTTTTACATTTTGGGGTTCCCAGCTGAAGGCTTTGGGGTTATGGCTCGTTTCACTGGTTCGAGAGGTTGAAAACGCTCCTGGCCTTTTCGGGTTGCGGAGGGGTGCCGGCGCTGCTGGGATGCCACCTGAGCTGTTTTAAGGTTCAAACATTTTCAAAATGATTGATACAGCCACAGGGCGCCCAAGCAAAAAATCGCACCCAACACGAGCCAAAAACAAATGCGATCCTGTGCGGTGGTCCCTCATTTTGTGGGGAACCCTTTTTGTGAGGGCACTGCTCCTTTGGACCGTGAGTTTTTTGCCTAGCCCTGCCACGGGCTTGCAACCAACCAACCAACCAACCAACCAACCAACCCAGACCTGCCAGGTGCTGCGGTTGACACAACGTCTTTTATAAAAAGCCAGAGATATTTTGCTTGATCCCTTAGCCAGTCTGCCGCTGTTTCGCAAATCGTGCACAACACACAATTGGTCAATATCTTCTTCGCTCGGGTAAAGTTGCTGAACGATGGCTTGACACTGTGTCGGCCCCAGGAAGGGCCGGGCAAGTTTGCACCATGTTTTGAGCCCTTCACCGCAGCTTTTGCCCCAGGCGGAAATGCGCCCAGTCAGCAGTTTCCTCGGGCGCAGTGTGCGAGGCCGGCGCCAGTTCTCGTCCTGGCTCAGCGGCGGGCAAGGCCAAGGCGCGTTGCTAGAAGCAGAGTGGACACATGCGCGCATCTGGTAAAATTAGAAGGAGCTTAGGTCCCCTATTTGCAGTTCCATGTGGGTTCCGTTCACAACTTCATCCACCAAATAGTCAGTTTCCGGTGTTTCCGGGCCTCAGAAAGATCTCACAGGGTGGGCATCAATCGCCCACATGTTTGGCATTTGTGCCTTTTGTGGGCTGGTTCGAAATCGTCCCGTGTTGGTGGCTTGACCGACTGGGGTTCAAGCATTGACTTTTCCCGACTGGGGCTCAAGCATTGACTTTGCCTGGTTCCTGGAAGAGATTTGTGGGCTCAGCTCGAAGACATGGCAATGCAGTGCGCATTCGAACAGGTGGGTGGAAGGCGCAGGCTGGTGAGTGAGGATGATTTCACCAGTTGCTTGCAAAACGATGTGTCAGCCGTCCCTTCTGGTGACCGCATGAGGTCACTGAGGAGGGAGTGGAAACAGCATCAGCGAAGCTTGAGAGAGCGCGCCAAGCTCCTGGAGTTCCTTAAGAAGCATCACTTTGATGATTTGGACGCCCCAAAGTTCACATGCCTCGGTTTCAGGTATACCTTCCCCTTACTGCAGGCCGCGCGCGCACAAGAAGCCTCCATGGTGCTCTTGCTGGTCCGCTTCGGGGCGGATGTCACCCAAACAGATCGCTGGGGCTACACCGCGGTGGACTATTTGAAGTGCCAAGCAACGCGCCGCAAGGTTCAGCGGCTGTATTTGCAGGTTCGACCGCGCGCCTCATGCGGCGCAAAGCCAGAGGCTGAGATGCGCCTGTCTTCTGAGCAATGCAGGTAAAACAAGCCACAAACCTTCTTTTTTAATATGTAGCTGGGATTGGCATTTTTGAAGGGCATGTGAGGCCGGCAGACGTGGCGTGTTTGAAATGAGCATTGGTCCTGCATTGCACAGATGTAACATTATACTCTGACAGATTAAAGCGTATGGTCCCGACCAGGCTTGTGGGTTCATGCACGCCTGGACGAGAACTGGTAGCGCAAACGCTGACCAGCTCAGCATGAGGTTTTTTGATTCTTTGAATCCGATAATATCTTGCACGCATGGACGAAACAATGGATTCAGAAGCCGAAAACTGGTAGCACAAAGCGCTAAGCAACTCATGTAGCTAGTGCCAAGACTAGTGACGTATGAGGTTTCTTGATTTTTTGAATCCGATACTGCCTTGCACTTGCACGCCTGGACGAAACAATGGATTCAGAAGCCCAAAACTGGTAGCACAGATCGCTCAGCACCTCATGTTGCTGGCGACAAGACTAGTGACGCATGAGGTTCCTCTTCGAAGCCAATAATGTTTGTCACAGTGGGTACTTCCCATTGATACCTTCATTGGCAAGGCTAGCAGAAGGTGCCAAGAAGGGGGTGTGCCACCGACTATATCTTCGTACCCACGACTTACAAGAAAGTACCCGCAACTCGTTGTATTATTATCATTCTTATTAACATTAATATGAATAATATTAATCTTTAGTATTATTAGCAGTATCATCGCTTTTCTTTAATTAGTAATATTACCAATATTACTAAACATAGTATTAATGTTATTACTAATATGATTATTATTATTGTTATTAGAATTGTGAATGTTATTATTAATATTAGGATTAGTGTTATTATTCATATTATGATCTGATCAATGTTACTCATATTATTAATATTATGTGTATTATTTATATTATTAATGTTATTGTTATGATTTTTGTTACTCCTATTATGAATCTGATTCTTACTATAATTATCAATATGATTGATCTTATTATCAATCATATTTTCAATATTATTAATACATAGTATCAATATTTTTATTATTAACATCTATATCATTGATCTTATCAATATTACCAATATTATTATTAGTGTTATTACTATTATTGTCAATTATTAATCTTACTATTATTAGTTGTTTTTCTTTCTTTTTTTCAAATCTTACTATCAACATTATTATGATTATCAATATGCTCATTATTATTATTATTATTATTATTATTATTAATAGTATCATTCTTATTGTTAATACTATAAATAATCGTATTATCCAGACATATTATTTACATTATAAACCTCATCATTAACGTTATTCATATTATTCTCAATATTATCAATGTTATTCTCAATATTATCAATATTATCCATCTTATGATTACTGTTATGAATAATATTCTCAATGATCATAGGTAGTCGTGGCGACGAGTGCCGAAGACAGTCGTGGATCCGATTGCGAGAATTCTCGGGGGACACGGCAGCCGCAGTCGTGCGGTACGTGAATACCCTCCCTGTTCGCACGCTGTCCCTGGAGAAACACCCATGCCACGGACACACTTGAGTTGGCATCCACGGTTGGGATGACGCCGGAAAATGCATTTGCCAGAAAATGACGCAGGGGCCTGAAATTCCGTTTTTTGAACCTCCAAACGCAGCACCATAAGCAAATTTGCCAACTTGAGTCCAGCGACTCTGCAGGGCACATGCCAGAGCGCTCAATCTTTTTTCCAGGCAATGGCCCGCTTGCTTGTGGTACTTGGCAATGACTCTGCACGCTCTTTCTCAGACACAACAACACCTTGGGAAAGGCACAGTTGGATGAAAGTAGATGGCAGAACCTTTCCATTTAGGTTTGTAACAGCGTTTGTGGACATAGATGGAATAGTGCCATCTACTTTCACCATGGGGCAAGGGATAGTCCCCTTGCCACATATGTTTTTGATTCGTTACCATGGCTTTTGGGTCGCTCTTGAATATCAGGTTTGCATTGTGACTCCCTGGAGTAAAACAAGATCCACGAAGGTAATTCAAGCTCAGGTTGGTGAGGTATAATTGGGGCAGGTGGCTGCTGCTCTTGAGCAAAACAAAACGCCTTTCTCATTGGCAATGTACCATCCAAGCAGCGGCTCGGAATTCGAATTTCGCTGAGTACCGATAAGGGCCAGACCAACCCGTGGCAGTTTTCGTATTGTTGGATTGCAGTTAAGACACCAGGATTTTGGTGAATCCAAGCAGAACTCATGCCAAAGTGTTTGCTGCCCATTGGTCATACAGGTTAAATGTCAGGCGTTGACAACGGGTGTATCCATCCCGAGCCCTCCTGCTCGGAAGCACTTCTGTGCATCAGAAAATGCGCCAGATTTGATCTCGGTTGGGGCTTTGTGCAATCAAGTGGCAAGCAGGGTGCAAGCAGGTGGGAATCAGAGGCAAGCAGATGGGAGGCAGGTTGCTTTTTTTTTTTTTTGGACAATTGTGGTGTTAGTTCACCAGCTGGTTCTTGGCATTCTTGAAGCATGGGACAACCTCCTGCGCAGGGATTGGGGGCTGAACAATTGACACAACCAGGGCTGCTGCTACCAATGCTACCGCCAACTCTACCTTTCCAGCGCCCTGCGCATGGAGGCCGCGCGGTGCACGGATGGATGGAAGCAACCTTTGGTGGTAAATCACCATGTCAGGTGTGTGCCCATTCTTTGGTCGCTTTGAAGATTTTGGAGCTTTGTGGCTATGACTTTCAATGGGGAACACACCCAAAGGTGGACATAAATCCCAATGTAAATGATGTCCACTCATGCGTGCACAATCAAATCGATAGCCAATGGGGGAGCATTCCCCAGCTTTGATTGGGTCGGCTGATTCCAAGCACGAGTTGGCAATGTGTCAATTGATCAAACTGCTCCATATTGTTGAGAGCCCCAAAACAAGATGTTTGCGGTTTGCATTGACGATTTGACTTGTCAACTAAACCAGGCCCAAGGTGCGTTTCACGATTGCACCTGAGCATCCATCCTGAAGATTGCTCAAGGGCGAGCTACAAGGAGAAGGAAACACTAAAGCTTGCCTAGCCTAGAAATATACATAGACACTCAAGAGGATCTCCGGAGGATCCCAAGCGATGGTCTTTCAGAGGGCAGTTCAAAATGGTTTGCTTTCGGAGGAACTGGCCCGAAAAGCACACTCGGTTGCTCACCTGCCATAACCTGCCTTTTGGCTGTGCGCACAGGACGTCGGCTTTAAGCTTTATAGAAAATGACGGTTTTGCGACCTGGCACAATCAAGGGCTCACCAGTTTGGATGGCAAGTCGGCCAGCTCTTGGACTCGGGGGAAATGCTTCTACCGGACCAAGGCTTGCCTTGCGGCGGCGGCGGTGGTAGTTGCGTCGTTTGCCATTCAAAAAATTGAACCACATGAATATCCAACTATGCAAATATGTTTGCGTGTATGCACATGAAGAATTTGTGTACCGACCATCTCCCCGACATTCGTTTTGGATATGCACGAATGCACGTGCCAGGAGGGCTCGCGGCCTAGCTCTGCCAGCGCTCAGCCCGGGAGCTAAATGGCTTCCAGCGGAGGCATCTATCCCTATTGCATTCTTCCAGAGGTGCTGAATCCAAGGCTAGCCTGAAAAGGTTCAAATGGAAGATCCAATCCTTTGTGGTGGTACCTGTAGGACATGCTTGGACATGTCTTTTTTGTAACCGCTCATTTGTGCATGATGTCCTACTTGGAGCGAATGATTATGCCGATGATGCACGGTTCTTTGTGTTGTGGATGTAGGGGAAGGCGGGAATGCAACCGCCGCAAGATGGAAGGATATAGAAGGATGATGGATGCGGGTGTCCACTCCAACAAGCTGCGCAGGCTTCCCTGTGTATGAATTTATGGCGTTGGCTACGCCAAGCACCATCCAATTCGGATTTTGTGCACATTCAGCAAATGCACGCGTTTTCATTCACAGACCCAAGCAATTGACGTGCTTCTTCACACATGTTGCTTTGGTATAATGCAGCCAGCTTCCAAGTATTGCATGGTCGTTGGTTCTTTCCTTCGCTTGATGCTCCGAGCCCCTCAGTTGCGCTATTTCGGGGCAACCTTCAGAAACACCCAACACCTCCCCCATTTTTCCCTCGTGCTCTGCTGCGTAGAGCTCCTTCTCACCAATCTCCAGCGACGCGACCAGCTCCATTTGCACATTGATTTCCCCTCCTTTTGGGTGGCCCCATTTGGGTAGCCATGCCAGGCTATGTAAATCTGTGCCTTGCAACTACCCGGGTTCAAAAAGGCCCCTGTGTTTGGGGGGTTGAGTCATTAGTCACGTTGTTCAGCTGCAATAGCTATGGTTTTGGGTACGGCCCAGAGAAAAGGTTGTACCTTGGCACCTTGGTCTCTCCTGCATTTTGAAAGCTGCAGGGTCTTCTGCTCCGACGCCTGCATGGACAACTTCAGACAGGCTGGCGATTCTTGGAAGCGCCTGAGAGACCGCCTGCCGGCCATTTCCCTGTTTACGCCGAAACCGGATGAAGCCAGGGTGCGTTTGTGGTTTTCCGAAGGTGCTTGAGTTTCAGGGAGGGCCGGTGGTTGATGTTTGGATCTTGGGATTGATTTCCCTGCCTCGATAGTGACAGCCTAGTGGGCTCTGCAATGCCTAAATTCAGGTCTGTGACTGTGCCACTGGCCTGAACCTGCCGGAGGAGTGGCTGTGTCAGCTGAGGGTCCGGTCCCATCCTCGCTGGTTGGGGTGGACAACCGGTGGAGGAACGGTCCTTAAGCTGTTGGTGGCCATCGACATGGTGGGTGGCAATGTGGCCACGGCGACTGGGGCGCTGGCGGCTCGAGCGCGACTCGGAGTTGGTGGTGGTGAGGCTTCCTGCCAGGTTGGTGGAGGACTTGATAAGTGCTGGGGAGCCTTGTGCTGGCTATGTAGCCATGGGACAGGCCTCTACTAGCATGCATCAAGTCCGTAATTTGCATTTGTGTGGCGCAGCAGGACGCCAGTGAGATGACATTCCAAGCCCTGCCACCCAAGCTGAGGTTGTCGAGCGCCAACAAATTGCAGCGGTGGTCAGATGTCAGCCGTGCCATCAAGTTCAGCAAGTGCAGCCAACTTCCGTGACCCACCTCCGAGACCAGGCAGCTTGAACGTACAGCATTTGAGACCCCGGGTTTGACAGTTTATGCCACTGCCTGCGTGTGTGACCAGAGCAGGGTTCATCTTACATGGCCTACTTCTGGATGAAAAATTCGGCGGGTTCTCATACAGGCCAGGCATTTTGCTTTCTTTTCTGCGAGTGCGCCCAGATTGGGCACGCATCAGATTGAGGTTGCAGCCAGGCCGCGCGTAGTAGAGCTCAGGTTTGTCCTGTTCTTTGATCCAGTGGCTACTATGGTCTGGGTTTGCCATTTTCGCGACCGTCGTGTTGGTGCTCACCATTGCGCATTTTGATGATGGTGTTTTTGGTTTCGAAGTTGGAGCCCACAGTCGCCCAGGCCTAGCCTGATGTTGGCTCAGATTGAATACGCTTCACTGCGCGGCGTGGCTGTTTGTACCTTGTGTGTGTTGGAGTGCTTGGTGGGGCGTGAGCTTTTGCCGCCAGGGTGCCACGTTACTTGTCGATGCTTTGTGATTGCAAGGCTGTTCGGAGTGTTCGCAGGGCATTCAGGAATGTTCTTGCCCGACCGAACCGATTCAAGCTGTTGCCGGGTACTTCGTGCGTTTCGCAGGACAGTGTGCAAACGGACATCCACATTGTGCCACCATCTTTGAGGATTGGCGTTGCCCATGCAGCAGGATGGTGAGGTTTCTTTTGGAAGCCTTAACCAAGCCTTTTCACTGACTCGTAGGTGCATTGCCACGGTGCGCGTGCTTGGGATATCTTGGGATGCGATTTTCACTCAGGAGCTCGGCGCGCGCAAGGGCTTGTGACAGTAACAACTCGGAATGAAAACTCACAGGCAGAATTTGAAAGATTAAGTTGAACCTTTCAGGCAATGCCAAACTGGCCTGGTGACAAAATCCAAATACACACGCCCCCGCCACGTGCGATTCTGCAGTCAAGAAGACTCGTGCGCGCACTCGCAGCCAATGGCAATGGACGACGCTCTGAGAACCAAGCACTGCCACATAATGCGCCATTTTGTAGAATAGAAGCCAATCGGGCTGCACGAAAAGTGCAGTCACACGTGGTTGGCCGATACAAACCGACTCAGCTGGCTGGTGCTGGCCAAGCAGTTCAACCAAAAAAACTTCTCTTTTGCCAGTGTTAAAAGTTGGGCAGGCTGGACAACCGCCTGGAGTTCAGAGTATCAACCGTCCGAGCTTGGCTTGTGGCAGTGGCAGCAAAACTATGTCCTCTAGTTCAGCTGCGTGATGCCTACTCAAGCAGAGCAAGTGAACTGCAACAGTTTCCATAAAGTCAAAAGCCAACTAGCCGGGATGGCTGTCAAGGCAGTATATGAATTGGAAATGGACTTGCAGATGCAGCAAAAAGCGCCAGTGCAGATGCGGCAGCAAAAAGCCCCAGGGAAAACTAGCGCCGGCAGTTTCTGAAGTCACCGAAGAAATGCAGGGGCTTCGTCAAAGCCTCAGCCCCGCTCGCTTAAAAGCAGTGAGGTACGAGCTTCCACCATAGCAGAAGAAGACTATACGCGCGCATATTGAGGACCAACCGCATAACAAGGCTCATTCACTTTGAGCCTTCTTCGTTATCTGAAAACGGTTGAAGTTCCACAGTCATCAAGTAGAGACATAGGACGCAATCTGACCCACCAGCGAACCTTGAGCTTGCAAGGCAAAAGCAGACAGGCTTCCGGACTCCCGTACGCAGAAGAAGTGAGGCAAACTTTGAGTGTGCTCCTGAAGGGCAAGGTAAACCAGCAATGAAGTAGCCAAGTGCCAGCATGAGGAAACTACCGCCTTGAACATGACGCACCATTCGCTCGTGCGCGCCAAAAGTGACCGTGACAGGTTTCTTGCCTGCGAATCTGCTCATGAAAAGTGACCCTCGTGCCCAAGGAAAAATTGCCGCTCCTTGGAGCCTCAAACAAATTAAGGTTCCGCTTGGCGGGATTGACCAACTCAGCGAAAGCGGACTACAGACTTCAATGTGGCCCATCCCCACTGACGAGAATAGAAGCGGTGGGAAACACTTGCTACAACCTTGAGAGGAGTACGGCCGGCTGAAAGCAAGTTGAAGGACCGGATAACCCTACACTGCAAAGTTTTTGCAGCAAGTTTGATCAAGGCTCATGGGAGAAAGGACACTAGTTGCGTGGGAAGAAATAAAGAAGGCAAGAAGGAAAAAGCGAAGGAATGAGCCAAGTTTCAGCAAACATATAGCGCAATCTTCGAAAAACGGCTGATGACCACACAAGCGCATGAGTGAGTGGAGTGTAAGAGAGTGAGTGTGCGAGTGAGTGACAGACTCAGTGGGAGTGAGTAAGTGAGAGTGAGTGAGTGAGTGAGTGAGTGAGTGAGTGAGTGAGTGAGGGAGGGAGGGAGTGAGTGAGTGAGTGAGTGAGTGAGTGAGTGAGTCGTGAGTCAGTGAGTCAGTGAGTCAGTGAGTCAGTGAGTCAGTGAGTCAGTGAGTCAGTGAGTCAGTGAGTCAGTGATGGCGCCAGCAACCTGCAAACTTGCGAGTAAAGGGCCGCAAGGTGCACCGGAAGGTTCTACCTTACAGTTGATGGTCCTGTCGACGATGCTTGGTTGAGTTTGTTTCCGTGTGTCCGTCTGATCTCTTGTAGATGCGGACGTCTGGGTTTTACCAAGTTCAGCTTGTTCGCGTCCGGACTTCTTTCAGTCTCCCACCGTTTTTGCCTCGGTTCGCCTGAGCAAGGCGTTGGTGGCTCAAAGCAGACGTGCCAGCGAGCCGGGGCCTGAGTGCGTGACAAGCTAGCGCAGCCATTGCAAATACAATGTGACATGCGTGCGAACAATTCAAACCAAGTGCGGAAAACAATTCAACAATTCCAAGTGCTTCCCGGTCCGCTTGAACGCCTCGGACAAATCACAAGCACGACGTCTGAGGCTCTGGAAGCTCCGCGAGGCCGTCGGCCAAGGCGAGTTGGGAGATCGGGTGACGGAGTGAGGCAGCCAAGTGGGGCATTGTTTGGGTAACTATTTCTTGGCTTGTTTTCTTTTCTCAGTGAAAGCACTGGCATGCTTCTCTTGAGCACACTGTTTGCCATTCTCATGCCAAGACAGCCGCGCAACATTGCAGCTGGCGCCAGTGGCGTCCATAGAAAAAGACCCCGTCGGGCTATGAAATTCAATCCAAGCCGTGGACTAGGTGTCACCTCATCGGCCGTTTCGAATCAATTGCTTGGCGCGAAGGATGTTTGTGTCAGTCAAGCACATCCTGCAACGCTGTGCTGTACAGAACAAAGGCTAGTGCTGTTGGGTTTGTGCGCAAAAACCTATGTTTTTCTGGGAACGCCCTCAAGCGCGGCAGACATAATGTCCCATGCCCATTCTATAGAATTAAATTACGTCCAATTAAGGAAGCCCGACTAACTTTGATCCCAAACATTGCTTTGCTCAAAGTGTCATGCTCTCATCACAGAGGGTGCAGTGTGTGTGTGTGTGTGGGTGTGTTGAGAGGATATCCTCTTTTGGGTTGTTTCAGAGGGAGCCAAAGGAAACAGCCCATTTAGACATTTAGAGACACACCCACATGAGTCACATGAACATCTGGGAAATTGATCGATGTGGGCAGTCTGACTGAATCGCATGTGCCTTGCCAAGCTGCTGGCTGTTGTATTTCTTTTCTTTTCATTTTTTGGAGGGGGGGGGGTAGACAGCGTCACAACTGGTTTTTTGAGGGTACCCTTTTTCGCTCAACGGAAACTAAGAGAACAACCGACTTTGGGCGTCCCCCCTATTTTGACACCCCTGATGGCTGATGGCAACTGTGAGCGCCTGATGTTCGGCTCTCGCCGAGCTTTGGTTAGCAAAGACTGGGCTGGCCTGACAAGACTGCATTGACCAGGGCTTGGCCTTGCGAGGCGCCGAGCCTGACGCGCCCACTTTGCATGCGGTCACCCATCGGAGAGCTTGGTCTGCATTCCAGCCGCGCTCCCTCTATCGCCTCTTGTTGCGGAGTGTAGGAGTCTCTTCTTGTGATATGTCGAAACTGTCAGAAAACCTTAATGCTGGCTTTGACAGGAAGCTTGACCTCCTCATTCGATACACCCTGGCGATGCGGATTCGAAGTATTGCACGTAAACCAACCTGCAACACATTGCCCCCTGCTTGCAAAACCAGGGAAACAATCGTAGCTGTCCCCTTTTGCTGCCATTGGCTGCGTGCCGTAAGCTATGTGCAGGATGGCAAGGGATGGAGATGAACATCCAACCCCAGGGTGCTTTTTCAAAGCTTGGTACCGCTTGTGGGGGCGGGGGAACAACAGGAACATGCACCATTTTAGGGGCTTCCCTCCTTTTCAGACAGACCCATTCCAAAGACGCGCGTCGAAATGTACCATGGACAAGCTACCAGCTCATACTGAGAATTACATGCCCTCTTCATGTTGCAGACAGACGTGGAAGGGATTGAGGGCTGTTTAGCAACAGAGGTTCCCACAGATCTTTCAGCAAGGGGTTGCCATACCATTTTACAAGCTGCAGCATTTGTGGCAACTCCTCCCTGGTCCGGTGAAATCAATCTCACAACGGACATTGGCTCAAACTCTGGATTTGAGGTACAGGGTTCTTGGAGCCTTAGATCAAGCACCATCAAATGTAAATGCCGCCGAACTTGACCGTTTCACCCCATGGGCTGGGGCTGCAAAGGCTTTTCTAATGTTTTTCCCGTTTCGTGTCCTCAATCGGTTTGACCCAGGATGACAGCCGGGGTGGATGAATCAGTCGCACTGCCTGCAAGCTCCGAAGAAAAAGATGGGCGCGCCAAGCCACTGTTTGAACTTGGATAGAAAGTGGACCCTTTGGACATGTACTTGGGGACTCATGTCCAACCGTTTTTGAGGCTTTTCCAACTGAAGCCAGCAAACCGGCCAAGCAGGCAAGCAAGCAAAAGCCAGGAACAAGAAAAAGAAAACACAAAAGCAGAAACGACAACAAGAGAGCACGGAAGCAACACATCAAGACGCCAAGAAAGCAACAACCCCGAAACGCCAGAACTCCAGAAGGCAAGAATGAAACAGGAAAAAACACAAGGGAGCAAGAAAACAAGGAAGCAGGGAGGCAGGCAATCAAGACAGCAACAAAGCAATAAAGCAGGCAACCACCAATTCAAGAGAGCACACCATCAAGACAGAAAGAAAGCAATAAAGCAGGAAAACAAGAATTCAAGAAAGCAGAAAACAAGAAATCAGACATGAAAGAATGCAAGAAAAACACAGGAGAGCAAAGCAGGCAAGAAACAGCAGGAGAGCGAGACAGCAAGAGCGCAAGTGCGAGCCGGCTAGCGAGCCACCAAGCAAGCAGGAAGACAAGTAGCCACATCCAGCCAGGCCAGTCCAGTCCAGTCCAGTCCAGTCCAGTCCAGGCAGCCAGCCAGCCAGCCAGCCAGCCAGCCAGCCAGCCAGCCAGCCAGCCAGCCAGCCAGCCAGCCAGCCAGCCAGCCAGCCAGCCAGGGAAGCGCGCAAGACAACCCACTTTGAAGTGAATGCAACCACTCCAGGCCCATGTTGGATGGACGCATTCCGCCCATCGTTCTCACCTGTGCAGATGTGGGCAGAGGCTTCATGTAGAGCAAGACATCCCACGAGCGAGGGATGAGCCGCTGGCTGTCATTTTGTCTCCTTGATCCTTCCTATGGCATTTGCGGTTTGAGTATGTAAAGTTCGGATTCGTCTGGTGGGCACGGAACTCTCATGGAATGGTCCATTTCCCCATAAGGGAGGTAGTCACTCTTGATTCGTAACCTCCTTCGTTCATTTGAAGTTGACATCACCTCCGCTTCGTCTCGATTTGTTTCCTAAATATGCCCTTTGTCTCGCTCGGCTTCCGCCCGTTGTGTTTTTGCTTACGAGGAGGATTCCCTAAACTCCTCTCTTCATTTGATGTGCCCTATGGAAGATTCCGCAAAACAAAGGGATTGCCGTTCAATGGGAAGCCAAAAGCAAGTCTTCTTTTCTTGGGGGGGTCCTCCATGGTACGAACAGGTCATGCGTCTCTCGGCTCAGCCAAGCAGATCGTTTTTTAGGGCCCCGGTCTATACCATGGCGGTGGCCTGGCTGCAGAGATGCGATGCCAGCCGAGAAGAGTTCAGCACAGGGGTGTCTGCCGTTGAAGCAAGAGAAGAGGCAACAAGTCCTTTTCGAGAATACGCTTCACTTCGCTTCCACAGATATTCTCCTTTCCTGTCATTGTAGCTTCATCTGTGTGTGTCTCTTTTTAGGCTCGGCACAGTACCCGTTTTGGGCTTGGCTGCATGAGAGCAAGTTCGACGTGGCTATGAATCTTGATGCTTGGATGGAACACTAACTCAAGCATATTTTGCCAAGGATGTAATTCCGCGTACGTAGACATAGATCTCGAGCTTGTTCCGACGTGGTTGTTGTGCATTGATTGAGAGTTGGCCGCCTCGTCTTGGGATGCATCATTGTGTCGTTTTACCTTAGGCGCAGATGTGCCATGGTCCAAGCACCTTTCTACTCGGGGTTGGTAGGGATGGTCATCAAGCCCGTAGTGATTTGAATCAACCGGTAGGGTTCTTAAGGATGCCATGACCATGACCATGGGCCCCACAAGCTGTTTTAGCGGTGGCCCACAGGATGTGACGGTTGGTTTCTGCCACTGGAGAGATGGGTGCCACGCCTCCGATAAAGTGCCAAGTACAGCCTCGTCGGAAACCCCAAGATGGCCAGTCAAACTGATCAAAGGCACCCTGATTTCTATGACATTAAATAATCGGTCAAGCTTGTTTGAAGTGTCAACATCCCAACCGGCTGGACTGCAAACGGCAGTCCGCGTGGATCCCAAGATGGCACGGAGCATCATTTTGCCGCAGGCGAAGCACCGTCTTTGGGTGGGATTGCAAAGGCATGCAAGGTTCAGACATGTTTGTAGGGGGCGGTGACATGTTTCTGCGGATGCAGAGCTAGGCTCAATGGTGCTAGTGATACTGCATTGTGAGCCATGAGTGAGCTCGAATTTGTGCAGGTGGGTGGCAGGTGTAAGCTGAAGTCTGAGGAGGACTTTACCAGCTACTTGAAAGAGTCAACAACAAAGACCGCGGCGACTCGCATCAGGTCACTCAGGAGGGAGTGGCAGGCACACCAGCGAAGCTTGCGGGAGAAGGCCAGGCTCGCAGATTTCTTGAAGAAGCACGGCTTTGCGGAAGATGACCTGGACGCCCCGAAGTTCACGTGCCTCGGCTTGAAGTATACCTGGCCGGTATTGCAGGCGGCACGAGAAGGGGATGAGCAGATGGTCCTTTTGCTGGTCCGCTGCGGGGCAAATCCACTGCAGAGAGATATCTGGGGCTACACCGCCATTGACTATGTCAAGTCCCCGGCGCGCAGCAAGATTCGGCTGCTTTATGTGCAGAGTCGAGTCGGCCAAGGCCTGAGTTAGCGAATTCTGGCCGCCGCGGCTTGGGCCAGGTGACCAGAGCGCAAAGAAACACTGGCACAGCCAACATGTCGGATAGTTAGATTGAACATGGCAACTAGAACATGAAACGGCAGGTTCAACACTTATGACTCTTATGACATGTTGCAAAGCATGTAGCCATGTGTCTTACTTTGCAAGGGACATTTAGATGGCCCGCGCTGCGGGACTCAAAGATCGTTATATATTCCACTCAGTTAGACTGCTCTACTGGAGTCTGCCTTTGGCTTTTTGAATGTGCGCTGTTTACAGCCTCGCAATCGAGCTGCCAATCGATCAGGCGTCTCTCAGAGGCCAGATCCTCTCCCGAATTCCAGTGGAAATTCAACACTCCAGATTTGCAGAGGGATTTACCCATTTGTTCACGAGCAAACACCATGGCGTGCACTAAATGCCTCTTTGTATCTTCCTTTCAGGACTGCAATTCAACAATTCTATGTTACTTTCTCGGGAGTAGCTTGTAATTATGGCTTGGCAGGGAAAAGCGGTCACACCTGCACCGGCTTTCAGAAAGTCAGCCAGTGCAATGTGATTCGCTTCCTTATGGTTAATATTCGCTGTCTGGGTAAACGGTCACAGAGCCGCCGCCCAACGGCACACTGGGAGGCACACAGTGACTGCGTTCAACTCCCCGTGGGAACACATGTGTGAACTGTGTTCCGCGCTTTAATTCTACAAAGCTGCTTTGATTCTCCGAATCATAGTTGTCACTGCATGTGCTGACGCGCGGTCCGGTCAAACTTACTGGTAGTCTACGATCCATTTGGGAGGGACACGGAGGGACACAGAAATGCCCCACAACAACCAGGCGACTCACGAAATGTTCCCACATTCTCTATGGGAAACAAGCATTTGCTTGACCGTGGCTTGCATCTTCCTTCTTAATGCACAGGGTGGAAGTGCGGTCTGATAGAACTCCCGAGAAATTGTAGGTCTGGAGACGGTCCCAACCCAAACTGTATGGCTGGCAGTTACACAATTGGATTTTCTTCCGTGGTCAGGGGTTACCAACTGCATTTAGGTTGAAAAACAGTTCTCCACTCCACTCCAAAACCAAGTAGTGGTACCAACCTAAAAGCATAGCAAGCCTTTTCATTTTGGCCCAACAGGGGAGGTGTCACATGGTTTCCGGGAGGTTTAGACAGACTTCTTTTTCCAGGCCTGCACGGGTATGAGTTATGAGACTTCTGGAAAAGAGGTGCATGCGGCCGTCTGGACGGGTGGTCCTTCTCAGGGGGCTTGCAAAAAGCCAAGAGGAAGGAGTTGCGTTTGGTGGGTTCCCCTAGGACAGCACATTGAATGCTGCATTTTATGTAAATGAGGACGGAATACTATTTCTTGGGTTTCGGTTGGCCATTTGCAGATATATGGCGAGCCTCTATTTGCTTTGCACACACTGCTCAAATGTAGGCTGTTGGCTCCATTCAAGCAACTGCCCCCACCACTCTTCCACAATGTGCCCCAATGACAAGACATGTGGTTCTTTGTTGATCTGCCACCCACACGAGCGGCTCATTTGCAGCGACGTTGTTCACCCCAAAGTTGGGAGTTCTCCGCATTTTGTGCGGGACCCGTGTGCTCATACCCAAAAATGGTGGTTTTCCTTTCGGATTCCCTTCAAAAACCACAAATGGGTACCCTCAAAGAGACACACCCACACATATATATATATATATGTATATATATATATATATAATATAACGCGCATACATTACATTACATTAGGTTACTTTGCATTGCATTGCATTGCATTACATTACACTACATTACATTGCGTTGCATTGCATTGCATGGCACGGCACGGCACGGCATGGCATTGCATTGCATTGCATTATAGTACTGTACTGTACTGTACAGTACTGTACATTACATACTGACATGACCCAGGTCAGCGGTTTGCAAGAGCGCCCCCTGGTATCCCCCTGCCCCGCATGGGGCTGCCCCCAAACCCACGACACGCCAAACCCACCTACACCCACCTAATCCAGCCCTACACCAACCCTCAATCAACCGCCTAAACCCACCCTCCGCCAACCCTGCGTCAACCCTGAATCAACCCTAAACCAAATCCGAGAAAGAGGGGCCGCAGTCATTAGCCGAGAAGCAGAAGAGCAATGGCCAAGTCCGAATGTTCTATTATCCCTCAATCTGCTGCAGGTGTCTGCAGGAAACTTGACTATCTGAGACCAACGCCACCACCACCCGCCTCCTCAGTTTCCAGTGAACCCGAAAGACTCTCCCACACGGTCATGACTTGCTAAAGTAGTTTGGAGAGTGTCCTGTTTCGATGCCATTTTGTCCCTCAAAAAAGACACCCAAGTAAATAACAACATTTCCCGCGGAAACAGTGCCTCCCCTGGCCCTCGCATCCGTGCCCTAGGACGAGGATGCGGCAGTGTCCAGGATGGGACCGTTTTGAGCATCAGGTGCCTGTCAAATCCTTCGGGTCTTGGGTTTCCGCAAACCACAAAGAACCCCCCCGGCCCCGTCGTTTCGTTGGCCTTCTTCCCATCCAAGGCAACCGAGAACCCCGAACTTTTTTTTTGTACCACAGGTCTCATGTTTGGCTACGGCTTTGTTCGCTCGGTTTGCTTCTGGCTTCACAAGCGAACCGATAGAGCCTCAAGGGCTTCGGGTGTGTCTTTTTTGAGGCTGGCTGTCCTTCTTGGGGTTGCTTGAAAGGGCAACCCACAAGAAACAATCCATTGTGGGCGTTCCCCGCCTTCCAGCCCATTTAGCTGTCAGCTTAAAGAGAGCCTTGGCTTTGGAACTGGAGAGTTTGACCAGAGAACAACACCTACCGCAACTCCAGATTTCTGCTGATGATTCCTTTCAGCGCCTCGGTTTGCGCATGTCACCTACACCAAACTTGAGCTGTGCCCCAACTCGAAGCAGAGATGCTGGACACAGTTTCGTCACAATTTCGGAGCATGGTACGTGATCGGGGGAGCAGGCTGTAACATCGTTCCAGCTGTCATGCGGGTGCGATAGGGTTTGCAGTCTTGTATTTGGGAATTTGTTTATCATATCATTGACGAATAGGGATTGGTTCAGGTGAAGTCGTTCATCCTCTTTTTGGATTGCCTTCATGCTTCATGTATGTTCCACATTTCCTTGTCTTGCGTTAAAAGGTCTGGTTGCCAAGGTTCTTTTGCGTTGCAGGGTTGCTCCGAAGGAACCAATGGCCAAACCAATGGCCTTTCCGACCGGTTTTCCAGCCTCGGGCTTCATGGAAAGTGCAGGAAGAAGCACCTGCTGAACCTGATCTGTGGGGTTAAGGCCCGGCTGGATGGCAAGGCGCGATCCGAATCGCGACACGGGCTCCGATGTCACTTGGGATTCCTTTCTTTCAGGTCTGTGAGTCTGTGAGTATATTTGTCCAGGTCGCATTCGGACGGGTTTGGTTGGGGTTGAAGGTCAACCCTTGATAGGGATTTTGAGGGTTTTCAATCAACTGATCCAAGTCCCACACTCTACACCCTCAACCCGGTAACCCGGCCACCCAAAAGGTCAGCGGAAACAAATGCTGAGACAGAGACCAACATTCCCAAGCTTCCTGTGGCACTGGGGATGTTGGGCACTGGCACGTTGGAGAGGCATGGAGAGGCAAGGGATACTTATTCAGCCGGGCATTTGGGGGTGCTCAGTCTTGAAGGTGACCTTTTGCCAACCTCACCCAACAGCCCTGTTTCGGTGAATCCAACCCGAAACGTAATCGTTTAGCCATTTTGCTTGGGGCCTTTTGTCCGACAGTTATGGCACTATGCCAGATGGACCAGGGCGGTCCTTTTAAGAATACCTAGCAAGACTGGATTTTTCCTCCCTAAAGGCGAGTCCAGATTCCTCCATATGTCTTTACCAAACTTGTAGACCTTACAGATGGGTGGGCAGAGTTCCAAGGCCGCAGAAAAGAAGCAAAATGCGTTTCCCGAGGTGGACAGTCTGAGCTTCCCGATCCCCCAGTTCGTCGTCATTGGGAAGCAGAGTGTGGGCAAGTCCAGGCTCATTGAGGCAACGCAACCGGCGTGGGGTTCCGTTGTCACTCAAAAGCTGCTCCCCACCTAATGTAAGCGGCGTGATTTTTTACGCCTTCTGAGACGGCCAGATGTTTTTTTCCCCAAAACCCAAGCAGGGAACCTCAATGCGCTGTTTGGAGTCTATGAAGCCGAAACCTGCCAGCCATGCATCCATTTTGTCATGTCCCATGGATGACATATACAGTTGGGAGAAAGTAGATGCCCACAATTCCCGGGAGATGTGGGTAAGGGGATGACTTTACCAAAGTGAGGGATTTTTGTCATCTTTTCAACCAGCTGTATATGTTTGTGACTGCATCAGCCGGCGAGAAAAGGAAATGCCGCAGCGATGACTGAGGGTCGAAGCTGAGCCGAGCACAAAGCAAGCGCACAGCTTCACAACGATCCAGGCGCAGCATCATATCCACTTCGTGGCCCAACCCAGCAGATCACACGGGGGGAAGCAGAACGCGGAGAGCCCAATGAAAGCTAAGTGAGCTCGGGGCACACCAGGTGGCCACATCGAGGCAAATGAGAGCCAAGCTCACAACATAAGGTTGCAACAAGTGCAGCAGCTGAGGAAGTTTACCGCCTATGCGGTCCATGCATACCATGCCTGTTGAAACCCCATACCCCCGTGAACGACCTTGGCACTTGTGTTTATAAGAACACCAGCTTAGAGCTTGAAGCTGGAATATTGAGTTGCCAAACTCCCATGTTAAAGCGTTGTCACACAAGCAGGCTCGCTTTCGTGCTTCCCCAGTTGGCTTTCTGTTGATGCCCTTCCTATGACTTTTCCTGCTGCTTTCCTGTGTGCTTCGTTGATATTTGTTGGTCTCCATTTGATAACCATCAGGGCTATTCTCAACAAGGCCCCCCCCCCCAAATGCGCGGCATATTGTTGGATTTGTGCTTTTCGGGGTGGATGGGAAGGCAGTGCTGGCATACCCTGCGTGCTACTGGGCGTGCAATGAATTTCGAGGGACGCCTATGTTGTGCTTGGTTTGTCTCAAAATGTGGGCTGACACAGCAAGACTTCAGCTGGGTCCGGGCCCCGGCCAGTTCAAATGAGTACTGAACTTAGCTTCAGGGGTTCCTAGCGGCGTGTTGGACCAGTTGAACCAGTCGAAGCCGAGCAAACACACTGAATGTTTGCAAGTTTCTCCAGCCGTCCCGCAGGCCTTGGCCGGTGAGACCTTCAACTTCGTCTCCGGCACCCTTGGTTCCAGGCTGCTGAATGAAAAAGTGTAAGGTTGAATCCCTTGAAGTGGTTGCATTTTGAGAGGTTCTACAAAAATACTTTGGACCCTGGTGGTTTCCTTTCAAGCCACCTTCCCTATGTAGTAATTTGAGGACGTGTCTTGAATGGACCCGGGCCCGGAAGAAGGCCGACCCTTGGGTGCGAGTCAGAGATTCGGCGTTCTTTAGTTGAAAAGAATATCAAGCAGTTGGAGGGCCCTGATTTCGACGCTTGCCCACTTGGAGCTGAATGGTGACGCTTCCCACAAATTCAAGCATCCAAGCAAGGGTACCTGGCAAGTCAGCATTTGTGCTGGCAGCAATGTGTGTGTGTGTGTGTGTAGTGAATTGAGCTGGTGTTCAGGCATTAAACAGCATTGCCGGTGACATTGCTGTGAGTCCCCCGAGGTTCAGTCGGTTATACTAGTCCCTCGCGAAACTGCTCTAGCACAACCAGTCAATCGCGATTGCGCCACTTGCGACGCAGTAAACCACCGTGGTTCCTTCCCCCGGGGCTGCCATGGCTGCTTGTTGTTTGTGAGGCGGCCGACGGTCCTGGAGTTCCGCAATGTGCCGGGCCTGAACCCCTCGAGGCGCGGATCGATGCGAGCGCGCTCGGATGGCCCCCCCCCTAACTCCCATGGAAGAGGGAGTGGGACTGGGACCAACAACGGGTCCCTCTTTCTGGGAGATGGCAAAGGCCTCAGACGTTGAGACGTGCTCGCCAGATGGAAACAAAGCCAGGGTTTCAATAATTCATGAAGCCCGTGAGACTTTGCATTGGCTTTGGACGCCTTTGATCACAGCAACAATTCTCACCCTTTAGTTAGTTGCGCTGCTTTCCCCTTTGTCATCCACTGCACAAAATTCCGCGCTCTCTGTAAAGTAGAAGGAGTAGGTGCTGAATTGCTTGCCACGTCAGAGGATTGAACCATTGCGTGCTTTTTCGGTTCAGAAGAAGCATCCCAAGCCGAGCTTCAGAACTCCACACAGGTCTTCGGGATCCCAGTCCGAATTCCGAGGTGGTCCGTCTTTGATGAGAACCTGAAGACGTGGGCATCATACCCCGTGCAGGAGGTGATGCAAATAGTGGGCAATGCCCACGAGGCCGCATTGGAGCGACGGAAGTGGGTGCGTGCTTTTCGAAACTACCCCTTTCGTGCGGTTGGTTTAACCGAAAACGAAAGGGCAAGCACACATGTAAAATGGGGCTCCCCCCCCCCCCATTTTGCCGTGCAGAATTACCATACCCAAGTGGCAAGCGGGCCCTTCCATGTGCGCTTTTTAAACCGCGGCGCAGGCATGTGGGCAGAATGTCAGCGAGATGCCCATCAGGGTTAAGGTGGAAGGCGGGCAAATGGGTGCCTCCCTCGGCCCTTGGTGCGGGAATGACAGGACCAAGACTTGATTGAACCTCTGATAATGGGAGCTTGTTCTTCTTCAAGGTCTGGGTGGGGGGTTTGGTACCGTTCGGGCAAGTCAAACAAACCACCGCAGTCGCTACCCTGGTTTCCGGCTTTTGCTTGCACGTGAATTTGGTGTGCACAGGATCCAACCAACTTAAAAATACACAAATTATCGAGGGGTTCCAGCATTATCCAATCGTGCCATATGTGTGTGTATATATTTTCAAGGCACCTTTTTAGGTTGGTTTCAAGGGAAACCGATGGCGACCACTTTGGGTCCCGGTCCTTTGAGCCCTTTGTGAAACCGCCAGGCCAAGACTGCACGGACCTGGGCCTGGTTGACCTGCCTGGGTTCAGGCGGGCAGAAATTGGCAGAAGTCTCGTTTGGAGGATGGGTCCTTTTTCAGGAGGACACACAACGTGATGTTTTCCTTTTGGTTTCTTGTGTTCAAAAGAAAAGGGGTACCCTCAAGAATGACAAGTCCAGGAGATCCAACCAAAGGGTCGATTCAAATTACTCCGACCAGATGTGGGTGGCTCGTCGTTTTCAAGGTTGGACCTCAAAATGGCTTCTGTGTCCCTTTTGGTTTCCCTTCAATAAAGACACACGCACGTCTTTTTCAACAAGTACCTTGTCTTTTGGTTCCCAAGCAGTGTGGCTCCCAAGATGTGCCGTGCCTGTGAAGAGTGGGCTGCCTTCCTCTGGGCACATCGGGACTGAGGTCTCCCAACAAGAGTTATAGGCCTTGTTCCCACTGTTTGCTACCTTTTCTGAATACATGATTGACCTGTCTGGTTCTCAATGGGATAGCGGGAAAGAATCTACAAGTTCATTCGTTGCTTTCTGATTCGCAACGCTTCATTCCGGGCTGATTCACAAGCCTTGACTGGCCCATGGGGAAGATCTACAGGACATCAAGAGCCCAACCATTTCAAGCAAATGACACGAGACTTTTGTTGACTCGCGTGTTGCCAAAACTTGTTGCCTTTTGAGCCAAGCAAAGACATCGCCAGGTCCTATGCCAAGGATGATTCCATGGCAGCCCTGGCTAAGAAGATCGACACCATGGTTTTCAAGTTCATGCACCGCGCTCAGTGCCACTTTTCATCCACCCGGATTGGTGGGTTCCATCATGTTCTATCAACGGTGTTACTTGAGGAAACACGGGCGTATCACCCAGCACATGTCTTTATTTCCAGGCACAAGTGTCAGATGGATGGACACGCAGCGCCACCGCTTCTGCAGTTCTCCTTGGCGTTTAATACGCAAAAATCTAAAGTCCCACATTACATACCCCATGCAGGTATTCGAACAAGTGGGCCTTGTCATGGGGCAATCCAGGTTCTGACACACCAAAAGGGCTGTTTCACGACAGGTGTTCTGTGTGTGTGTGTGTGTGTGTTTCTCTGGGAGTTTGGGTCAGTGGCAGATTTTGCTTCGTGACCCTTGGAATGCCACCAAAAGAAAAACAACTGTTTTTTTGGAGGGGGGTCCCCTAGAAAAGACACCCAACTCCCCAGGCTTCATACCCGAATGATGCTCTGCCTATGCGAGGAATGACGAGAACAACATCATGCTCTGCGTCGAAGAGGCTGGCGATGCAGCAGGCGGGGACTTGTGATCCCGGATGAGACCATGGAAGCATCGAAGGGTTCCTTTTGACAGGGTTTGCCAAGATGCCGGGTGAGGAGCTGTTTTCCGTCCTTGACTTGTTGCAAAATCCTGGTTGGAGTTAGCAGCCACCACCTATGTGTTGATACTTTGGCTTTCCTCAACCTAGACGAAAGCTCAACAGGGTTTCTTCCCGTTTGATGTGGACCGACCATCATGGGGGACCTTTTTTGCTTGCGCCATCGGTCGTGCGAAGAGACGTCGTGTGTTCTGGTGGCAACGTATGATGCGTCCCGCGAGGCTTTGCCACGCTGGGAAAAGCAAAGCAAGTGGATCCCACGTACAAGCGCACCGTCTTGATTAGGAACAAGCTTGACAAGTGCGCCCAGATGCCATGCCATGATAAACGAACATGATCTTCCCTGCAAGCATGATGTGGCTCATGACTTTACAGCAAGATGCCGGACAAGATGCCTAGGATCACCTGTCCAAGCGTACTCACTTGCAACAAGAAAACGGGTTTCAACAGTCAGGTACTATGGCGATCTGACCCCGGAGAACATCAACAAATGGCCCTGACCTCAGATCGGCGCGCGCTTCACTCGGCATTCCTCTCTGCCGGTTGCTGGTTTATTTGACGTATGTGTGTTTTGCATTTATCTCTTTTTGGGGTTGGCTTAAGGGGAAACCTAACGGACCAACATGTTTGGGTCCCCCTATTTAGATGCAAGCAGCAGTGCAGAGGCTAGGTCAGAGCGATATTTCTTTGACTCAGCCCACCATCACGCACAAGTTGTTGAAAGGACTTGGAGGGAACTGGGATTCAGACCTGTCTTATGCAGATAGACACATTCTCGTTTACAGATTTCTGCAAAGTTTCTGGCAAGCTCACGTGGGGCTAAAACCAGGCTTTGGATTGACCGCAAAATTTGCAAAGACAACTTTGCCAGCTGAAAAAGCTCACCGCATTTTGAATCTGCGTTTGGTGCAATCGAAAGGCTGGAAGGGTACGGCGACTTGCCGCCGCACCTCGCCCGCTTTGCCGTGTCTTTGCCGCTCAGCTGCAAGGAATCAAAATGCAGGCTGGGCAGGCTCTTGAACCCCAGGCTCTGGCGACGGTATGATCCAGCTGCCCATGCGCAGCCATTTTTATACCGACCACCAACCAACCACCAACCAACCCAACCCACTGCGGCATTTTATCAGGGCCTTGCTGTGCAGCGGCCTATATCTATGGGATTGAGACTTAATGAGAGAGACAACTTGACGAGAGCACGCGTATCGCATTTGCAATGAGCACGCACGTGAGCTATATGAGCTAGTTTGGGAAATGACATGAGCGGCATTGCAGCTGCAGTTAATTTGAAGTAATGGCAAACAGCACACCAACCAAGAAACACATACACACACACACACACCCAAAGCTTCCCTGCCATTCCACTGACGGGCCGCCATGGCTCTGTTGGCGTCAGAAAGTCGCATAGCGGGTACGGTTTTCCATCAGTCAGAGCAAACATGGGTAAGCAAGCCAAGCGAGCATCCACATGGTGCTCGCATGGGGATTCCTGTTTGCAGACAGGTAGTCACGTAGTGACGTAGTCTTCGCTTCATTGATATGTCACCTCAAGTCGCACCTCCGCGGATTCAGTGACCTCACACAAACATGTACCAGAAACATGTATTTGTGTGTGTGTGTGAGCGAGTGAGTAAAAGGGAGGGAAGGGAGGGAAGGAGGGAGGGAGGGAGGGAGGGAGGGAGGGAGGTCTGCGTGTACACGCGCGCTGCAGAGGAGGAGATACAAAATGATGTGCTGAACGTGGAACATTGTCTCTGCAGAGTCCGGAATTGAGCCAATGGGGCAATCACAAGCCCATTCTAAGTGGTCGTGTTGCAGAGCATGCCGCTTGGTTCTTCGCACAGCATTGCAGTCAAGCTTCCTGCTTGCCAATTCTTAGAGCTGCCATCTTACCGTAAGTTTAAGTTTGCCTTCCTGCTTCGGAGCATCAAGTGTTTGATTTGGATCGGGCAGGAGAGACATTTGGACCCCACCGCCCCAAGTGGTGAACAGTGGCACCCTCAAAGTTGCGCTTTTTGTTTGAGTCGCACAAACATGGTCAACCAACTATATCAAAAGAAGAGAGGGGTATGCTGCGAGTGTTGTGTTTCTGAGTAAATCACTCATTTCTGCAAAAGAAATGGTTTCCCTCTTCTACGGTCCCTGGCTTGCAGCTGGCCTTCTCCTCCCTGCAGTGGAGGCCCCACTGGACGGGTGAAGCCATGCCAAAGGCCTTTGGGGACATGCGCAAGGACGGGATTTCGAGCTGACAAATTTGGACCTGCCTTTCAAGAAAACCCAACGTCACCTTTAAACCAAGGTTATGGGGTGCGGTTCCCAGGTTCCCACCATGGTTTTTTGGAGGGAAGCCGGTTTTGATGGAACTAAAAAAAAACTAGCCCCGGCTTGGGGCTTAGCCCCGGCCGGGGGACTGGTCAGTCGGTCGGTTCGGTCGGTCGGTCGGTCGGTCGGTGGGTTGGTTGGTTGGTTGGTTGGTTGGTCGGTCGGTCGGTCGGTCGGTCGGTCGGCCGGTCGGTCGGTTGGTCGTCTGGGCGGCCACATCCCCAGCATCCTCGGTTGCTTGGTGTCAGGGCTGCGTTTTAACTGGCTGCATCCCCAGCATCACCGGCTTCGCTCGGACTAGCGCTGCCCATTGGCTTTGACTTGGTGGCAGTTCAGAGTTGCTCAGGGCTGGTTTCGGGCGAGGGTTGAGCTTGCTGAGGTCTTATATAGTGAGGGTGAGGCTTGTGTTTTGGGTTCATTAGGCTTGGTAAAGGGCTGATATCCAGGATGCTGTTGGGAGGGTTTGAGGCTGACTTTGAGTCGGTTTGGGTTGGCTTGGAGCTGATTTGCGCGAGGGTGTGCGGCCTGGTTTTTGCAGTAGCTTTCGGGCTGCTTTAGGGATGTGGCTGCGCAAGTTTTGGGCTGGTTCAGAACCACACCCTGAATATCAGCATCCTGGATATCAGTCCTTTACCAAGCCTAAATGAACCCCAAACAAACCCAAGACCCACCCTCATGATATAAGACCTCAGCAAGCCCAACTCTGGCCCGAAACCAGCCCTGAGCAACTCTGAACTGCCACCAAGTCAAAGCCAATGGGCATGCATGCCCAGGCCAGTGATGCTGGGGATGCATCCCAACCCCCCCAACCTGGCCAACTTGGCCCCCAGAGAATAGCGCCGGTTGCCCCAAACCTGAGAGCGAAGCAAGGTTCCCAGCCAACCTCTTTAGAGCCACTCACATGAGCATGAGGCCTTGCGCTGAGCTGGGGCTAGCAAAAAGCCGGGACTAGTACAAAAAGACAACCTCAACGGGTTGTGATTTGGGTTTGAGGGTAACCAAATAGAAAGCCACGATTTGGGGGTCCAGCCCATTTGCTTAAAGTGACTTATTTTGCCCTGTTGGCTTTAAAGAGAAATGGTCATACTGGTAACAGTATTATGTTGTTTGGTGGCAGCTTAAGCGAATGGATGAGAGCTGTTGACACGGTGTTTCCGCCATCTTGAAAAATCGGGATAAAAAGGCGACTGAGAGCGTTTCAGTGGGGGCTTGGTTGCTTTGTGGTTTAAGCTGCAATCTTTGGACTGAGTCAAGCGGCTGAAGCCACCGAACGTATTCAAGCAAAGCCGAGCTTGAACATGCCCTTGCTGAGTTGTCCCTTGTAGTGGTCTGATTCTTTCCAGCCGGGGTTAGTGGATGGTGCTCTGTAAAAGCAGGTGAAGCATTTCGCTTGCGAGCTTAGTGCCCTGCCTTTCATCTTCGTCCTGTCTCAAGGCATAGTGTCCGGCTGGAAAACGCAGTCACAAATGTCTCGCGTGCGGTAGGCCACGCCCGCAGGACTGCTCGGAACGAGACATGGAGAAGTTGTCCTCGCTGGGCGCTTCCGCGAAGCGTGGGGCCTTAGCGGGGGCCCGCGAGGGCTCTGTCCCAGCAGGTGGGTTGCCAAAAAATGGACCCCTTTTCTGGACCCGTGCGAAAGACGGGCCCCACATACACCAGGGCCCCAAAAGGGTACCCTCTTGACAACCCCGCAGGTTCCTGTTGAGCACTTTGTCGGATGGCCTGTGTCTGGGAGCCAATTCCCCGCGACGCCGCACTTTTTTTGTGCCTTTGCCAGAGTCTTTTGAGCAGTTGTTGAGCATATTCCATCTTGGTGCCAGCCTGATAGAGTTTTGCGTTGCGCCCTGAACTATCGCATATCTATGCATATATATATATATACATACACGTATGTAATTGTATACGGGTATGTGTATATACAAAAACAATATGCACATATATACACATCCTTTTTGAAGCATCTACACCTCTATTTGGGGCTAATGGCGCTATGATGATGGGTTGAGGCCTCTGAGGGTTTTGCCATGTCATATCTCAATAGTTGTGCTCCTTTCAACCGGTGTCTTCTTGCTGGTACCCTTGACAATTGTTCAATGTTCCAGTCTTGAACCAAAGTACAAGCTCTGGCGAGCGTAATGTTTGGATCTTTTCAGTGCTCCCTGAGAGTGAGCTAGTCTTAGCTCGGCTGAGACTAGCTTCCCACGGAAAGCTTGTTCGGTGGTTGGTTCTGGGAGATCTAATCACAGGCTCTTGGTTCACGGAGTGTTGGGTTAGTTTCCGCCAGCCGCCCACACAACAGCCAAATGGCCGCATCCCAAATGTCGCTTGGGATTAATCTCGTCCAACCCAATGGCAGAGATCACAGCATGCTCCCTTTTTCAGCCGCGCGTTTTTCAGCCGCGCACCCAGCGACAAGGTACAAGATGACCATCGGCTTCCAAAACTTCAGAAACTACATGGAGGCACCTTTGGGTCCGCGAGCCGGAAGTGAGCACCAGAAGTGGATTCGGTTTCTTTGTGGGATAGGAAGTAAACATTAGAACCTTTTCGGCTTTTCCGGCTTTGCAGTGGAATTTCGGAAGGAAGGGAAACCAAACACACACACACACAGACACCCTTTTCGCGGTCCCCTAAACCTCTTAAGGTGATTTGGCACATTCAGCTTTTTTGTGCCGCGGGAGTAAGCGGAGTGGTCAGCAAGTGCTCAGTGATTTCAAAGAACAATTGTTTTACCTGCGGTGAATCGCCCATTCAAGGGCTGGGCTTCCCAGCACGGTGGAACGGTTGCCTTGTTGAGAGCTATGCTGTTTTTTCCCCATCCTTTGCGCCCGATCACCGATCACTCCCAGTCCCTCCTAAACGCGGAAGAGCTGCTGCATGAGGTGCTGGATGATTGGAGGCACTTTCCTAGCATGGTTGGGCCCCTTCAGTCCCAGGCTCGGATGGTCAAAGGATGTACCAACCAATTTGGAAGGTGCCCGAGGATTCTTCAAGCATTTCCTTCTCCAGTGGCCTGCGGATGGAAGAAGGCATCTTGAGGATTCCTCAAGCATTTCCTTCTCCAGTGGCCTGCGGATGGAAGAAGGCGTTGGGTGCTGCAACAAAGTTTAGTCCTAATCCTTTCGTTCCAAGGCCGACCGGCGGCGAACACCCTTGGCATTTGCACTGGCATCGAACGGTATCTTGACCCTGAAATCGGAGGGCATCAGGGAGGCAGGTATTGCCACGATATATATATATATATATATATGTATGTATGTATGTATGTTTGAAGATAGGGGTACCCCTTTGGTGTTGCTTGAACATCAAAAGGAGAACCACAGCTTTTGTCCGTTCCCCTGCTTTGAGACAACCGCGTATACCATTCCATCCCGTAGGGTAGCTTTCATGCCGATGCAAACAGGGACAATCAGAAGTGCGCCCTTTGCAGGGAAGAACGCACAAACAAGACAGTTCTTTTTCCTAGTTAACGTGCTTGTCATGAGACCCTCAGAATTTGCGCTCTGCATCGATCCTTGTGTGGACCCTAGACCTGAATAAAGGCAACTGCCGGGATGTGAAAAGGTTTGTGTTTGCTTCCACTCTCGGTGAAGTACACTTCATATTTGTTTGGCTTTCCACCTGTGGCCTGTGTGCTAAAGGCGGCTCATGTGACTCCCACATCCTTTTGTTTCAAAGAGGACCTAGCTTGTCTAACAAGACACAATGAACCGCCTGAGTCGAACGGGCAGCGTTTAAAGGTAACATCTCCACCTTGGCTGCTTGGTTCAATGTCTCACCTTTAGCTTCTTATCATCTTGGGGAAAAACATGGATTTTCCAACCAGCTGGCTTTAGTTTCACTTTTAGCTAGGGTGGGAGGGGCGTTAGCCACCAGGCCACGGGGCCTGTGTTTTCCCCCCAGACTTTGCCAGATCAAGATCCAGCAGCTCTTTGCAGACGCTTTGGCACCCATGCTGAGCCGCCTGAAGCACATGCAGGAGGAGAACGTGCCTAGCATGGGGGTGTCTTTTTTTGAGGCTCGGTGCTTTTTTTTGTGGTTTTGAAGGGACACCAAAAAAGACACCCAGCATTTTTGTTGGGAGATTGTCCCGACATGTTTAAATCACCGCGTGACTGACACCTGGTCTGGTTGCAGATATCAAGGATTTTATGGAGGCCATGCTTCCGATGTTCTGGTTAAGCATCATGACATGCCTATTCCAATCGCAGGACAACTCCTTCCAGGTCCTATGCAGGGTTGTCTCGAAATTGAGCAGACCCCAAAATGGGTGTTGTCCCTTGGATTTCCTTTTGAACTGACCTGAAAACGGTACCGACTCCAAAAAGCACATCAACTTCCTCCCCACTCAAGCAAAAGTTATTTAAGGATGATTTGGCTGTATTCGAGAGGTCGTTAACGGCATTTTCCAGAAAACCTGGGCAAGTGGCGCGCGAGGGAAACGCGCGGGCGAGCGAGCGGGTGAACGTACGAGTGTGCGAGCGCACGCGCGAGTAGACGGACGAGTGGACGGACGAGTGCGCGGTTGGACGGACGGACGGACGGACGCACGTACGGACGCGCGCGCGCGCACGCACGCATGCACGCACGCACACGTCCGTACAGAAATAAGGGCAGAAAAAAACCATTTTATGGTCTTAAAAAAGGTCTTATTTCTGTACGGGCCCGCGCGTACAGAAATAAGACCTTTTTTAAGACCATAAAATGGTCTTATTTCTGCCCTTATTTCTGTACGGAAGGGTGCGTGCGCGCGTGCGTGCGCGCGTGCGTGCGTGCGTGCGTGCGTGCGTACGTGCGCGCGTGCGTGCGTGCGTGCGCGCGCGTGCGCGTCCGTCCGTCCGTCCGTCCGTCCGTCCGTCCGTCCGTCCGTCCGTCCGTCCGTCCGTCCGTCCGTCCGTCCATCCGCCCACTCGTCCGTCCACTCGTCCGTTCGCTCGTCCGTCTACTCGTCCACTCGTCCGTCCACGCGCTCGTTGCTTCAAAAACACCCCGTACGCCCCACCTCGCGCGTTTTTGAGAATTATACGTTTACGAGTTCTTAAATTTAGCTAAAGGATGATGTCAGTTCAGCAAAGACACTCTCAGCACTGCTTTGGTCGAAGGTGAGGTAGAAATAATCAGATATGGCAACCACGAATTGCAATAAGAGGGCGAATGTTGATATTTGTGTCTCGGAGAATGTCCTTGCGTTCCTAGTTTACTCCGAGTCGAGACGCAAGCGCTACCGTGACTGCCACTGAAGCTACTGCGTGACTCCAAGACACGACGCGATGTTGGGGCCTTGGCCTGTTGGGACCATTCTGGAAGGAGCACCTGAAGAAGCTGGAAGTGATCAAACAGGAGACCGAGACCATCAATGAGGCCGTCCAAGTCCCAAATGGAATGAGCTTGCAGTCACATCCATGGCCTAAGGCGTTTCGCTTGCTGTCTTTGAAGCCATGGGGCCTGCACAGGACAACATTCTCCATGCCACTCGCTCCGCTGGCATCACCTTTGCCCAGAGCTTCATCTTCCTGATGGAGGCGGGAAACGCGTCTTTTCGCCCGCCATTTGCAGCTTTGCCATGGGTGCCAGGGTGCTCTCTCATCAGAGCACAACAGATGTACTTTGGAAGAAGAGCTCAAAGCTTTCCATCAGTGCTTTGGTCTGCAAGTGCACAGGCCGGTGTTGGTGTCGAAACCCGCCCGGGTGAGCGAGCTGGTTTCGACATGCTTGTTGGCGTCACAGTGTAAGAGCTTTTAGGCAGAACGCAGTCACAGGCGCGAGCAAGGTTTGGCACCGTGTTGTGACGGCGCGCGTTGCCGGCCTTTTCCTTTTGCAACCACGAGGCCGGGCACAAACCTACCCGGCTTATCCGTTTCGCAGACAGGACCCATGCAATACCGCACGCGATTTGACGCGCGCACGCGTCCCCACCTAAGCTCCAGTGTTGTTTTTGCACTGAGGCACTGCGCACGGACGAAGTGCTTGAAGGAGGAAGAGCTGTTGCCCGACATGTTCAAGGATGGTGGTTCGGGCTTCAGATTTCATGGGCGGATTCGTGATGGAGAGGTCCACAGAATGAGTGGCCCTTTTCGAACTTCCCGGCTACTTTGGACCCTCCACATGCCTTCCTTTGGCTCCGGCCAAGCTTGTCTTTGTCACCATCAGATATACGGTTCTGGCAGGATCTGGAAACCTATGTCACCTACCTCCGGGACACTGTGAAGTTGCCTGCCATGGACGTCTCCCTGAACGGAGGGGCCCAATTCCGAAGGCGTTGGTCAGAATCGGCACGTCGTCGCGGTGAAGCCCAGTATGGTCTGGGTGAAACCACTTGCTGTTTTTTGATTTCAATCTTGTGGGTAATGTGGTCTCTGAGACTGGAAGCCCTGTGTTTCCTGTACTTGGGGTCCTTAAGCCCAGTGGCAAAACCCGTGAGGGCATCAGGCCCGGAGTGGGTGGGGCGGCATGGATGGACGGACGCTGGAGCGATTTTTTGGAATAGAGGGATTGAGGTATGGGTACCGGGTAGGCGCGCAGGTAGGTAGGTAGGCGAGTCGGCTAGACGGATGGACCGACTTGTGTGGCGACGGCATGGTTGATTTGGGGCCTGTGAAGCCACGGACAAAAGGGGTACTAGCTCCAAAAAGGGAACCGCACCGATTTGCATGCAACGGGTCGCGAGGCTGATGTACGAGGTGGAGGTCTTTACTCGCTTCGCCGGCCTTGGCAAGAAATTGGCGCCCGTAGACGTGATCCAGGCGAGGTATTCCGCAAAGCGGTCGGGGGTGGGGGTGGAGAAGGAGAATCTAAAGACAACCCAGCTTCAGTTTTTCCAATTTTGGCACAGCCCCCGAAACAAGTTTCTTTTAGCCAGAAATCTCCTTTTAGGACTGGGCCTTGTTGCTAACAGCTCACCGCCGCTTGCCTTCGTAAGACCTCCGCTACGTTGTGGGGTCCCTGCGAGCTCCAGCCATGGGCCATAGGGACCATGTCGTTTTATTGCTTTGACGGGCCCGGAGTCCGGAGGTTTAATCACCGCGTTTTTACATGGCAGGGTTGTTAACAGCAAAGCAGATGTCCTCAAGTTACACAAGCACTTTGAATCCAGCCATTGCGGGAACTTGAAGCGTTGCAGATTAAACGCATGTGACGCCAGACGGGTGCGCATGCTTGGTTGCAGAAGTATATATTGGAAACCTGGAGTATTGGGACATCGCTGTATTTGTTTGGGATTCAAGATTCCCAACAATAATTTTCTCAGATTATTGCTTTTTGAATCTTGATTCCCGCATAAGAAAATCCAGTGTTGTCCCAATACTCTGAGATGCATGCAGACTTTGTCAGATGGCAGATGTTGATATCATTGCTGACACTACATATGTATGCATATATGTATTTTCACATATGGCACACACCCCCAATGAAGCGAAAAAGGCAACACTGGAAAACACACAGGTCAAGCTCACCAAACCAGGGGCCACAGGGGGGTACAATATATATATATATACATACACATACATAAATAGGTGACAATTACGCAAGTGTACATTATTTTCCTTTTCATTAAAGACGGCTCACTCAAAGGGTTGTTTGGCTCACAGCCCAGGCGCGCGGATCTGGCCTCAGAGAGTGCACCTGGCAGGACGCGGGACGCCATTTGGCTCATGAAACAAATGGGCGTTTCTCGAGATGATGGACCCCTTTTGGTTTGAAAGACAACGCCAAATCCCAAGAGGCCCAAAGCTGCCGAGCTTGAGAATTGCGAGTCTGTCATGCTAGTGATTCTTGCATATCACGCAACTTGGTGGCCATGCAAGCAAAGAGGGTTGAGCCGTGCTTATGTAATCTTTGAGCGGCCTAGTTCCGGCCCGGGTCACGTTGTTGCTGCCCTGAGAGTGTGTTTGCAACTGTGGGCTTTCTGTTTCGAGCTTTCCTTTTTGGCCAGTGGCAACATGCGGCGCAGGAAAAAGCAACGGAGGGCTTCAAAGATGTTCACACGCCTTGCTTTGCGATCAGAATCACACCGTTTGGGACACGCTGTTCACTTTCCGGCACTTTGGGAATGAGGGGAGACACGATGCGAGCCAGAGGGTTCTTGATGTGCCTGGAAATGTGCAGGACACCATCACTCAGCTGATGATGCAGTAGCTCGACTTCTGTTTCATTCCGCGTACGCGTTCTCTGTTGACCAGAGAGGCACCGCCTCAACCAGTATGCAAAGCAATTCCTTGTTAACCATCTCTGGCCACTCAATCATGAGTAATGAGCCGAATTACATGCGATGACAACCTGTACTTGCTTGTTGAGATACAGGAGGAAGATTCCAAACACCCAGGCAGTCGAGCGGGCACTCCACTACTATGAATTTGGATGTATATTTAATATTTTACCGGAAAGCACACATAGAGAGCTGGTGGTGCACGCTTTCTTTGCCTTTCAACAAGGACTGCTCCAAGTAGAATGCGCACCAAGACGAGCTATGTCGGTGAGCGGCTGAAGTTCTTCTTTGGCGAGCAGAAGGAGGCCTCTTTGGCTTGCATGATACTGTAGGCGGGTCCCATTTTGAACGTAGGCTTCAAACATCAAGACGAGGTTGGGTTAGTCAAGAAACTTGCAAGGCCAATTGTGGCATCAATTGAATACTCAGCGTCCAGATATTTGCTCTTTTTGGGTGGTTTAAACATCACCTTTGGGGCCAATTCAAAGTCAGTTTCTTTGGGGTGCTATTGGAGACGCAGAAGGAGCGCTGCAGCACTTGCCAAGGCCACGGTGCAGTTTATGCTGGGCTTGATGGGCTCGCCGGAGGAGCACATGTTCTCTCGGCTCATCCCCAAGCAGGACAGGGGATGCCTATGCTTTCATGGTGGATGTTGGTGGTTTCAAGCATCGCCTTTTTCGCCAACTTGTTGGACCGAGTTTCCTGCGTGATGCTTTTCCCGGGTCGGTTGCACTGCGCGGAGTACGTCTTTTCCACCAAAACAGTGCACTTCCCCCAAGCAACAACAACTCTGTTGGTGAAGTGCTTGAGTTTTCCCCGTTTTTTTGGTGGACAGAATCACCGCCCTTCGTCAACCCTGACACCATAACTCCAATGTGAGATCCCAGCTCGAAGACGAAGCGCATGTGGCAACAGGGGCAGTTCTTGACCTGCGTGCGTGGTTTTGGCGGCCCTAAGAAAAATGAGAGACGGCGGGGCGCAAGGGATGGCCTTTGGGCTCAGGCCAAATGCATCCTGTCTCTCATGGGGCAACCCCCAGACTGGAGGACTTCCATCTAGTTTCCCTTGAACCCAACCTCATAGAGGATGATGGGGGGTTCAATGTTCGGTCCGGAGACGAGCCGAGAAAAACAAGCTCATATGACTGCCAGGCGCAGGTCATCCAGCGCAACGACACGATGAAGCGCTGCATTTTTGAAGCCTTCGATGCAGCCTGCGATCACCACAGAGTGCGCTTCATGCAGAGCCCGGGCAGATTTTCCGGCACATGTTCGAAGGGATTTTCCACTGGGTTCGGGTTCGTAGTCACCCAGCGGTTTGTCTCCAAAACCTGATTTTTGCTGCTGTCAACGGCAAAGCAAAACGCGAGAGCGCCTCTCAAGCCTTTGAACTGCCCCTAAATAGGTGGTATGAGTTTGGTGGTGTTTTCCGTGTTAGCTTGGGAAAGCTGCACCTTTCAGATTTTGCTCTTAAAGGCGCACTTAGAAAAAGCAAACAAATAGGTGGTATGAGCTTGGTGAAGCGTCCCGTATTTTAGAGGTTGGCAAAAAGGCAGCAATCCAGGGGGGAAAAACAACTTCAGCTTTGCAGAAAATGTCAGCGTAAGGATGTGGATCGATTTCATGGACAGCATGTTCCAGTCGCCGCTGATGCTTCTGAAATCCGGGTCAATGCCAGCAATTGGAGGGAGCTACGAGGAGGAGATTGCTCCAACTTTTGAATCCACAAAGGCGCGAGATGTCTTGACAGCAGCTATTTTGCGGTGCAACTCTGCCCTCTCCTTTGTGAGTGTGCGCATTGAATTTGCATCGCTGCAGTTTGTTCAAGCAGCAGGACATGCGAGCAACTGACTGTATTGTGGCTAGGCTACTGTTGGTTTGAGGACAAACCAGGTGGGTATGTCTTTTTTAAAGGGGGGGGGATGGTTTTTCCCTTTGGTTTCCCTTTAAACCCACTGAGAAGGGGTGCCCTCAAAAAGACATACCCGTGTCTTCTTGGGCAACCGTAATTTTGTCTTTCTCGAGCTTGGCGCTTCCCAAGAGTTATCTCTCATCGCAACTCGCACTTTGAATTCGGCAAGCCGAGTTCTTGGAGCGTAGGCGCGCATCAAGCAAGAGCGAAGAGGCAGAGGAACCTTGCAGACATCACTGAGGCGTGAGAATCAGAGAGCCCTCCGGGGCTATTAATTTTAACAGTTCAAACATCTCAATGTTTGGTGGACATCCACCCATGTATTTCTGACGTCCACCGAAGGGTCCACAAGTAAGAACCCTACCCTGAGTGCATGCTTTGAGGTATTGGTACTCGTAGGTGACACAGACATGGCAGCTATTCGCGGTGGCAGCGGTGTCTCTTGCTGAGATAAGGTCTTAGCGGGTTGTTCATTATCCCTGCTGGCAGCTTCGCGATCGAAGATGAGTTGTGTGGCCCCTTTGTCCATGTACGGCTAGCAAACCAGGGGATGGGGAAATCAGAGCCATACCGATGGCCCATGTATTTGGCTTGGCTTCTGGATCTGAACAGCTGTCCACCTCGCGTGGTTTTGCCCGGGCGTGTGGCAGCAAGCCTAGCGCTTGCCAGGGAAAAGGTGAAGCAAATTCCCGATGACGACCAAAGTGCCAATGAGTCCGTCGTCATGGTGCAGAGGACCCATTTTAGCCACATACGTGGCTTGGCAATTGTAACACTTGTGTTGCGCAAACAACGAAGAATCAGGCTCTCAAAGGTGCATGTACAGGTCTGGTGTGCAGAGCGCAAAAATGCGAAGACAGGAATCCGTGGAGTACAAGTGTTTGTCTTTGTATGTATATACAGAATATACACAGCATGTTATGCATCGCCATCTTTTTCACAGGTGCGCTCAATCTCACCAGCTTGTTCAGTGGGCTTTTAGATACGCAGGATCATCGAGCAGACCTTTGGGGTCATCCGCAGCGTGGGGTGCTCGAAGCGTTTGTTTTCGGCGAGCTTCGAAGACGGCAGGGGATGTGCGAATCGCTGAGGTGGTTGCGGATCATATGCAGCTGTATTCAGCAGCTTAATCGCAAGCAGTCTCCAAATGGGCGTGTCTTTTTTGAGGGTACCCCTTTTTTGAGGTTTTAAAGGAACCCGCAAAAGCACAAATTTGGGTCCCCCGAGCCTGGCCTTGAATTTGATTTGGATTTCACCTCGAAAGTGGTGGACGTGAAGCCCAAATCGTCCAAGGGTCCCTCAGTGACGTCACACGCCGCCGAGTAGAGTTGGAGAGGCTGCCAGGCTCACGCGGACGCGGACGCGAACTCCGTACACGGTCCCTAAATATTGCAAGTGAACCAACCACAACCAATCACCAAACTCTGGTAAATTCTGTTGGACTACAGAGTTTGGCCTGTTCACCCGCTCGAACAATCGGGGCATCCGCACGGTGCTGGGGATGCATTGCGATCCCACACTCTCGGCGCCGCTAGGCAGATCTCTCTGCTTGCGAAACCACCGGGACATCTTCGTGGTTTCTCAAAGGAAGCAGAGTAATGGGCATAATGTACCGAAGGCATTCTGTACAGGGTTGGAAGGTTGCCCCTTTTTGGGCGGGGTCTGCGCTTTGCTTGCCCATGCGCAGTGTTCACGCTTGGTTTTCTTGATGGATCCCATCTACACCAAAGCCTGGAGCCCATTGAGCGAGGCTCCGGGCATCCTGGAGGAAGGGTTGAGCGCCGAGGGGTTCCTCAAGATGTTGCATGGGGCCCCGCTCCACACCAGGAGTGAGAGTTTCTTTGGCTTTAGTCTTTCCTGCTGTTTGAATTGGGGTCTTCTGCACGCGGTTCATGGCACACTGTGCCAAGAGAGGGGGGGCCCAGAATGTTTAAGGTGGTTTCTGGGTGCCCCACAGCCGCGTTTCATGTGCTGAACGGTGGGGCAACCCTATAGTTTGTGGTTGGTTGCTTGCAGTATGCAGGGCATCCACCGTATGAAGACTTTCGGGGGCCGAGGAATCCTTCTTTTTGCTGCCCATGCTGCGGCGACTTGAGGGCGTCATGGCTCAGATGGAGCTTCAGGACGCGTGATGTTGCGCGAAGCAAAGCTGGGGTTTGTCTTTTACCAAAATGGGGGTTGAGGGAATAAGAGTGGAGGGTGGAGGAAGGGGGGGGGTTGAAATGATTTGGGGGCTTTGCGGGGTGGCTTGGGGGGGATTCCTGCGGTTTCTATCAAAAGGAGATTTATCCCATTAAAGACTCGTCCAGGTTTCAACATAGGGAATCGGAGAGAAACCACAAACAGAAGGGGTCTACACCCTCCCACACCAGCTAGAGATCTAACATGACAGCCTACAGGAAGGATAAAAGAGAGCTCACTGGAAGCTATGCTGAACAGGTGGTGTGTTGCATCGTGGACGGACGAGCACCCAGCGCCCTGTGGAAAGTTGTGTTTTCTACATGGCAGCAGCACTGGCAGGAGGAGGACAAGACAAGCTACCGGGCTAGGAAGTCCGTACTGGACGCGGAGAAGAAGGTCTCCGAAGGCGGTCTTTGAAGGGCAAGCGAGGGCCGAGAAGTGGATATGCTTGAGGCTTCCATTCTTTGGTCTTTGAGCATGTTTCCTTCGACACAATGCTGCAGAATTTGCTGAAAGAAAATAGGGGGGGGAAAAAAAAGACAGGGAGGTTCTCAAGGTGCTGGAACTTCTTTTACTCATGGCAACTGGCTCGTCGCGGCAAATTGTGGACATGCATAAGAATGAGTCGTACCTTTTGGGGATGGTGTTCAAGCGAAGTCAACTCCAACTTCTTCTGAGAGGGTGCGTCTTTTTTGGGGTACCCTCAAAATGCGTTTTCTTTTGAACAGGGGTGCCATCAAAAAAGACAGACCCACATACCCTCAGTGTGTCGGCTCCCTGGTCAAATTCACTTCGGCTCATTTCGCACCAGCTACGAGGCAGGCCAGGGTTGACCCATGGACTGCGCCAAAGTTTAGTCGCTTCCCCCCTCTGCCCCCCCGCCACCCACCCGACGAAGAGCGCGAGCCCTGAAAATCGATGCGAGGCCTGCTGGAAGACCTGACCTACTGCGTGGAGTCAGTAAAGAGATTTAAGGCGTGTGGGTCCAGAGACGGACTTCAAAACTCACATGGGTATGAGTTTTAACAGGCAGCCTGAAGTGGACATCACAAGTTGGGAGAGACATGTCCGAGGTTCCCTGGCCGCATTGGAAGCAACCGCTCTCTACTTGGCCATGCTGTGTGGTTTGCTTGCAATATTTGGGGAAATCATAGCCCTTTTGCAAGCCGGGCTTTCTCCATGTGGAAGAAATAGGCCCAGGGTCACTGTTTGACTGCCCCACGGTAGACTAAAACCCAGTGGTTCAATGAACCACCCCTGGGTTTAAGTCTACCCTGGGGTAGCTGAAAAGTGGAAGCCTGAATAGGCCCTTCCGGCCGTGGCTTACGATGGTCCTCCGATGGGGGAGCATGGATTCCCACCGCAGCTTTCCTTGACATGGCACTACTATCTCCAAATACCCCAGCTTGTTGAGGGTAACGTCATCCCGGACTACAAGAGGAGGTATAAGTTGATCGGACCGTCGGACATTGAGCATCAACTCTGTGCCTCTACCCCTGCTCGTGACAACTCGTAGAACGGATTCCATGGACAGTACGAATTGGGAAGAGGGTTTGCACGTTCCTCGGACACTGTGCTTGTTGAGCTGTCGAGAACAATGGTGTTTTGTGACTTTTGGCTGGACTCGTCGCTTGTTCTAAGATATCAACAGTTTCAGCCCTCCCCGCAGGTCACATATGGTGGCGGCCAGTGAGCGGCCAGAGGATGTGTCACCCCTTTTTCCAGTGGCCCTCACCCAGCCTTCTGTTCGCAAAATGTGATTGATGCAAGCCTATACATATATATATATATATGTATAGCCGAAGCTCTTATTCAGCCACTTTCAAAAGCTTCTGCTTCATGAGTGGGAGTAGGGAGAGGAGGAGGCAATGCAGGCATTGCGTGCCATGCAAGAGGCAATTTGCGTAGAGTTCGCTGGCTTTCTGTAGGTGCCATCTACATGCCGTGCCGCTGCCACGCTTTTTTTTTTGTGTGCAGCCGGCGCCGGATCGGGGATCGCATGGCATGGGTAGGTTGCGACAAGTTGCCGAGGCAGGCAGTCAGCCTCGGACAGGCAAAGCTGACTGAACCCTGGTCTGTCCTCAGATCAGCTTCCAGGATTGTTTGAGAGGGGCTCAGTGGAGGAACAACGAACCGGAGAGGCCCTTGCAAGAAGAGCGGCTGTGGATTGATGCCCGTGCAGATGGCGGGCGCTCCAAGTGTCGAGTGGAAAGATCTCCATTGCTTTCGCGAGAAAAGGTTGCTCTCTAGAACTTGTGCCCAGCGTGGAAGATATCAACATTTCCCTGGAAGGTGGCAGTGCATGAGGCAAGTCGGCTTGGGCGCAGCTCCAAGCCAGCTCTGCTGGACCGGAGGCAAGGACAGGAGAAATTGTGTTCAGGCAATCCCTTACGTGTGCCAGACTTCAAAAAGCTGGTTTTAGTTGCAACGCTTGGAAGGGGAAAGCAGAAATGATTGGCTACAGTGAGTGAAGGGACGGTTCTTGCCGCAGCTATCTTCGTCAGGGTGATCAGGAAATGAACCCGCCCAACAATCTACACAATAATCCAGCCATTTCCGGCAGCTCAGCAGTGTGATGTGCCAGCAGACTTGAACGCAGCTTCGGCAGTCGCGTGCTTACGCTCCATTCCCTTAACCCTATCCCCAACCCCCTGCCCTAAAAACGTGACTTAGCACCCCTGCTAGGTTCAGACCGTTGCCGGTCTCTTCAAGACCCAGCACTGCACGGCTGGGAGGGTTTTTAGTTTCGGGTTAAGGGTTTTAGTTTAGGAGAAAGATGAGAGGAGAGAAAAAAGACATTGTGGCTCAAACACAAAAGATACATGTAATATACACATGTATCATATCTACCATTTTTACACCTTTAGCAATTCATGCCTCAAGTATCCTTTATTATCATCTAAATAGTAATAGTTTTGTCCTATTTTTTTTTATCTATTCGTTTTACTGTTTAAGAAATTTTTAGCCAGTGACTGGTGTGTTTTTCCGCTATTACCTTTTTTCTTAACTTCGGGGTATGTTCTACTGCGCTTTGCTTGTCAAGATACATTTAATTTAACTTCAAACTCATGTTTCTTCTTCCTTGCTTCTAATGGTGTCATTTTAGTAGCGGATGAAGCCATTTTATTATTATATGTTAATAATATCTCTAGATTATAATATATGCACTGGATATTTTGCTTGTCCTTTTTTCATGTGCTTCAAATCGCTTAAACAGCATGTCTTTATAGGTTTGTATAAATCTCTCGGTGAAAGCTGGATGCCCTCTTGTCTTATGTATCTCAATCTTTTTACCTTCTAAACATTCAATAACTGTTTTACTATACCAACTCCCTTCCTCATCACTGTAAGCCATCTTGGGTGTATCAGCCATTTTTTGGTAGTCCTGCCATTATTCGCGCCAGCATATCAGGCGGTTCTTTGCTCTTGATCGGTATGACAGTAGCATATTTCCGAAAAAGTATCAATTATCTATTCTATGTTTTTGGTTTTCTAAATCATTTTTGAGTATAAAGAACAGATCTACTTGATATTCAAAATGCGCGTGGGGTGCTACAAGACTGTTCTCACCTCTGGGTTTCCTCTTCTCTTCGACATTCTTCCTAAAAAAAAAAAAAACAAGAACTCTTCCACATCTTCTTTCGTACTGCGTTTGTCTTTCTCTCTGGCATCTTTAAGGGTAGTCACCCTACTCCCGAAACCCGAGCGATCATAATATATGTCATTTATGATCTTCTGTTTGTCCGAAGCCATATAAATAACAAAAGACCCCATTGCTATTTAATGCACGCTTACATTACAATAGAAGCAAGACGCACAGCAATTATGCCCGTAATCATCACATAGTCGCCGTGCTGTAAAGTTGCTACATAGTTTACTCTGCTTCACTTCAACATTGAATAAGGTATTACTTTTCTCGCATCTGCTTTTACATCTGTTCAAGCACCATTCATGTGGTATGTATTCTTCATCATTTATCTCCCTCCCTGCTTTCCTGTCCTGCAATTTGTAGTTCTCCACCTTGTTTCTAAAATATATCATGATCAAATTCTTCATTTTTGTAAAACCTGACTTTCTCGAAATCAACACAACGAGTTATACTTGTCCATATCCATTCTCTACTTGCTGTTGGCAATTCCCATTCGTGAATGCTTGTGCTTTTATTGACGCTTGCCCCCTAACTTGAATGACGAGTATATAAATTTATTATCAATAACCGCCTCAAAGAGCATAAACTTATCTTCGTCATTTGCTATGTTCTGTAATGTTATTTGTGATCCCAAGTTGTCATGTCCTATCTCTACAATTCTATATCTTATGTTCTTATTCACCCTCGGTTGTCTAATCCACGGTCTGGCAATTAAGATCTCTCCTACTTCGTATTTGCTCTTCTTGTTCATCCTTTCTCTGATTTCATCCTCATCTCATGTTGGTATATGCGATATTATGCTCCGATGCCATTATGTCGTCAGTTATTTCAACATATTTCGGGAATTATGTCTTGAATAGGCAACTTATCTTCCCAAAAATACTTATACATGTTGTTCATGATTTCCCTGTTTCTTTCTCCTTCCTCGCTGTCCTTCGCTCCGACCCTCTGACAAACTTGTAAGAGTATTCCCTTTTGGAATCCCAATCACTCATTCCCTCCTTCACTTTTCCCATACTTTACTGCAGGAGCCCCCCAAAATGCTGCTACCGTATAGTTCCTATATCAACATAACATAGTACTCCCCGAAGCCCTAGTCTCATTAGACAGGCCCCTATACTAGAGCAAGCAGAGGCTGACCCCAGACCTTACATCCTAATACCGCCCCCTATACGCTTTCACCCGATTTCTCAACCCGCATACCAAAGTAACCCTTTCACTCCCGCAAAACACAAAGCACACCCCAAAACTAGCTCAATAGTCCACAACACAATCCAAAACCAAGCCCACCCCCCCAAATCCCACAAGAAATCCCAAATACAATTCAAGACCAAAGCACCTCGGCTTCGGCCGGTCGCCTGGACTGATGTTGGCCTGGGCGCTGTTGGCGCCTGTGCTATCAGAGAGGCCGGCTCTGGAGCCAGTGCGGCCAGTCTCTGGAAATTCTGGGGGAGCGCGCGTTTCCGTTTCGTGTTCCAAGGTAACCTGTGTATATGACATGGTCTCCGGCAGAGGTACCAGGGAGTTTTGAGGGCTGCTTGTTGGAATTGGCAACTGTTTGGAATAGTTTATGGCGTTTGCAGAGGCCTCAGGTTGCAGTTCCGCA